ACTTGGCCCATCAATTGTCTTCTGATATTTGGCTTCTCGGGGATTTTATGGATTTATTTGGTTACGTTCTACCTTCGCCTTCTGATTAACTTGGCACGTGTTTCTTGCTAGCGGTGTTCACAGTTAATCCCAACTCGACACCACGCTACAACCTCTCATATCAAGATAGTGTTGAGCTGCATGTGTTCCAAGAAATCCTGAAAAAATCGGTATAGAAGTTCTTGTGTTTTCACAATTTGTTTGATTCATTTATTCACATATCTGATGTAAAATTATGGCAGTTTCAGTGAGATCAGATTCTATTGTTTTCAAACAAGAAAATTTCAAAAGTTTCCTTCGTAGACTAACATCACCTGAATAAGTAATGGAGACTGACAAAATAAGTGATTACTCTTATATCCGAGCGAAGACTAAATTACAGGTAACTTCCAAGGACTATTAATGAACTAATATTCCATAAATATTCTTATTGTATAACTATTCAACAATTGCATTATGTATATTTATATTCCTCTTATTATAAGTTTTATTTTGACCTTTATTTTATTATTGTACGATCTACGGTTGTTAAGCTATGTTCAGTTTATTAACTACTGCCTCCCGCATTCACAGCCACTTTTTGGGCTTATTTGTGTACACATGTTATTTTCTATTTTCTGGTACGTTGAGGTCTGTCTGATTGATATATAAACCGAGTATGTCTGAAATAAACGATCTGATCTGATCTGATTCGATTCGATTCGATTCGATTCATACTACAGAAGCTGGTATTGTGTTCTGGACTCAAGTGGAAGGGCTAGGAGGACATAGAACGAATAAGGACGCTAGACTGCTCATGCCGGTTGAACGTCATTGGTTTGGCATAGTGTGAAGATTTGTACAAGTGATATTCTGATTGGTGGATAATTCACGTGATAGGAAGCCGGACATCAAATCATAACGATTACTATGAAACAGATATGAAATTTCAGTTGATTAGTTAGTATTTTATAGTTGCATCTTGATGAGTTTTGTATAATTATTGTCTAACTAATCAACACTAATCCTACCAAAGAGGTGATAATTGATTCATTTTGAAATGAATGATTGTGATCAAGTTTATGTTTAAGTAGAAAATGCTCAATGTAATTTGAACTAAAAGTGGAAAAATGTACAAAGATAAATGAATGATATGAGTGAATGGAGCACAAATAAGAGTATACTAGAGGAATTTTCGCACAATAGTGAAGAGAGAGAATACAAGGGATCAACTATCTGATCAAATTATTCATCATCTGTATCTATCATTTAAATTCTCATGGGCACAATTCATCAGACTAGTAATAAGAGAATCAGTGAATTGGTTTCCATTAATGATTTAGATGCTCTGATGTTTGTTTTTTCTTGAAAATCAAATACGACAATGGCGTTAACTTACTTAATTTACAGTTAACGGTGAGTGTGATGATATGTACATCATAGGAGTTCTCTACAGAACTCTAAAGTCATATTTCATACAATTTTGTTGATTAGGTTTATCTTTTGATCTTTTCTCTCTCTCTGCATTCTCTCATAATTCGAATCGACAGAAAAACCTTTCAGTTAAACAACAGTCAACAAATACTGAATAATTTAACTGAACTTCATTTGTCACATTTTGATGTGTTTCTCGGTTTCTCGGTTAATTCACTATTGAAATTCAACCTACTTATGAGTAGTACAAAATATATATGTCTTATTTATTAGCTATATGTAATTTGTATTGTTATGACGATTGCATATTATTAAAGGCTTTTCTTTTTTAGAATGTTAGTTTGAACCTTGAATATTATGAACTGTTAAATCCATACTTTCTCTTTCAACTTATCTTACTTACGCCTGTTACTCCTCGTGAAGGAGCATAGGTTGCTCACCAGCATTCTCCATACAACCCTGTCCTGGGCAATCCTTTCTAGCTCCGTCCAGTTGTAATTCATCGTTTTCATATCTGCTTTTATTATCCGACGCAATGTGTTCTTTGGCCTTCCTCTTTTTCGCTTCCCTTCAGGATTCCAAGTTAGGGCTTGCCTCGTGATGCAGTTTGACGATTTGCGTAATGTATGTCCTATCCATTTCCATCGTCTTCTCCTAATTTCTTCTTCAACTGGAAGTTGGTTTGTTCTCTCCCACAGAAGGCTATTGCTGATGGTATCCGGGCAATGGATGTTGAGTATCTTGCGTAGACAGCTATTTGTAAATACATGTACCTTCTTGATGGTGGTTGTTGTAGTTCTCCAAGTTTCAGCTCCATACAGTAGAACTGCCTTGACGTTCGTATTGAAGATCGTGACTTTGATATTGGTTGAAAGTTGTTTTCAGTTCCATATGTTCTTCAATTTTCAGTGAATATTTATCAGTGAATATTTAATTGATGCACCACCTCAACCTTCAAATACTGGCAGTACAATTAGAATATTTAATAATATGGCATATATATATTAATGACCAATAAAATTCATTAGTTGTTATGCGATGTTTACGTATTTTAGAACGATTGACACTTTCAGCCTCAGGTTTTCAAAAGGGAATATACCTCACAGCATGGAAAGTCACATGTCGAGCTTCTGATTGGATGAGATTATTTATACTGCTACTATGTTTAGTAGGATGTCAGAATTCTCCGCAAACCGAAGGCCATCTAAAATACTATAAAACCTAGATATTCTGTACATAAACGAATCACTGAAGATTTTGATGAATGTTCTTTTAAGAAAACTAATCAACATAATCGTGTTCCTGTTATATGTCAAACAGGAATACTGGAATATATCTGTGTAATATGTGAAACAGCAACCGGTATATACATGGATGTCACTGTTCCATATTTTCCTACCATACCTTTTTCGTTCCGATATTGCCTTCTTATTATGTCCATGGACGCATTTAACTCGACTAGATGATTCGTAACACACATCGCTAATCGACGTTATTTACTCTACTGCAGCTCATCAGAGTATGTTCATATTTCACCATTGTGTCGGCACCACCGACTAATTTATTATGTTCTACTCTACTTATTTTCACGATTTATTTCGTTTTCATATCCATAGACAATTTATTACTGTTTTCACAATATTTCGAATTGTTCATCATGAACGTATTATTTAATCATTCAGACTATCACAATATAAATGCATGTTAAATTTCTGTGCGCCGATTGATTTGCTTGAATACCTGGGCTACCTGTTCCACCGATCTAGATATTTCATCAAGTTATCTGTTTTGTTGTTTGTTTTAGCGCATCACTATGTCTATTGTGCGCACAACCTATTCAGGCGCGTTTATGAAAAGTTTACAACCTTTTGCTATACGGGATACAAAAAGGTACAATCAGCGACATCATGGTTGCTGGCAATATGCACTGAAACAAATGAACAGTAATCAAATGTGGATTACCGAACTTCTAACATCTAACAGGTCATCATTCAAAATTTATCGTCACAATCGATCAAGCTATAAGAAAAGGAAACTTGTTGAAATACTTTATGCTGAGAATTCTATGTTGTACCAAAAATATAATGTTGAATAAAGCTTCTAATAATAATAATAATCGCATGCTAATTTTTCCATTTTTTTCCCCATGCCTTTACGATATTCACGTATTCTTTTACATAAGTATAACACACATTCGTATCATATACTCAGCCGTCATGTGCATCACCAGGCCTAGTACAATTTTTCACCTGCCTATTAACGACATCCACATACCGATTTGATGTTATTTACGAAAACAGACATTTTTTTTCAAATGTTCTATTTGCTACAAGGGGGCTATGTTGTGTTAGTTGATATGTTTAGCCCATACACTTTATTCTAGCTTCTGTAAAGGTCGATTTATTCATTCTTCATGAGAGTCACATTTTAACCATGTTAAGGATAAGCGACATATATATTTCGACAGCAATCAAACATACGATCTAATTGGAGTCAGATCCCGGGTCACTAAAGTAGTGAGCTCGTCGACAACATCGTACGGTCTAATTGATGTAAAACTGACGCATCACCAAACCCGAACCGAAGTGTTCGTTTGTGTGTATCATGCACTAGATACATAAGCACTTTCATCTTCAATACTTGAATACTCGTCTGTTGGTGTCCATCAGAAACGTGGTCAGTTTGTCTGGTGAGATGTATCGGTTGACCATGGTCTGCTTGCCTGCCTGTACTCAATACGCGTGGTCGAACTCGGGATTTGAGCACGAAGCACAGGTGAATTAAGCATTTGGCATACATGAAGGTAGTTTGATACATTCAGACGATGTTGTCTGTCAGTGGGACTAAGAAACGGAGTGTGACTGGTCGGTGTTGTGAATGAGACGAAGTCTCGAAGTGACAAGGAACAGAATGAGAATGTGGTGGTAGTGTTGTTGTTGATTGGCTCTGATTGTGTTTGTGTTGGTATATGTGTGATAGTCGAGACTGTATGATGTGGGTGCTTGTGAAAGTGAACGTTGAGGGCGGCATTGAACTCATTCTCATTTCAGACTGGTGCCTGAAACCAGCGCTTTGGACCACTCGGCCACACGAAGAATGACTGATATCCCGCAACAGTAATTCATCACTATCAACATTCCATTTCACCCTTATCCAAATACACTATACTATTCAGGACAACACTACAAACGACACAATACTCATGGACACATGCGCTATTAACATCGTACCTTCTAACCCTAACTTAAGCTTAACTCTAACCCTCAATCCTAACCCTTGACCTGACTCCGACCCTAACCCTTCTTTTAACCTTTCTCCGGTAGTCACTGTGTTGCACTTTCTGACCTGGCTATAGATTTTTTTATATAATTCGTTCTATTTTAATTGTGAAATAACTTTTATTGAAATGTAAATATATATCATTTGTTTATTGTTCATAATTGGAGTATATATATATATATATATATATATATATATATATATATATATATATATATATATATATATATATATATATATATATATATATATATATATATATATAGACCTAAACATTTAAAAGCTCAATGAAGTATTCTCTTTGTTGAATGTTTGCTGATACCTTATAAACTAAATTAAAAATTATCATTTTTTTGGTGGGGGGGGACATTAACGGTAATTGAATGTTATAGTCGATATGTATTTTACACACCAATTCTAATGATATCCATGTCATGTATCTTTATGACTCTTTGGTGTAGTAATAGAAAATCGACTAATTTTATGCAAGGAACCATAAGTTAAACTTTTGCGTAGTAATGGAGTTGGTTGACCAGACTGTTCAGATTCCATATTATGTGATGTACTACTTCTAATCAATTTAGGCGTTTGATGACTCATACTGGAGGAGGAGGAGCAGGAGGGTGAAAATGAAGAATATTTAAATGTCAGCCAACGTACTACTTGTCTTGGTGAAAATACTTTCATTGTGCGCACTGAAGGAAATCGTTTCATTCGAATTTGTGGTGATTCTGTGTTCTCTAACATATTACTTGTAAGATCATTATCCTGGGTTGAACTATGTCTTCGCATGCATGATATTTGATTAGTTGTCTTTGATCTCAACATTTGTGTTAAAGTTAATTTTTTCGATGTAGTCAATGTTTCATGCATATCTACAATGACTAAAGGATTCTGGAATTCTTCAGATGGTCTCGATAAAGTGATGAGGGTTGGACCTGATGTTGATCTCGTTTGCCGGTTGATATTTTGAATTAAACCAAGCCACTTTCTCATAATTTCACTGGTTTGAGCCTAAAACAGGAAACAATGGGAATAAGTTTATGATTGTCATTTATAATACGTAAACATGCTAAGAAATATAATTCTAAAATAAATGAATCATCTGTATGTTCACTGTTCGGGTGTTATACTGTAGATCACAGATCAATACGAAATTTCCTAATCTGTAAATGTTTTACACTGTTATTTAATATTACCGGCTGAAAATTCTAAAGAAGGAAAGACAAACCGAAATATTGACACTTCAATCGAATTTACATCTATGGAAGCTCCACCTGGAAGCGTTGGCAGGTCCTGTAGGATCCATATTTATCCTCATTGGCATCAGGGCTCTCGTAAGTCACCTAGCAATGTCAGCTGTTATTGTTTGGGTATTTACTAACAGCGGTTCGTAGATTTCTGATAAAAAAGTAACGACGTCTCCTATCAATCTTCACTGCCCAGCTGGTTGATAGTAAACAGAAGGCAATCGCACATGGGTCCTATCGCATTTTAAATGATCTTCCCAACATAGTGTTTTTACTGACTTTATTGTACGAGCCAGAGTCTTGAATAAACAGTTCAAGTATCTAAACATGGAGAAAAGTTATTCTGATGGCCAGTAGGAACTCGTTGGACAACCAAGTTGTCATCTTTAAGACAAGCGTTAACTTTTAAATTAGCCAGTAATAAATTGACTCCTGACTTCTTTTGCAGCTCAAGTTTTAACTTCCATTGATAACATTATAATTTTCTGCACATAACGTGGAAATGTGCAGGATGTTCCTTACTTTAGAAGATATTGTCTAAGTTCTAGTCATTCTACAGTATCCCCAAAGTTTTACTTTATGTTGTGATTCTCAACAAACTTATTACCGTAATAAACTGACCGGTACAAAAAACTGGTTGCAATTTATATTAATCCCTAGTATGAAGCTAATGTAGTGTCAATTACTATGTTAAGCCCATATATCTTATTCTAGCTTTCGGACATCCTATTTTATTCATTCTACTTGAGCCATACTTTGACCTTGTTATTTATTCGCTTATCAGTCTTCACTGTTTTTATACGAGCGTATATGTGTGTGCACATCATATCCCATGATTCATTGCATGTCTGAAGCTTTATTTTGTCTGACTATAAATATTGAGTAACGCTTGACTAAAATGGAGTTGGCTTCCCAGCCATCTTCCATACGTGTCATCTTGCTTTGCTGTTTCATTCGCTTCATATGCGAAATATATGTATTCACAAATCAATTCTCGTTATTCGACTTATTTAATTCCGTTATTGACTGACGCGATTTAAGTCGACGATGATATACGAGAAAAGGCGATAACAATCATTCGTACGATCTTGGAGTCAGATCTCCGGGCCACTAAACTAAGATAGGTCCAAGTTTGTCAGAAAACGAGAAAGTATTCACGATCACTGCTTTCATGTCGTTTGATGACAAGAGGAGCTTTCTTGTCAATTACTGATAGTAAAACAAAACCAAAAAGTAACATCATAGTAACGAAAACGTTTGATTAAAAGATATTCGTTGCTCGTTTTCTTATTACCATATTGTATTCACAGTAGCTCAGTCAACATATCAGCACAGAATAGACAATAATTTGGAGATATACTTCAAATTAGTGACTAAAATCTTTACTCTATAACCATTTTCTTATAATAAAATGTTACAACAAGGAGTTACGTGGTGTACCATCTAATGAATTCGGTGTATTTCAAATTGAAGCGGAGGAAGAAATCAGGAAGAAGCGCTGGAAGTGGATAGGACACATATTGAGGAAGGCATCCAACTGCGTCACAAGACAAGTACTCACATGGAATCCTCAAGGCCAAAGGAGGAGAGCAAGACCAAAGAACACATTACGCCGGGAAATGGAGATAGACATGAGAAAAATGAACAAGAATTGGATGGAACTAGAAAAGAAGGCGGAGGACAGAGTGGGTTGGAGAATGATGATCGGCGATCTATGCTCCATTAGGAGTAAAAGGCAGAAGTAAGTAAGCAAGTATGCCGAATTGATAAAAAGAAATCGAGAGAATGAATATTCGGTTACAATTAATTTCTCGTCAATACTCTACACTAATACAGAGATTTTTACTTATTTATGCAAACCAATACAAAATAAGTGTTAGTCGAATAGTTTAACAATCACAATATTTTTTACCAAATATTGAAAACAATCAGATGATTAAACCATTGGATTTCTGAACATCGCTTTGCATAGTTGACGAAAGATAAAATGAGACATTAAGTTGATACAAGTCATGACCCACATTTTACCTTCTAGGTTTATCGATAGAACTTCATCAACCCTGTCATCATAGACTTTCAGAATCTGTCACTCATATACAACGACAGCCAAAGTAACATGTGTCAATGAACCTGATCTGGTGTGCAGAAAGCCTTCATACAGTCTCTTCAGTTATCCTGGTCTTCAAGTCGGGTACTATTGCATTACTCAAAAAATAAATTTTTAGTTTTTTCTGTCAGGTTTATTCAACTGAATTCCTCATTGTGTTTCTGCATAATCTGACTTTACTGCCAGATCATTAGACTTTCTCTGCATCTGTATTGGGTTATTTAGACAGTTGTAGTTTTAAAAACGACACTAAACATTCGAAAACCATTTGCCTAACTTCACAGTGAGTTAAAATCCGATTCATCACACAATTCATGTTATATTTCAGTGTAGATTGATGATGTTCAAATGATCAAACATAATGAATGACAATTATCGAACGAACTTGGAATAGATACCGAGCTCCGGTAGCCGTAGATGTAATGCGAAATGTATTGGATCGTTTCGTATAATCCTTTGTTTCACAAGCAGTTAACAGATTCTGTCCCACCAATAATCCAGTCTCTCCACGAAATGTATTGGATTGAGGACTTAAACACAAAATAAAATGACAAAATGTTTTTTTAGAACTTGAGAATGAAATTATTTCCTCAAATAACTATTTAGACAAAGTGAAGAACTAATGCAAATTTAACACGTTTCTCGGCTCTAACGGATAATGAGTGGACTTGGTAAAGGTGGAAAGTCTCGTACTAAGGTGAAAACGCGATCAGCCCGTGCTAGTCTGCAGTTCCCAGTTGGTCGTGTCCATCGCCTCCTTCGCAAGGGTAACTACACAGAACGTCTCGGAGTTGGTGCCCCTGTTTATTTGGCGGCTGTCCTTGAGCACCTGGCGGCTGAAGTTCTTGAGTTGGCTGACAATACCGCTCGTGACAATGAAATGTGTAGTGTTATGTTCCATTTATAATTGGTGACAGTTCAATGAAGTGGCCATGAATAGTTAGATCATTGGTAAAGCAAATCATGCATATCGATTTATGACAAGGTTTCAATGAGTACGAGCTAACTATTCTCCATTGAATTTGTAAGAACTAAGCATCCAATAAAAACGGAATTTTTTGTTTAAGATAACCACATACTTCCAATTTCAATCATACGATCTACGAACGCTTTATCCCAAATGTTTGGAATATTAGTGAATTTTACGAATCATTTGACTGGTGATTTGTACAAACCACGAAATAGTTTAATTGGTGTGCGATTTGTGATGGTGCAGTATTTTCTATATAAATATCATACTACTTTAACATAGTCTAAGTAGTAACATCAGAAGCCCATCAAAATTTACGGCTTCTCGTGAACTTCGGAAAACACTATTTGATCAACTCATGAATTGGTATAAATAGTACATGAGGGTATTTCATCCATACTACAACTGGCCTGAGATGTAAAGTACTAGTGACAGAAAAATCAACAATGATGGGTGAAATATTTTACATTTCAGCATAAACATGTAAACTCACTTATCTTCATTGTAATCAGATTTGTTTTTATAGGCTAACAGCTGTTTAACTGATGTATTTAAGACCATATATAGTTCATACCAGGAACGATCGCGAGATTTACAATTATGATTAATCCACTCGTGTTTTCTCATTAAATAGTCACTTATAGAGTCTATAAACAGTGTTTAGAAGAAATGATGGAAGTAAATTGAATAGCCTAATGAAAGTTAACATTTAACGAACAAAACATTACGCTTTGAAGTCATTTAGTAGTCATACCGTAACTTATAAATTTGATGCCTATAAAATTCAGCAATCATTGCTGTAGTCTACATATATGTAGTACAGAAAACGCGTTCAGTTTATCTGAACATCCTACATCAATTGAAAATATGACTCAACTGGGAGAATTATAACAGCTAGTAACCACTGAGAGATTAATCAAACTATAAATCAAATGTATTAGTTCCTTTACTGACTGAATAATAGCCTGGACATCTATCGTGTGAACAATGACGTCATATATTGTATTCTGATATAAAGAGAGAGATATTCTATGATTAGATTTATCATCCAATTCAACTAATTTTCAATTATCAGAATGGGTTTTGTGGAGATTTTTATAAATTTCACTGATTGATATCATGAGCCAATTGAAGTTAAACCACCACTGGAAACCTAAAAGCACTGGACGGCCGTTTCGTCCTAGTATAGGACTCCTCAGTGGCAGCGCGCATCCAGAATTATCACAGTTATTTAATATGTGAAATTTTTGCATCTGTAACAAACGTGAAACACAAGCCTTTAAATTGTTTCATTTTATCAAACAATAACTTTTATCCTTCTTTTACTAAAGTATACTAAGGTAAATAATATTTTGAAGTATTCTAAGTATATGACTAGATTATAAACAAACTTTCACGTTAGATGGTGGTTGGAGGAAGTCGACAGGAAACTCTGGACCCGAGTTTCGTGCTACTTGGCACTCGTCATCAAGGTGTATCTGTAATCTTGAGGAAACTGGTGCTCTCTGGAGGATTCGATGCCGTGTCAACCAGCTTCACAGTCAGAGACGTTATCACTGAGCTATCCGAGCAGCGACTTTCATGTTATCATCATTATCATCAAGGAAGTCGAGTTCAAATAGCATAAGTAAGGTATTTGAAAAACGTGTGTGTAATGATGTTACTAAATGTGGTTTTATATTATTTGTGGCTGATAGAACGTCTCGAAATGAACTGAAAATCCTGTTTTTCCCAATTTTTTCTGTGATCATGTCAAATAACCAGGAATTTTGAAATAATTAGTTTAGTTAAACTACTCTTTATAATACATTTTATTAAATTAAAAGTATATGTGTTATGTGAAACTACCGAGTGAAAGATTCTGACCTTCTGTCACCTCCCAACTAACTTCAGGTGAATCAGTAGTATCCTTTAAATTCTCATCTGTCATTGTGTCGACATTCTGCTTAGAATCATCAAAATCATTTGATGCATCTGTTTCGTTCAATTCATAGTAATTTAAAAGTGTTTGTATATTTTCTAGATCCGGACTGTGAACAATATTCACACAACTTATTGGCACATTCAGCATATTTTCATTGATCTCAGTGAGTTCAAACTAAAACAAATTAAGAAAGTATATGTAACATGCTGATAAATGATGGAGCCAAAGTGCGCGGGCATATATATTCTAGACTGAAGAAAGTAATATGAAAGAGATGTCTGCCCTTCTTAATGAGCTTTTGGAAAAAGTTAAATATTCTAAAGACACATTGTGAAATGTGAAACATAGTAAACTTAAAGTCTTAAATTGTGAATGTGTATTAAAATTTAGATTCCATCTGTTATTGTTTAAAAGAGAATGAGATTTAAGAAATTACTATCAAAACGTTGCTTAACTGCGGTGATCGGACGAGAACCGGTGCTTTCAACGTGGTATGGTCGCCGGCTTTTTTTATCTAGCCAGCAATATAGCCTCTGCCAGAGAAGTCCTACTCACTACCTTCTCGTGGCCATAGTGTTGTTTACGAAAATGAGAGAACGAAATGCGAATGTCCGGCGCTTTAACCGGGTTCCAAACTAATGGTGCACATGGGCTCCAGGATCCAGAAGGAACAAATGGCGTATGAACCAATTGTTGGTCACCGGCTACCATGGGACTGCATCTCCTTACGTTGATACACTGCTTTGTGGATCAGACATTCAGGTCGAAGGCTAAGGGGGTGGCCCCCTAAGAAAACCACCTGCTTCTGTTTGGGCACCCGGGCAATAACACAGCCCTCACACACGTCGAATGAGATATGTGTGGCACATATGTATTTGGTGCCTCCTTGTACCAATATCTATGTGTTAAAATAAATAAAATAATAAACTATCAAAATGACTAAGGTAACATTCAATTAGTGCTTATGCTTTATTGAAATATTTTTCAATGCATAACGTCATTAGTTCACTTGCCTGGTCTAAAATATGTCAATTTCGTCAGTCGAAAATCTAAAGTTCTATACATTTATGGAACCAAAAGTATTAACATGACTAGAGCAATTGTTCATATAGTTCACTAAGAGTGTAATGCTTTGAAATGTTAACCTTATATAATTATAGGCAATGTATGTTTATGGTTATTATGTCACATAAGCAATACTGACTTGATGATTCTCCCCGCCTCTAACCGAGCTGAATATACACAATGACCGATCACTTACTATACAAGTCATAGAACATTATCATGATGAAACCCCGAACATTGTACTTCAGCTTGCCTACCCCCCCCCTTGAGAAATACACCACCCACTTCTTAATATAATCTTGAGGAGAACATCATCTTATCATAGTTAAAGACTAAAAAGAACTCAAGATTTTGCGCATTCTAACAGTAATTCACTAGTGGTTGATACTTTGTATTGCGTTCCAAAAATGTTTCAAAACATACAATAGCTATTTGAGCACTTTTCAAGTTTGACTCTAATCTTTACTTTTATAACAGCCTTCACATTGCACTTGTTGCATGATATTACTCAAACGCTTATTTCCAAGTGTCTTTGACTTTAGCTAATAAAAGTGAATACAATAAGTGTCAAATTGAAATAGAGAAAAACGTCCATTTCCTTAATTAGTAATTTACAACACTTTGCAATGGTATCAAATTGAACTAGACATTGACGAAAGCTTTACTGAGTTTCATTTCATACCACCATCTAAATAGACAAAAGCAATTTCTTTACAAAATTTAATACCCAACGGATGTATTACTGATAACATAGCTGAAGATAGTTGTGCTTATAATCTACAGCTAGGTCAAAAAGTACAATTTTTTATTGATTACTGGAGATAGATGATTTATATATATTTGTATTTATTTCATCAGTATAACCTTTTAAGCAAATATTTGTTTCTGGATAACAAGTGAGAAATAGTGACCAGTGGAGTTCAACCAGGTCTGCTGTGAAGACAATGGTGGATGTGTCACTCTATTTCGTGGATTAGTTGAAGTTATACATTAACACTGTTGGATGCCGGCTCAGTAGTCTAGTTGGTTAAGTGCTCGCGCGCGAAACCAGTAGGTCCTGGGTTCGAATCTCGCAGGGAGTGGGGTCGTGGATGCGCACTGCCGAGGAGTCCCACAAAAGGACGAAGTAGCCGTCCAGTGCTTTTAGGTTTTCCATGGTGGTCTAGCTTCAACTGACTCATGATCTTAAGCACTGAATATTAAACGTTTTAAATGTGACATCTAAACAAACCTTTGTAGGTTGTTTAACTTTTTCATATCTACTGATTTGTGGCACAGTATTCCGTTCCAGAACGTTTAGTCGATCAATTAATATTTGTGTTTCCTTGATAGAATCACCCATATCTAAACATTCTACTTCTGCTGAATGAAGTACCAGCCAACGTTCCAAAGAATCGGCGACACTTGATAAGAAAAATAACAAATACATGTACGCAAATGATCACATGATAATCGAAATTAGTAAATAGACTGAACAGTTGTACTAATTCTTCCTATGACTGATGAACGAATAGTTAGAAAACGAAGCAAAAATAATATATATGTAACTATCACACCATAAAATGAGATAAAATAGTTCAACTTTCAGAGTTAGATAAATGCATATAGGCCACTTGGATTATGAGCTGACATTTGAAATGTTGAATCGATGAATCAGTTTAGCTGACTTGAATTATAGATGATTTCAACCTTCTTCACTATCTAACGCTTATTTCTCAGTTCATTATTTGATTGATTATGTTCACACTATTTGCCAATAGAAGTATTAAGTAGTCATTGATCTCAATACATCTGAAATATTTTCAGTATAAAGTTAAACCTCTGTCACTTTAAAAGCATTACAATTTGACTGATTACATTGATAACCGATTCGTTACGAAATATAAACCTCTGTTTAATGAATTAATTATGCGTGAATAATAAGGAGCACCCCAATAACAAACCAAAAACAAGTGTAAACTCCTCCCGGATTGTCATTAGCATCCTGATTTACATAGAATTTGATAGGCTGAATCATAGGAGCTTAAAAAGCTAAAACTTTGAAAATATCTTTGTGAAAAAGCTCGAATCATAGGCATTTATTTCCGAGACTAGCCATACACATTATTCGAAATAACTAAAGCAGTGACAGACAGGTTAGTTGCGAAAAAAACATCAGCAGTAGAAACCCTTTGAAATGTATCTGTTTAAATGGATGACTAAGTTCAAGATCAAGAGTATTTCATATGAATTGTCTTACAGACTGATCAAATGGTTGTGTAAAATAACGATGGCCGAGCGGTCCAAGGCGCTGCGTTCAGGTCGCAGTCCACTCTGTGGGCGTGGGTTCGAATCCCACTCCTGACACTACACTTGGGGTACCTAGCCTGTCGTATGCCCTGATGGTGTTCTCGTAACTTTCGGGTTGCCTGATCTGCCAAGGGCGATGGGACAGTGCATGACGCTATTGTTGTGTGCTAGGTTCAAAGAGAATTGTATGCTATATGCATGCAAATCCGCCCCGTTATTGTTCTGCCCCCGAATGCCCTGGTACGGCCGAGAGTGGGGTGAGTCCGCTCTCCCTCTCGAAATACTCTCACACGGCCGCGCGTATACAGCCTCTGCCAGGGAAGTCCTACTCATTGCCCTCTCGTGGCGGGGGTGTTGTTTACGAAAATGAGAGGACGAAAAGCGAATGTCCGGCGCTTTAACCGGATCACAAACCAATGGTGCACATGGGCTCCAGTATCCTGCGGGAACAAATGGCGTATGAACCAATCCTTGGTCACCGGCTACCATGGGATTGCATCTCCTTACGATGCTCCACTGCCTTGTGGGTTAGACCTTTAGGTCAAAGGCTCGGGGAGTGGCCCCCTAAGAAAACCACCTGCTTCGGTTTGGGCACCCGGGCAGTATCACAGCCCACACACAAACGATGAACTCTATGTCTTTGGCAACTACTTTTATCGCTCCGAAAAACAAAAACAATCAATCGATTCAAATAATTATCATTACTATTATTGTCATTATTAATACTATTATTATTACTATTATTGTCATTATTATTATTATTATTATTATTATTATTATTATTATTTCCCACATTATTCACCCTCTTTCATACTTATACAGCGGCTCGGCTTTGGTGGAAATCTGACTGTATCTAAACGTTCTCGAGTCACTGTCCGGTTGAAAGTTGTATGTTACCATCGAATATGAGTACTGAAGCAGTTTTTCTGAAACCACGTGCGCCATTCAAACTGGCTGCCTTCAACGTTCGCACACTTATGCAGGTTGGTCAACAGATAGGGCTGGCTATGTCTTTGGAAATTCTTAATATTGATGTTTGTTGTCTATCCGAGACCCGTATTCAAGACTCTAGCGAAGTACTGCAAATTCGCTCTACATCTGTCACTTCAAAAAGCTTGTTTTACGTGCGCTTATCCGGGGACCCTGTGGCATCTTCGTCTGGTCTTGCAGGCGTTGGTGTCGCACCAAGCGCTAGAGCTGAGGCAGCACTAGTCGATTGGATCCCCATTAACAGTCGGTTATGTGCTGTTAGATTAGAAAGTTCCATAAAAGTGAGAAGAAATCAGCGTGAGAAACGATGTCTTTTCGTCATCTCCGCCTATGCCCCGACAGATTGCAGCCCGGATGCAATCAAGGATGAGTTTTACCACCAATTATCTGTTCTTCTCCAGAAAGTGCGTTCGACAGATATTGTAGTACTAGCCGGAGACTTGAATGCTCAGGTCGGGCGTCTAGGCACAGAAGAGAGTCGTTTAGGTGGCCGATGGGGACTCGTTGGTCGCAGGTCAGATAACGGGGACCGTCTACTGCAACTATGCACAGACCACAACCTGTTTCTGGCTAGCACTAACTTTCGGCACAGTCATCCCCGATGTGCCACTTGGCGTCCTCCCTCTGCATCCCAAGCCTGGACTCAGATTGATCACATCGCGATCAGCTACCGCTGGCGTGGTTGTGTAAAAGACTGCCGCTCCTTTTGGAGTACCTATCTGGACTCTGACCATGCCTTGGTCTGCGCCAATCTTGCCTTACTTTTCTGTGGACAACGAAGTGAACGCCATCAACGGATTGATGTTAGCAAGCTGGTTGCAACGTCTGTTGCAAGTAAGTATCGAACCGAGCTAGCCTCTAGGCTAGCTACCACTCCACCGAAAAGTATAGATGAGCATTGGTTGCAATTGCATGACGCCATGAAAATGGCGGGAACAGTCAGTTGTGGGTTTGCGAAACGTCCCGCTTTTAAGCACTGGGTTTCTTCTGGTTCCTTACAACTCATTGAAGCCCGTCGGTCTACTCCGGGTGACCGTGAGTTTGACCACAAACGAAGGATGTTACGTGAGGAAATCGGGCAAAGCTTGCGTAAGGACCGAGAAGCCTGGTGGTCGAAGCGTGCTAATGAGCTGGAAGCAGCAGCTGCATCTGGTAATTACCGGAATCTCTTCCCAATTATCCGAGCCACTGGCAGCAAGAAGTCTGGTGTGAGTGAAACAATCTGCGAGGATGATGGGATGCCAATCACTAACATCCATCGACGTCTTGGACGGTGGGCAGAATTTTTCGAAGGGCAGTTCAACTGGCCTGCTGCTCAGGCAACATCAGTCAGACTGTCCTGCCCTCCATGGCCGGTGACGACTGATCCACCAAACGAGGAGGAAGTCCGCAAGGAACTCCAACTCTTGAAGCGTTACAAATCACCTGGCCCAGATGACTTACCTCCGGCTCTTTTTAAAGATGGTGGTGACTTTTTGACTAAGGAATTGACGACGTTGTTCACAAAGGTTTGGGAACTAGACAGTGTACCAACGTCATGGAATGAGTCGATAGTTGTCCCTATCTTTAAAAAGGGTTCACGTCGTTCTTGTAACAACTATCGGGGGATAAGTTTACTTCCGATTGCGTCCAAGCTATTGGCTTCCGTCATTCTTCGTAGGTTGTTCAAAACCCGAGAAAGATTGACTCGCGAGGAGCAGGCTGGTTTTCGTTCTGGTCGAGGATGTATTGATCATATCTTCACCCTCCGCCAAATGTTAGAACACCGCCATACTTATCAAAGGCCAACAATCGTAGTGTTTCTTGACATCAGGGCTGCCTTCGATTCGTTGGACAGAACTGTTCTCTGGGATTGTCTATTGAAGAAGGGTGTGCCTGAGAAGTTTATTAACATCCTAAAAGCCCTATATACAAACACCTCAGGCAGAGTGAGGGCATACAACCACCTTTCTCCATTGTTCCATTCGAGTAGTGGGGTTAGGCAGGGTTGCCCAATCTCACCATTCCTCTTCAACTTTGTCATCGATGACATTCTGGAAACAGCTCTGATGAATGTAAGTAATGGTGGTGTGGATCTGTTGCCTGGAGAAAGACTTCTCGACCTTGAGTATGCGGACGATATTGTCTTACTGTGCGATAATGCCCAAGGCATGCAATCCGCACTTAATCAGTTGGCAATCAGTGTCCGTAGGTATGGTATGTGCTTTGCACCTTCGAAGTGCAAAGTACTCCTACAAGACTGGCAGGATTCCAATCCTGTACTCACCATGGATGGTGAACAGATAGAAGTAGTCGAGAAGTTTGTGTATCTGGGTAGCTGTATAAGTGCTGGTGGGGGTGTGAGTGATGAGATCAATGCACGAATAGTGAAAGCCAGAGCGGCTTATGCCAATCTGGGCCATCTATGGCGCCTTCGTGATGTTAGTCTGGCCGTAAAAGGTCGGATCTACAACGCGTCGGTGAGAGCAGTTTTGCTCTATGCTTGTGAAACCTGGCCTCTCCGAGTTGAGGACGTTAGACGACTCTCTGTGTTCGATCATCGCTGTCTCCGAAGGATTGCTGACATTCAGTGGCAACACCATGTCAGTAATGCAGAGGTTCGGCATCGTGTGTTCGGGCACAGAGATGATAATTCAATTGGTGTCACCATCTTGAAACACCGACTTCGGTGGCTTGGACATGTTCTCCGAATGTCGTCCCAGAGAATTCCACGTCGTGCATTATTTGCCGACTCTGGGACTGGTTGGAAGAAGCGGAGAGGTGGTCAGTGCATGACATGGTGTCGTGGCATGAAAGAAAGCTGCAAAGGACTGGCGTGTGTTGGTTCTTCACGACTCCCTGGTTGGGGTCTGAGAGATGGTGCTACACAGTGGCTAGAGACGTTATCAGATATGGCTCAGAATAGAAGCCAGTGGCGATCCTGCTGTAACCTTCTTTTACTTTCTTCATAAACAGTGGTTGTGTCTCCCTTACCTGAAAGATTTCTTCCGATTGTACCTTTGCGTTCCCTGATTACTAGCACATTACCTTACACCAATCTCTTCGTTATTGTTCTCTCTTTTTTTTTGTTGCGCTCCTTAGCTTTTTTTTTTCTTTGTATTCCTCTCGAATTTTCATTGTTTTGTGTGGCGCATATATATTGGCGCTCCCCTGTACCAATATTCATGTGTCCAAATAAATAAATAAATAAATTGAATGATCAAATTTCAATAGTATAAGAAGTCACTTAGTGATCAGTTATCATTTAACTAACCTTGCAAATTCATTAATACTAAGTTGTAATTCTAGTCGTTCATATATTTGATGCCATTTCTTGTGCAAATTATACCATGATGTTACTAATCGTGTCATACGTAACTGAAGATCTGTTATTATTTGGTCTTCTTCATCGCTCATATGACTCTCATTTTGTAAAGTCAGTTGATTTAATCCCATAGATGATGAATCTGACTTTTGACTGTAATTTGCATTTGACCTCACAGATTCAAGGTGAGGATCAGAGGAAATTGATCTAACTGTTGCAATTCGACTATGTTGTTCAGCTTTTTCTATAATACAATGCTTGTCAGTAACATTCACATTTTGTAAGGTATTATTCCGTAACTTCTTCCGCTGTTCACTGATCTTACAAATTTGTATTTCATCAGCTGGATTATTAGTTCCATGTTGTTTTCCTATTTCCGTTTTCAAATATAACTGAGACATTTCGTATGGCTGATGGCACTTTTCATATCTTGACTTATCATATTGCATCAAATGTTGTTTGAATGAAGCTTTCAGTCTTTTACCTTCTTCTAAATATGACTTGACTTTGTCATCTCTAGCATTTAGTTCGGCTCGCAACTGAAGTGCTTGACCCATGGCATATTTTATATTCTCAGTTGTACTGAAATATAAAAAGGACAATGTTTTATAAACTTTCGGTCATTTAGAGTAAAAACATTGGTAAATAATTATGGGAAATATTTGAAATATAAAAGTAAACATAAAACCTTGTTAAATTCACAGATGAGCAGACTTAGCAACGAAATTGGACCTTGTTACTTATGCAAAATAAAAAAAACGATCTAAGTATGGGACTTTTAAGGTTCTTTTGTTACTATGGTGACTAATTCATGCAGAACAACATGAAAACCAACTGATGTATTTTGAGAAGCTTAAAGGTTTCATCTTTCAGCAAACAGCAAGTCTGAATTTGCTAATGTACCGAGGTTAGTCATTTTACAGATAGAAAAGTAGTTAGTTTCTTTTCTATAATTAGGTGCCAACATAACGAGTTATTATTTGTTTTGTCGTAGTCATGATACTACTGTAGTGAACGAAACAAAATTACAGAATATCTTAGTGAAATCTGAGAACCATACAATGCTAATCAATTGTCTAAAACTTGACTGTTCCATTTGCAAATATCAGTCGGCTGTTTCAGACTTCATTGTTCCTGCATGTACATATCAATTGCCTAATGTTCCCGTTCTTTCCTTCTTGATCTTCATGAGATCCTGCTGCCAGACATTCTATTACTAACTAACGCTATATACTACTTATGTTGATACAAGTAGCACTAACCACATTACATTCCAGTGCTGTTTTAAAAATTATGTTTTTTTAAAGTCACACGGTTAGTTTCTTAAAGGATACTTTGAGGCAATGCTATTGAACAAACCAATGACATTGATAACTCGCTAGACATGGTTGGACTTCGTGAAAATGCTTTATATTTATTACTTAACCTTATACAGGCTCTCTACTCGAACACAACTGGAAGAGTGAGAGCTTATGGCGAACTGTCATCAGAATTGATTACCTCAAATGGTGTTCGTCAGAGCTATCCACTCTCTCCATTCTTGCTCAACTTTGTCGTCGATGTACTTTTAGAGATAAAACTTTCCTCGTCTAGATTTCCAAGGGTCGAACTTCTACCAGGAGATTCACTTGTTGACTTAGAATATGCTGATGACATAGTTCTATTTGGTGAAGACGCTGACAAAATGCAGAGTCTTATGACCACTCTAAGCAACAATGCAAGCATGTTCGGGATGTGATTCTCCCCGTCGAAATGCAAAATGTTGCTTCAGGATTGGGTTGCATTGACATCCGAACTAATGGTAGGGAGAGAAGTCGATCGCTTCACTTATCTTGGAAGTCTCATCAGTCCTTGTGGTCTGGTGTGTGACGAAGTCTCAGCACGAATACAGAAGGCTCGACTAGCTTTTACCAACTTGCATCATTTATGGCGTAGGTGAGATATCCGTCTATCAACCAAAGGACATGTTTACTGCTCAGCAGTTCGTTCCATCCTACTTTATGGCAGTGAACCATGGCCGGTAAGTGTAGAGGATATCCGTAGGTTACTAGTATTTGATCATAGGTGTCTTCGAAACATTGCTCGTATATCCTGGGACAATCGAGTAAGTAATGCAGTTGTTAGGAAACGGGTACTAGGTAAGGATGGCAAATCAATTGGTGACGTAGTGAAACTTCATTAGTTGAGATGGCTGGGACATGTGTTACGTATGCCCAACGACCGACTGCCTCGACGTACGATGCTCAATGGTATAGGAGTAAGTTGTAAGAGAGCTAGGGGTGGCCAGACCGAAACATGGCACAAATCCATTAAGTTACTGATAAGTGGACTGAGTTATGTTGGTAGGTGTAGACTACCTGGTTGGGGACCACGAGATGATAGCAACCGATGGTTAGAGACCTTGAATTACATGGCTCAAAATTGTTTGCAATGGCGCAGGTACATACACTCTTTGTGTTCTCCCAAATTCCAATCTCCTTATTCCTCCTTGTCTCTTTTTTTTCTCTTCCCAAATTCATTTCACTGTATTATACTCTTTAAATAACACACTGCTTATACTCTTATTACCTCTACCACTACGGGATTTGAATCGACCACTGTATCTCTATGCTAATGTAGTGTGGATACTCGAACTGATGTACGTAAGTACGAAGTTCTGCGTTATTACTGACTGACTGACTGACTCGAAATTAGACACTAGTTAAGTTGGGTGATTAGTTCAGCAGTTGTTGGGAATAAAAATCTAAATTTCATCTTACTGAAAGTTAATTCATCACCCTAATGATGTGTGACAAAAAAAACCTTGATTCAGTATTGAGAAGCTCATAGTTTTTGTTTAAGAAAACCGGAATGCCAAGACTTTAGTAATTGATAGTTTGACAGTAATGTAGATAATTGCTGTTGTTAATAACCATTTGAAGAAAGAACAAACATAAACAGTTCGGTTGATCATGACCTAACATATTCAGATGTCTGAAATGCTAATTAAAGATTTTGAAGCCAACCGCAATATTTACTGTAAACCAGTTGGTTTCGATATAATTATACTACTTATTTTGATTAGAAATGATAGACATTAGTGGAGAAGATTTGTAGCTCAGGTGGATGATTTTGGTGGAGTTTTGTTCTTTGAGGTGGATGGTTTGGTTGTGGCCAAAACTCCACCAAAATGATAGACATTATCTGGAATAAATATAGAGTTTTATAAATGCTTTAAAGTAAAAAGAAATAAATGATCACAAGAACTATTGTGCACCATTTGTGTGGTATGAACTAACAGAACTAAAAAGCAACTGTTCAATAGACTCACAAATGAGTTAAGAATGAATGCTGAAAAATATGGAATTCTAAATTACTAATTTTAATATATCCGTTTGATCATGTGTAGAAAACTGTTGAAAAACAAAAAAAATATTTGTAGTTAGCGCTCATTTCGTATGGAAATAACATTGAAAATTGCTGAACATTGAACTCCTTAGTATTGTTTGATATCTAATTCCCAAGTGGTCGAACCCAGATCATACAGATCTTGCTGCCATTACATAATATTCCGGCAACTGAACTAATCATATTGCACTACCAATATCAACTCCTGGTAGGGTCACGAATGAGGACTTCCGAAATGTTCTATAATAGGATAGAAAACTGTCCACTGTCATCTGATTTTAGACTAACATCTAGCGTCATACAGTTCATGATAGGTTGAACTGAACTAAGTCCATTCTATCTACTTAGGTCTCTTCACAGGATACAATACATTTGCAACTTTTAAACGATGAGGACTAGATAACTGGAATTCTTTGTATTATCATTATTATTGAGTTAGTGTTGATTATTGTTCAAAGCAAGGCAAAAGAAAAATATCCATAACAGATGAGGATTTATTTCACCAACCAATACACAAAGTATATTTTTAACCAATTACACCTTTGAGAGATGCCATGATGACCTTGATAGTGTGCACCTAATAATTAGGAACAAATGAGGGTTATAAACCTGTTTAAAGAATTAGAATTATGATTTACAGTTGATGATAAGACTAGGTATTAGATTCAGGGTTTTCATCGCGATCTAATGCCAAAATGCTATTTAGTCAAATGAATGAGTGAATTTCACGCCAAAATCCATGACCTGTTATCTTATGCCTGATTGATTCGTTCAGAAACATTATCGTTTATTCTTTCTGAAAATGACAAATGATTTTACATCACTTCTAGTTTATACTTTTTTTTCTTGTTTAGAAACTTTAATTGATAAGAAATTGGGAAAAGATGAATAAGACTAGAATTTGGCAATAAATAGAAAGATAGAAAACATAATAAACGGAGGTAGATTAATCATTATTGAGATGATATATCTATCTTTTGAATTAGAATGATTTAGATCTATTTTATATTGATTACATGATCAAGAATGTTTCCAGGACTTTTTTAGTTATTCATAGTGTACACACCTATGTACTATTTTCAAGTGAACGAAATACATCTATTAAGATATAGATCAGAGGTAAGCTATACCATCATAAATATTATACTCTTTTTCTTTTAATCCTTAGATGTTTATTACCTGATGTTATGAAACAATACTCACAATTTACAACTGTAGATTGGTAGTGGAGAACTGGTAAAAGCTATGCAAAAATCAGATTTATAAAGAATACTAAAATGTTTTTGAACGATAAAAGTCTTCATTCTTGAACTTTTAAATCATCATATCATAATTGAAAGAACAATAACTACGTTCAGTCCTGGGTGATTGACTGAAATCTAACAAATATCGTTGGTAAGAATAGGTTGATTATGAATACAGTAGTCTTGAGTGCTGTTAGAGGTATGAGGGAGGTTATCACTTCCCGGTTGCACACACCATGGAAGGGTTCTTCTGGAGGTACCTGAAAAGGAAATCAGATTAAAGGTGATCTTAGTGACCTGAGAGCGTGACCGCAGTGCCCAAGAGACAACTACTTGAGGTCGGTCACACATGACCTTTTTATGAGTAATTTTTGTGTTAGCTCCGTACTTGTTGAAACCTTATCACTAGAGACGGATATCTGTGGGATAAGGAGAGGTGTGCATTTTTAGGGTCGACCTTTTCTAACCCCACCCCTCCTTGTGGGAAGGCAGCATCGCTGTCATGCTGGTTGTCTGAAGGAAACACCTTACTGCTGTCACACCTCTGTACAGTCAGCAGTACGACTTCTCCTTCGGACCTTGGGTTTGTTGCGTTTAGTCTTACTGCTCTTCAACCGACCTGTCTGACATGGTAGGATCTTGAGAAACGGTTGTTCTAGCCAATATAGCTTGGTTGCTTCATCAGGATAGGCAAGCCCGACCACCATGTGAAGGTAGCAACAACGTTCGGGGTTGGTAAGAAACAACGATGTAAACTAATAAGATTAGTAATCAACAATTTTTATTGGTTTTTAAAATTCATAGAGCTAAGACGATTGCATCGGAAGTTCTTGTCGATATGGCAAAAATGAATTATTGACTATTGAACTTACAAGTTTAAGTTTTCTTAAAATACATCTGAACAAATAATACTGTTTTCAGTAAAATCCCCAGAACGCTTTACGTCTGCTTAAATTTATATCTTCGACCATAGAAGTAAAATATAAAACGCCTTCGATGCTTATTTTAATGACTAATTTGTGTACTAGACTTCTGATTCGAATCAGCCTGTTTAATGTTTCGGAGTATAGATAACAAACCCTAACTCTATACAATCAAAGAAGAACCTATGACTTATGAACTATGTTTAAATCTTAGGGTTATGTTGTTTTCGATTCGTGGTTAGTTTAGTTAACATCTTGTTTCAATTCTTTAAAAGAATTAACTGATAGCTTCTTGTTGTAGGTAGAACGAAAACAATCATAGTGGCTTGTCTAATGTTTTCAGTCTTTTTTACGAATAAAGTTTGTTCATGACAGAAAGTATGAACATTCGAGCTAACAGCTCTAGTCCTTGTGTTCAAAATCAGTTTATAATATCTCAGTGACTTTCTCGGCTGGAGAAAGCCCAATTATGCTTTTATTTAATTACTTTACCTGTCAATATATTATTTACTTGTGTCTTTTGCCTTAGTATGCTTGGGTATACAATCTGTTTTAATGTTATTATTTACTCACAAATTCCCTTTCTGGTCTAATATTATTGAACTACACATATATCAATGTTATTATGTTATTCCCATATATATGTATAAACTCCGCCTGGAGTCCCTCCGGAGGCTACTGCCGGTCCCAAGCCCGGTTAAAGGAGGAGGGTTGGGCATGGGGTTGGCGACCCCATCCCGTAGAAAACTAACTCGCTAACAATCGCTAACCAGAAAAAATTATTCAGAAATATATATGTATGTATGCATTATTATATATACTAGTAGAACAAAGCCTGATGAAGATTTATTCCAAACAATTTTGTTCACTTTCTATATGTTGTTGATATGTACACGATGAGTATTAATAATATTACAAAGGCGCATCATGAAAGCACCCGAAGTATGATATTATAGTCAGTATTTTTTTCGAATTCTCATTCGGAACAACATTTTTATTGTTTTCTTACTTTATGTGAGACTTCTGTTAATCATAGATGATGATGATGATTAAAACATTATCCACCATGATGAGAATCATGTTACTGAGTGAATTTGTCAAATTAATATTATGAATAGTCAATACAATTTAAATGGTAAAGAATAAATAATCATGAATGATAGACAGTAGATCTTTTAAGTGTCACCTTTTGATTGTTCATATTGATTAGAAATTCACTATCTTTATAACAACCCAATTTAATTACAAGGGATACTACGCCTAACTCTTAGGGTCTGAAAAGTCAGAAACATGAAAATTTCGCAAATGCGATGAAAATAATCTTGGTAGTCTAGTAATAGAATTCCGAAACCAGACAATGTATTTTAAGCGTTAGTTAAGCACTAACGCATTAGGCTGAACTATTTCGTTTACTACTCTACAAATGTGTTGTATGCAGTATAAGCAATATGGCTATGTAGAGCTGAAGGTCTCATATGAGGCTGGATGTTCGCCATTGGTATTGTGGACGGTTCGGCATTGCTTTGTCAAGTTTTGCTGACTGTTCATGCAAAAAATTGATTTGCTGGTTAACCGATTTCATTCATACTGGTGGTTGCTTTTCAGTGTTCCCGAGGGCCATTGTCATTGGGATATTGTAAGACATGTCACGATTGCTAACATTAACGAGTTTGACTATCGTGTAAGCGGAATAGGTCAACTTTGGCCTGTTCGTAATGTGCATAACTGATTCACGTGATCATTGTTCGGAATAACTATGCATACGATGTGAATGTGTATATGAATGGTGCGAATGGTCCACCAGAGTGCTCAGTACCTGTGTGGTTGCGCCACAGGATTGAGCTGTACAATTCAGATTGTAGCGTTAAAGCTTATACGGTGTCTGGTTCTCCTGTGAAGTGCGATTGAGCTGTACTGTTTGAGTTGTCACATGAAAGTCTGGATGGTGTCTGATTCTCCTGAAAACCAATGTAAAATTACCCTGGCCCACAAGAGTATATTATATAACTATGAATGAATTTAATTAAAGATATTTCAGTATGGTTCATCTAAAACTGAAATGATTTTAGTGAGACTATAATTTATAGATGACCTTTGAGAGATGCCATGATGACCTTGATAGTGTGCACCTAATATTCAGGACCAAATGAGGGTTATAAACGTGTTTAAAGAATTAGAATTATGATTTACAGTTGATGGTAAGATTAGGAATTAGATTTAGGGTTTTCATCGCGATCTGACATCAGCTATGATGCCAACATGCTATTTAGTCAAATGGGTGAATGAATTTCGCGCCAAAATCTTGTGCCTGATTGGTTCGTCCAGAAATTATAGTCTCGCCATGACTTCTACTGTAAATTGTTAGTTTTACAAAAAGCATCTATACAACTTGTTCGAATTGTGTAAAACCAAATAATGTACGATCCAGCTCCCCGTGAGATTCGAACCCAGGACCTATCAGTCTCGCGCTAGTGTCTAACATCAACCAATCCACTAACACTAAGACCATTGGATGCCGGCTCAGCGGTCTAGTTGGTTAGGCGTCTGGCGCGAGACCGATAGGTCTTGGGATCGAATCTCGTGAGGAGCGGGATCGTGGATGCGCACTGCCACTGAGGAGTCCCATACTAGGACGAAACGGCCGTCCAATGCTTCCAGGTTTCCAACGGTGGTCCAACATCGGTTGATTCATGATCTCAATCAAAAAACATAATAATCTCCACCTACCCCTATACTGTCAAATAATATAATTTGATTTGTAAAAAGATACGTTTTTTTTGTTATCCAAAGCTGATCATGACCAATTAATCCATGCTTAAAATGTCATTTCTTCTTGAAACACTATCGGATTTTAACAAATAGAACATAGTAAAGTATGACCAAAATAGAAAAAAGAAAAAAAAGTAAATCTCAACATTACATGTGATTCGATTTCTTGATGACAGTAGATTGTGATGGATTCATATTCCATATATCCATTTCAATATGTTCTAATTCTTTTTGACATTGTTGGGTCCAGTTGAAAAAAGCATCTAAATTGGATATCCAACGATATAATGCAATAGCACGTTTTAATCTGATACGACGAAGATGAGTTTTATCTTTAAGTTGATACCAGACAGAGAGGAGAATATCACGTGGTTTTTTTAAACGTTTAATCCAATTACCAGAATATAGAGGAAGAAGATAATCCGCTGCTTTTTCTACCCAATTAATCTGTATCATTGAATAAAATGATGTTAAGCAGTGGATAGTTCTATTTTTTAACACTACAAATGTTTAAACCGTCTTAAAATAAATTTAGATTCATGGTCTTACTTGAAATCTAGTTGTTTACTGTTATTAATCCTGGTAATGAATGGAAATCTGTTCACTTAAAATTGACCACTGTTTGCTGTAAATATGAAAATCTCATGATTCATAAACCTATTTACTTGCTCATTATTTTGGACATAATGTCACTTTATCGACGATCGAAGAAATCAGGATGACCATCAGACAAATTAAGAGAGGGAAAGCAGCAGGATTTGACAATATACCAGCTGAAGCACTTAAGTCAGACACAAAAATAACTGTAAACATGCTTCACGTTCTATTCAGGAAGATTTGGGAGGAAGAAGAAGTGACGCTGGCAGACTGGGAAAAAGGATATCTCATCAAGATGTCAAGGAGAGGAGATCTGAGCAAATGTAAGAACTATAGAGGAATCACAGTACCAGAAAAGGTTTTCGACAAAGTGACGCTGGACAGGACGAAAAACTCAGTAGACGTCCAGCTTCGATCTCAACAGACCGGATTCCGTAAGGATCGGCCGTGCACGGAACAAATAGCGACACTATGGATCATTATTGAGCAATCAGTTTGATGGTGTAAGCCACTATAAATCAAATTCCTTGACAGTTGGGAAAGGATGGTCTTATGTAACCTTTCTCGATACTATGGTGTACCTGAGAAAATCGTCGGCATCATACGGAATTCACACGATGGACTACAGTGCAAAGTCGTGAATGCAGAACAGTTGACAAACACATTCGAACTGAGGACCGGAGTCAGATAGGGTAGCTTACTCCTTCCCTTCCTCTTCCTTCTGGCGGTTGACTGGATTATGAAGACCTCCACATCTGAGGTGAAGCACGGAATACACTGGATAGATTAGAAACAAATAGAAGATTTAGACTTCACAGATGACATGACCCTTCGATCATATACACATGAACAAATGCATGTCAAGACAACTAGTGTTGCAGCGGCCGCTGCATCAGTAGGCCTCGACATACACAAGGCAAAAACCAAGATTCTCAAATTCAACACGGAGAACAACCAACCCAATCACATTCGATGGAGAAACTCTGGAAGAGGTGCAGACTTTCACGTACCTGGAGGATGAGCATCATCAATGGACAAGGACGATCCGATGCATATGTAAAGGCGAGGATCGGCAAATCAAGGGAAGCACTCCTACAATTGAAGAACATATGGAACTCAAAACAACTCTCAACCAATAACAAAGTTAGAGTTTTTATTACGAACGTCGAGACAGTCCTACTGTACGGAGTTGAAACTTGAAGGACTATCACAACCACCATCAAAAATGCACAAGTGTTTCTAAACAATTGTCTGCTAAAGATACCCAGTGTTCGTTTGCCGAATACCATCAGAAACAGCCTACTGTGAGGGAGAACGAACCAGCTTCCAAATGAAGAGGAAATGAGGAAAAGACGTTAGAAGTGGGTAGGACATATATTAAGGAAATCAACAAACTGCATCACGACGCAATCGCTAACCTGTAATCTTGACTAGAAACGGAAAACAGGAATAACAAAAAATGCATTGCGCCGAGTATTGGAAACAGACATGAAAAGGATGAATAGCAACTGGAAACAACTGAAAAAGATTGTCCAGAACAGATTTGAATGGAGATTGCAGATGGATGGCCTACGCTTCTCCATAAGGAGTAACAGTCGTAATTAAGCAAGTTTTTAGTATCTCTTTTTAAATTTACATTCTTGTTGATCAGTTATTTTTACAACCTATATGTTTTTCTTTTCACTTTGTTCATATTGTCCATGCCGGTAGTTATGTTCTTTGATTCTCTTCTAGAAAAAGTTTTTACACTGCTGCATTTCAATAATTATCAATGGCATACAAATCCTTTCGATATTTGAAACTTACAAACCTCAGTAGCTGAGTGGATAACGCGATGGCGTTTGAAGCGAATGGTACTGGATTCGAGTCCTAGAGTGAACATCAACTCTCTGAGATGCAGGTACATCCAGCTGACAAGTCCCAAACAGGACGAAACGCTCGTCTTGGATTCCACTGTTAGCCACTATTACAAACCTATCATTCAAGTAAGAGTATTTCAACTTATAGTAAAATATTCTTCATATTTAGAATGACCATAGATATGATTACGATGTCATCGGAAATGGAACTTTCTCTTATTAACAGTTTTCATATTCTTGTTTCTTAATATGATGGATCTTTTTTGTTGGTTAAGAAGTTTTGATTCCGATCTGGAGAAACTTGAAACTCAGGACATTCTTTACATTATCTGTGTCATAATCACTTTAAGTCCAATGAACTAACAGATGCAACTATTTAATTTGTGATACAAAATATTTATGAACGGTTGATTTAATAACTTACTAGTGGTTCAAGAGCTTGGACATCTTGTTCAAATGCAGATAACAATGAAAGTTGTTTACAAATGGCTTGTACGTCTTTACCAATGGATTGAGACAGTTGATCCGATTTTTCTTGAACAAGTTTCAAAGTTTCCTGTGATTAGTAGAGAATGTGCCAATGGGTGAAAGATGATTACTTTCAAGTTGACAATTACAATACAATGTAGTGACTTAACATTTCAATGACCGAACTAATATTTTCTGTCATTTTCTTGGTCGTAGAATAAAATTAGAAGAGTGGATTACTTAAACAGATTTCGCTTGAGTCCCATACTACGACGAAACGGTCGTCCAGTGCTTCCAGGTTTTTTCCATAGTAGTCTAGCTTCAATTGACTCATGAATTCATTTAGTAAATCACTCTAAAAGTCTTAGAAATTTATTCTTTCTTTTTAGTCAAACATTATTCATTGAGGGTTAGTATGCAACATGATGTTTACAGAATCACCAGCAAACCATACCACCAATCTCATCTAAACGACTCATTACATGCAGAGGGAACAATTTCCATAATGTCAAAAACAAATCTTATCATCAAATTAAGAAAAATGTAGGAAAAAGGATTTACAATATGTCTGCTGATAATTTATGAAAACTCAACAGTGAAATAATCTCCCTGTAAGTAATACCCCCTGGTAACCTTAATACAGTTCTTGCCATTTTAAAATAATCCAACATGATCAACAAAGAGAATGACGGTTTTTTACAAGACAAAAATTCATTAAAATGTCATTCTTAACATGATGGAAAATTGTGGAGAATAATATCGATACATGATCGATTGTTTCTTCATTGTCTCTGTTTCCTATGAGATGGTGGAGAAGATTTGTAGCTCAGGTGGATGATTTTGGTGGAGTTTTGTTCTCTGAGCTGGATGGTGATGATGTCGTTCAGAAGAACGATGAAAGCTCCACGACCAAACCATCCAGCTCAGAGAACAAAACTCCACCAAAAACTCTGTTTCCTATATTTTTTCAAAGTTCATATGATACGTTTACGTGTATAAAGAAAGTGTATCAGTGCAAAATGAATGAGAACAAAAACTTACAGAGCAACGAATTATAAAAATAAATCGATGAGCAGCTGAAATTAATAATTTAACTCGTGAATAAATTAATTCACGTAAATCAGCCCATGTTTCTGAAATAATATCTTGCCAAAATGCAATACGTGGAGAATCTGAATGTTTTGTACGTATTAAACAACGACACATATTCATAACTCTTGCTGTACGTTCAGAAGCTAAACCAGATGTATGTACAAATTGATCAGTTATGTTTATGGTATATACTGTTGAAATAGGATCAAATGAATGTAATTCAACTTCTACAAACGATGTAAAAGATTCACCTAGAAGATTTTCACCAAAATGCACAAAGCGATTGATAATACGTACACATTCATTCAAACTTCGACCAGTGTATGTTGAAGAAGCTATAGTGATTTGTTGATTTAACCAATTCTGAAGGAAAAAAAAATGAGATGAAATTTATAGAATATGTAGATACTTGTGAGAAATCTATATGAGCAAATTCAACTATTAAACACTTTTATGAACACAAACATGTTGACAAAATGAACTTTTCGATACAGATATCACTGTATATTCTAAGAGAACAAAATGTTTTAGCTATAAAAGATAATCTGTTATGAAGAATTGCACAAAACACTTTATATCGAAACCTTGAAAATGACTTACTCAAATGAGTCGATTCAAATACATTCAATAATGACGTTAATAATTGTAGACAGATATACCATATAAACGCGTCAACGCATTTATCATGATATATATACGAATGCGGATTATATATATATAAATTTATCCTGATTGTTAAGGGTTAAAAACAGAATTATTCACCTTGCATATAGGCTCATTTGAGTGCACAACTATTTTGAACTGGTATACGCTTGTAAGTAAGGCTTCTACAACAATGAAGCTAACGGATATGTTTATTATATTGAAAAAGTCAAAGGTGGCCCAGATTAGCATAAGCCGCTCTGGCTTTCACTATACGTGCATTGATCTCATCACTCACACCCCCACCAGCACTTATGCAGCTACCTAGATACACGAACTTTTCGACTACTTCTATCTGTTCACCATCCATGGTGAGTACAGGATTGGAATCCTGCCAGTCTTGTAGAATTACTTTGCACTTCGAAGGTGCAAAGCACATACCATACCTACGGACATTGATTGCCAACTGATTAAGTACGGATCTCATGGCTTAAGCATTAACGCACAGTAAATAAATCAAGCTTATATATTTTTATTTGACTTTTGCCAATATTTCAAAGTGAAAGTACTTTAAATTTTACAGAAAACTAAATTTTATTCTTAAAACTTTTGATTCCTAGTAGAAGCGTAATTTTATGTACTAGGTCATTTCAATTTTCGAACTTTATGTAGTAAAGTTGTGGGGACAAACCCTTCTGACATTTGAAAGCTTGATTGTGCAATAAATTTTTAATAAACTTTGAAATGTATCGAGTGACTAGTGTTCTTCGATTTATGGCTAAAGTATGACTGGTGAAGTAGGCAGATCTTCGTGAAATCTGATCATTTTGAAGTATTTATGAAGAACGGCAGGTAGTACGTCAGATACGGTTCTGCCTATGAGATATCAATTTTATGTTAAAACGTATTGTTTGATCGTGTATGTTTACCTTAACACATTTTTGTTTAGATATCAGTTTTTCATTCTATTTTTAATCAATGTAAAGTGTTTCTATCCAGTTGTTGTGAATATAAACGTAATCTTCACTAAGGATCCATGTTTCCATATTCATCACAGTTGAGCAATATGATTTCGAATAATATTATTCATTAGTGTACATCAATCATTTGGAGTTCCTGTAGTCTTAGCTGTCTATTTCATTAATAGCGATTACTTTGATGTATATATATACTCTTTTTCATAATCAATCAGGATCATTTATAAAGTCAATAAGTTTTTGAAACAATGTAATCTAGTTGCAGATTTGTATTGATTGTCGATACTCTAATTCTAATAATCCTAATGATAATAATATTGGTTAAGTAAAACATAGTACAACATAGAAATACAAAGAAGTTCATCTTAAGCATCACTATTTGGTGTTTTATCAATATATTTAAATATAGTTCAATCAAGGCCCCCAGATGCCTTGGTATGGCCGAGGGTGGGATAGGCCCGCCCTCCCTCTAGAAATACTCTCACACGGCCACGCATATACAGCCTCTGTCAGGCAAGTCCTACTCACTATCTTCTCGTGGCCACAGTGTTGTTCACGAAAATGAGAGAACGAAAACCGAATGTCCGGCGCTTTAACCGGATTCCAAATCAATGGTGCACATGGGCTCCAGTATCCTGTGGGAACAAATGGAGTGTGAACCAATCGTTGGTCACCGGCTACCATGGGACTGCATCTCCTCACGATGCTCCACTCCCTTGTGAATCAGACCTTTAGGTCAAAGGCTTGGGGAGTGGCCCCCTAAGAGAACCACCTGCTTCGGTCTGAGCGTCCGGGCAGTATCACAGCCCACACACACAAATATGGTGTGGCGCATATGTAGTTGATGCCCTCTTGTACCAATATTTATGTGTTGAAATAATAATAAATATAAATAAGTTCAATCAAGACTCATATATTAAAGTTAGTATAACAACAATGACTAGACATAATGAAGATAACTGAACTTCAGTTTGAATATATTTTGTATAAGATCTCACTCAAAACGCTCGATATAGGAAACATATATTACTAAGGTAGCTGAACTTACTTTCAATTCTGAAACTTCTTCATAAACAATGCTCAAAGATAGAATTTCTTCTAAACGTTGACGTTTCTGTACGCAAACATCTAATAGACTTGCATATTGACGATCCATAATTCGTTGAATAGACTGTATAACTTGGATACGTTTACGTAGTTGTTTAATTTGACTACGAAGTTTACGACGATTTATTAAATTATCAAATGAACTTTGTTTTACTTTATTCATATTTTCATCATGTAGAATAGACTGTGACCATTGACTTTGAGTAGTTCGTTGGTCAACTTGCATTTCAGACAATTGCTCAACAACTTTTTGTAGATTTTCATTTGTTTTAATTAAATCTAGTTGATTTTTGTATTTTTCTTTACGTTCCAAAAATTCATTGATTAGCTTTAATGATTTCTGATCTTTTATTCCCAAAAAATAAAACACAAACAATCAGAAAATATCATACTATTATTATTATTATTTGAACACATAAATATTGGTACAAGAGGGCATCAACTACATATGCGCCACACCATATTTGTGTGTGTGGGCTGTAATACTGCCCGTACGCTCAGACCGAAGCAGGTGGTTTTCTAGGGGGCCACTCCCCGAGCCTTTGACCTAAAGGTCTGATCCATAAGGCAGTGGGGCATCGTGAGGTGATGCAGTCCCGTGGTAGCCATTTGTTCCTTCAGGATCCTGGAGCCCATGTGCACCATTAGTTTGGAATCCGGTTAAAGCGCCGGACATTCGGTTTTCGTTCTCTCATTTTCGTAAACAACACTGTGGCCACAAGAAGGTAGTGAGTAGAACTTCTCTGGCAGAGGCTGTATATGCGTGGCCGTGTGAGAGTATTTCTAGAGGGAGGGCAAGCCCAACCCACTCTCGACCATACCACGGCATTCGGGAGCTATCAGAATATATCATACACCACAACCTGAAGTAAATATACGTCCTCTTTAGTTGTAATTCTAACACATATTAAAAAAAAGCTATGAAGACTTGGTGGAATCTTCATTTTCAATGACTACAACATTAGTTTCTATATTATTCAATCTTGAAATATTTTATTACAATATCCACTACATCAGGGTATGTGTCAATTCATCAACAATGCAATACTCATTGCTAAGTAACAAAAAACAAGAACTTAATATCTAATTACCTCATTTGAAGGATGCGTTGATAAGTTTGACGAACTTCCAAAACGTTTCTATTTGCTTTACTAAAGTTCTTATTTGAAATGAATTGAAAAGCTTGAAGTATCAATCTTCTGACGGAAGTTGATAGTTTGAAATCAGACATATCAAGAGTATGCATGATCTTCAATTCACTGATGTGTAACAGGATGTATCTCTTTTTTTCAGAAACGTTTCTTCTAATAGTAAATTGACGTCGTAAGAATAGCTATCTTGTATCATTCACTTGGTATTGTTTTACTTGAATCTTCCCATTGATATTTTAGGACTGAAATTGATCAGTCTCTTATTGGCATATATGCATACTGTGCGTAATGCTTCGATATTGCCTTAATTTACAAGCATTATAAGCACAGATGGATAGTGGCTAGCAGTGGATGCAGGTACATCCAGCTGACGAGTCCTAAACAGGACGAAACGCACGTCCTGGATTCCACTGCTAGCCACTATCTATCTTTGCTTATATCTTATATCATGTTAGAATTAAAAACTTTAAAAAACGTTAAATTTTGTATTTGTCTGAGACAAGAATTGTTTTGTATTATTATTACTGAAACATGTTTCACGTAAAACGACTTATTTTACTGTTAGGGTTAATGTTAAATTAAAATTACTTCATTATGGATTACAGCAGAAATCAAATACTAATTTGAGGTCTATTACAATTTTTTATGAAGAACATACGGAACTCAAAACAACTGCCTGTCAACCAATATCAAAGTCACAATCGTCAATACGAACGTTGAGACAGTCCTACCGTACGAAGCTGAAACTTACAGAACTACATCAATCATCATCATGAAAAAGCTACACGTATTTATAAACAATTGTCTAAGCAAGTTAATCAATGTCCTTTGATCAGATGCCATCAGCAACAGCCTACTATAGAAGACAACAAACCAACTTGCAGGTGAAGAGGAAATTAGAAAAACACTCTAGAGTTGGATAGCAGACATATTAAGGAAATAATCAAACTGCATCACGAGACAATCGCTAACTTGCTATTGTGAAGAGATAAAGAAAAGAGGAAGGCTAAACAACACATTACGTTGGGAAATGGAAGGAGACATGAAAAGGGTTACTAGCAACCGGAAACAAATAGAATGAATTGACCAGAACATGTTTGGATGAAGATTACTGGTAGGCGGCTTATACTCCACCACGAGGAGTAACAGGTGTAAGTAAGTAACTTACTTCTAAACATATGTATATACCCGTTTAAATACATAATATTGGATAAAGTCATTTACTTTTTAATGTTGAATCATTAAGGATATTAGGAAACAACACAAAATCAGACGAAAACAACAAGCCTCTAATGTAATAACATGACTTATTTGAATTAGACAGACTAAAATATGACTTTTTAAAAGATTGAATGATGCATTTCCATACTCAGTTCTTCTGAAACTAGAACTTATCATAAAAATTGATGAAGAACTTCATCAAAAGTAAAATACGATTTTATGCACATCATACAAAATAGACAAATAAACTGAGTAGATAAATGCGGAACGACAGTAAACGCACACACACACACACACACACAAAAATAACTCAAATCTCAAGTCCCATGTGTCCAGTAAAATGTAATTAATAATTTAGACAAAATGTAATATATCAACTTCACAATGATTCCAAACACGAAAAAAAAGGAATCAATAATCATATTCCAGTAATATTCTTGAATTGAATAAGGAGAAATTACTGATGACTACAAGTAGACATGCGTTTTCAATACTGATGAGTAAACGGTAATTTTCAATAATTGAACAGAAGTCAATTAGTCTCAATTCCTAGTATAAGTCATTACTTACTTACTCCTGTTACTCTTCGTGGAGGAGTATAGGCCGCCCATCAGCACACGTCAAAATAAATTCGTTTATTCCATTGATTATTTTTAACTGATTCAAGCCTAATACACTATTGAATTTGAAACGAATGTTTCAAAACATATGCGTTGCTTTCAACTAATTAACTAACTTACTAACTAACTAACTAACAAGAAAGTATTGACTAAGTGAGGATAACATGAGGTGGTGGAGAAGATTTGTAGTTCAGGTGGATGATTTTGGTGGTTGCACACGACCAAACCATCCAGCTCAAAGAACAAAACTCCACCAAAAAGAGGATGCCATGAACATTGCGATGTAATCGTTACCATTAGCGTAGTTTTTATCGAACAACTGTGGCTGCTCTACTTGATTTTCTCTGTAATTCAATTTGTGATAGGTTATAAATATTTTTGATGAGGAAATATACATTTAGGTGGCGGATAGATAATAAAAGTTCCTTAAAGCAAATTTAGATCATTCAATGAACATTTGAAAAAAATATGATGTCCTGGATGTTTGATCAATTGACTGTGTCTACCCTACCGTTTTAATGATACAATATTCATCATCATACAATAATAAACTTCCAATGTCTCAATGAATAAAACAAAAGAAATTGAATTGCTGATATAATTTGACTTTGTGTAAGCTACTTCTCTAAAGAATAAATAAATAAACAATTGGAAATGTCACGTGAGACCAGATCACCATGGAAAACCTGGGGGCACTGAAAGGCCGTTCCGCCCTGGCGCGAGACTCCTCAGCAGTGCGCACCCATGACCCCGCGGGACTCGAACTCAGGACCTGCTGGCTTCGCGCGCGAGCACTTAACCATTAGACCACTGAGCCGGCCAGCATCCAACAGTGTTAATGTCTAACTTCAACCAATCCACGAAGTCGCACCACCGTACACCATTGTCTACAGTGAGCTGATATCTCACAACAGACCTGGTTGAACTCTACCGGTAACTGTTTCTCTCTAGAACTCCAGGAGTATCTCTTGAAGTCAGTCACTAGTGAACAGATGATTATTATCAGAAGAAGTTTGTGGAGATTTTAGAAATTTCAACTTGTGAAGTCATAATAATAATGTGAACACAATTCAAAACCTAATCACTCTGAATAATAAGTCAATATTACTAGGGTACGTTTAAGGTAAGAACAAGCTGTTTTTGAACACACATAGGGGGAGGGGGTGAAATTTCGTATAGTTAAGGCTTCAACAAACCTTAGTATACGCCCTTTTACCCTTGTACAACACCACAAAAGCTGAGTTTAGATCAATCTTATGACCTATTTCAATTATATGTTTAGCAATAGAGGATGATGGATGTTTATCCTCTGCTCTTATTGGGTCACCTGATTGCATTTGTTTCTGCAGCCATTTGGGTACATGTTCACTGACCCTAATCTAATGTTGAGATCACGATTGCTTCTCCTTAGGTATGTGTGACCACACACACATTTAAATTGGTAAACATAGTGGGACGTGAAACAATCGTTCTCATGTCTTTTAGGTTTTGAATGAAGCATAATAATATTTATGTTATTATTTTAATTATAAACAACAACAACCACAAAAAACCCCCAACAACTTGAAATCTACTTCAATATATATATATATTGAAACAAATTTTATTTGATAATGTTGTTGCCTAGTTGCCTAGTTAAATGAAATCAACAATCTTTTTCCTTTTTGTTCAATGTTAAATCATAAAGAAAACAAATTATACATAATAGTTTTGACAGTCCACTTATAAAACTAATCACTTTTTCATGGTTGAATGCTAAATAGACGTCAAAAAGTCGTAATATATAGATTATCTGAAATCTAGAAAGAGAATAATTCTAATTGTAATAAATGAAATTCACTTAGTTCATTATTAGTTTAGTTTTAAATATCTGACTCCAATTGGATTGCATACTGATTGTCATTGAAATACACATGTCGACTATCCTTGTACATAATCCTTCAGTTAAATCGTGTTGGTGGTGAATAACAGATACGGGAATGGGACAGGAAATGAGAAGGATGAGGCAAATAGAAGAGAGTGAAGCGAAATGAAACGCGTTGGAGAAGGTTTGTGAGCCAACTTCATTTCATCAAGCGGTAATCAATATTTATAGTCACACAAAAATAAGTTACAAACATGTAAATGAATAGGATAAAAAGTGCACACATATATACGCTCACATAACAAAAGTCAAGATTGATAAGCGAATAATTACCAAGATCAAAATGTGTGTCCAGAAGCTAGAATAAGGTATATGGGCTGAACATAGCAACCGACACTACAATATAATCACTTGTTGAATCACTGAGATATAACTTAAATGCTTTTTTTACCGATTACGATTTGATCGTAAACAACAGCAACGATAACAACAACAACAACAACAACAATAGCATATCAAATATTCAATAGATTTTTTGACAGTTAAAACGAAATACACATATGAATAATTAGGTTTCCTACAACTAACTTCTTCGAAGAAACTATATTTATCCAAAATTAGAAGTAACACTCATGTTTGACTCGGTAGTCTTTACTCAGCTTCGTTGGGGAAATGATCAGAAATCAAAAATCATCTAATATACTATAGGTTTCATTCATAAAACAACCACATACTCAAACTTTTTCCAATCATGTTATGTTGTAGAATTTGGAATTTATTCGTGTGAATACAAGTCATGAAATGTGATGAAACTGTAGTAACTGAATAAATTTGTGAGGATCTGATGTGTCACAGTGCTATCGATCATGATGCAATGTGGCCGCCAGTCTAGGTGACTCGACACTGCGGGCACTATATATTGAGATTTTAGATGGTGATTGGAGGTAGTCGACAGGATGCTCTGGACCCGGGTTTTGTGCTACTTGGCACTCGTCAGCAAGGTATACCTGTAATCTTGAGGGAACTGGTGCTCCCTGACAGATTCAATCTCGTGCCACCCAGCTTCACAGTCAGAGACGTTATCATTGAGCTATCTGGGCCGCGACCAGGTACACCTTGCTTTATTATTGATAATTATACTGCTTATGAAATGTGTACTCACAGCACTCATAATTGAAAACTTTAAAACTAACTGATTTACATAAAATAATGATCGAAAAAATCATAAAACTTACTGAAATCACGAACACAATTTGCTAACAGCGTATTTACACGAAATTCAATATGAGCATGTTTTTTAAGTTCAGTTTTAGCTGTAATTATATCACGACTAGCTCTTGATTCTAATAGTAACATATCTTCACACTCTTGTAACCAATTGCGTAATTCTGCAAATTCATCAAGATGTGTAAAACATTGAAAGCCTATATTTAATCGTTCAGTACGTTTAGACATTCGATCAATCAGATTTTTTAAATCATAACGTAATTCTATCACTAATGTATCCAAATCGATTAGAATTTTCTTAGGGATTTTATATTTTACACCTATATCAGTGGATAATTCAATTTCAATGATAGAATGATCGTCTATTTGAATGGTCATTGTTTTCTCAGACGATCTAATCTTTGATTGTTGAATTGTTTTACAATCATCATCATCAATGACTATTTCAAACGTTGATTGAAATTTCGTTATAATATTAACTGCATCCTAGAAACGTTAAAAAAAAAAGAAAAGAAATATCAGATATAATACAATGAGTTATCGTGATAGAAAACTGAAATAAACTCCCACCACCACCCTCTAAATATTTATGTGAACAAATCGCAGTAACTAGGCTTGTTTTTTCCCGTTACTCCAAATTAATGTCAAATAGTGATTAATAGATATAAGAACGCATGATTTCTTCTCTTTTTTTCTGATTATCATTTAGGTTGGATATAAAAATACCCTATGATAACCAATTGGAATGAATAAACTTTCTATTACTACCCCTAAAGAATAGAGTAGTTTATTTCATCCTAAAAAAAAAAAATCTTTCTACATTATAATCGCAAAATATTTAAAAGTAGATAGTCATTTAGATGAGCAAAAAATAGCTTTTCAGGTCAGAAAACATTTATAACACAACAAGGAATAAAATCTAGGAGAATAGTGTCTCTTGACTACTGAGTTAGAAGTTGGTTGTCTCTACTTTCATTTCTGATAACGTACGTAATATTCAAAGTGAATAAACCAACGATAGATCCCCAAAACTCATATTTTGTAATCTCATCTTATCGATTAAATATTTGAATGGCAGTCAATTGATGAAATTATTGACTAATGCTTAAAAAGATTTCCATGTCAATATCGATTATAAATATTTGTATGAATACGCTTGATTTGTGTGCCTGATTGACTTGACTTGACCTGACCTGGTTTCGGCTGGTTGCCTGTAGAATACACTTTCTACGCCTTGCCAAGACTTCTTGATCGCGTTAGCTGAGTCAGGGACGACGAACCAGAATAGTCTATCGAGATTTTGAATTCTTTGATTTGATCGATAAGTTACTACCCTCTAATCGGCGTCCCTTTGAGTTATAACATTGTAATATCTCAATGAGTAGAAAAACTAAATTTTCTGACGTTTCATGACTCAGAGTAAGTCACTTATTCAGAAAATCAGAGAGTCACGAAAAATCGAAAAACTTACTTTCTCTACTCATTGAGATATTACAAATATATATTAATTTATTTATAACAACCAACCTAATGCTCAATTTATTTGAAACTATCAAGTCAAATCTTGGTAATCATGTGATGCGTGCTACTTATATTGATATAAGTAGTATATGATGCGAGTTAAAAACGCAATGTCTGGCAGCAGAAGATGGGGGAAGATCAACAAAGGAAGAGCAGGAACACAATGCAATTTGTAAGAGAACGCATGAACAATGAAATGTGAGACAATGGATTGATGTTTGCAACGGGAACAGCTCAGGTTGAGATGATGGATTGATATTTCGTAAATTAACGATTTACTATATGGTTTTTCTATTTTACCAAGTAACTCTATAATTTTGTGCTAAAAACATTCGACTGTCCCCATCCGTGTTCTGTTCACTACAATGATACCTATAGATCTAAATAACACGATTCCTACCATTTTCTGATACATTAACAATAGGTCATTGACTGACTTGATACTCAGTTGCTTTCAACCACATCCAACGAGTTTCAGTGGAGAAGAAACAGGTATATAGTTCATTATGTTCTCAGTTGGTATTATTATTTACAAAAAACCATTGATAAAGAATATGCAATGTAAGTCGTGTCAAATATAATAATCTTATGCCAAATAGCATGAATACTCATAGTTTAGAAATTTACCCACTTGTATCGTGATTTCCATTCTATTTGTCCTATTGGCTACTTCTTTTATGAGTAATTGATGTTGCCTGATTAGCTGATTTACAGCAAATAAGGAACGACCAATATAAGTGTTATCGGCTAAAAGAAGTTTTTCATGAGTCCAAATCCTCTCATTTTCTAAATCTCTGAATGAAAACAAACATTCAATAATCATATTCAGGCTATTTAAAGCTGAAGTACACTTTTTCGTAAGGTAAATTATTGGAAAACTGATCTTACATCATTTATTTATACACTTAGCATCGATAGAACAAATCAAGTTATGAAGACTACACAAGTGAAACTAACTAACTTGAATTAAACCATCCATGAAAACTGAGTTGTATGGAATAAATTTATGTTATTCCTCATTGTTAAATATATTTAAGCTTGTTAGAGTTGTAACATATAAGGGATGTTAAAATGTGGATTCCTCCAACTTGAACCAAAATGACCTTATATTCTTTTGAGTTTCTGTCGTCAAAAGAAGATCGACTGTTTCACCTTAAATTAATCACACGAAATATTATTGAAAATGATATCTTTTTAGAATACTATTAAAACATAATTCTGTGTCATTCTGCTCATAATATGCATCTGAAAGAGTGAACTATTCTTTTCCACTAAAAACTTCATGGAATGCAGTTTTGCGGTTTTACATAATTATGGCACATAAGTGATCTGGATAACCTTTCATTACGGTCTCTATTTAATTTTGGTAAAAAAAAATTGGCGCAAGACTGATAGGTCCTGGGTTCGAATCTCGTGAGGTGCAGGATCGTGGACGCGCACTACGGAGGAGTCCCATACTAGGACGAAACGATCGTCCAGTGCTTCCATGTTTTCCATGGTGGTCTAACTTCAATGGACTCATGATTTCTAAAAATCTCCACAAACCCCTTCTGATAAAAAAAAATTGTATCTAATTTTATAATTTTAAATAAAAATGAAATTCATTTCCATATTACACATGTCAGATTTTGTTGTCAATTGGCAACTATTTACAATCTAATAACCTTCACTCTGTGGATGGCAGATTCTTAAAACTTTATATTTTGTTTGTATTATCTCAGAATACCTCAGCATAACTGAGTGCATAAAGATAATAATAAATATGTATATTTGTTTACGCTCTGATAATTTAATGTAACAGGACTGCTCATTAAAATGAATGTAATTGGTCTCACACGCAATAAATAAAACTTGATTTTAATGAAATCATGTTTGTTTAATTAGGTCAATGAAATCCTCTTATCGATTTGGTCCGGATATCACGCTAGTTTAAAAGCTTTGTGACAACGGTCAAGATAATTATGATTCATCAATGAATGATATCGAAACATTTCCACTATAGTACTAACTAGATATATAAAATGATTCAAAACCCATTCTGATAATAATAATCACCTGCTCACTAGTGACTGACTTCAACAGATACTCCTGGAGTTCTAGTGAGAAGTCGTTACCAGTGGAGTTCAACTAGGTCTGTTGTGAGATATCAGCCCACTGAAGACAATGGTGTACGGTGGCGCAACTTCGTGGATTGGTTGAAGTTAGACATTAACACAGTTGGATGCTGGCCGGCTCAGTGGTCTGATGGTTAAGTGCTCGCGCGCGAAGCCAGTAGGTCCTGGGTTCGAATCCCGCGGGGGGTGGGTTCGTGGATGCCCACTGCTGAGGAGTCCCGTACTAGGGCGAAACGGCCGTCCAGTGGTTCCAGGTTTTCCATGGTGGTCTAGCTTCAATTGGCTCATGATTTCAACTTGTATAAATTTAATAGTTATGAATCGATGAAACCTAGACCATCATGAAAAACCTGGAAGCACTGGACGGTTGTTTCATTCCACTAGTTCGCATTCACGATCCCGTTTGCGAGATTTGAACCCAGCACCAATCAATTTTGTGCGCCAACGCCCAACCTCTATACGACATAGTCAGCATCCAATAGTATCAATGTCTAACTTCAACCAATCCACGGAATTGAGCCACCATCTACCATTGTCTTTAGTGAGTTACTATCTTACAACAGGTTTTTCATGGTGATCTAGCTTTAATTGACTCATGGGTTCAACTATTAAATCACTATAATATCCACAAAACGTCTTTCTGATCATTTATAAATTGTTTGATGATGATGATGATTACGAGAGCAATTATAATGATAACAAAACTTACCTATAAAGTTGATAAATGTGTTTTTGTGCTTTCAGTTCTTCAGTATGTTCATAAACAAATATTTGAATTTTCCAAAATTTCTTGATTAAACTCTTCATTTTTAACTCTGCTTCAGTATTCTGATTTTGGTTATCAAGATTTGATAGGATCTTGGAATGTTCCTGAAAGTAATGCAAATTGGGTAAATCATTAAACTAAGATTATTTAAAATTAATTTAATAGAGAATGATTGATTTAGTTCTTATCCGGATTGAAGTATTTACCTCTCAAAGTACCTGAGTAGAAAGTTCAGACTGATGGACTTAATTTACATTAGAAGATAGAAACCGTTGTTTGTATCTTACAATCGTATGAATGAGATTAAATATGTGAACGATTGAAATTCCACTTAATAGTTTAGAGGTTAAGCAAGCTCATTGATAGACCTATAGACATGATCATTGAAATGGATTTCTTATAAGTAATCCCTCACCTCTTAGTTGCAGTTCAGCCCTATCCACCATCATTTCCGAATGAATTGAAGTATTATTCATTAAGTATTCATTTATTCAGTATTCAAAATAGAATTTCTTGATAAAAAGCAAATTGAGAACTTTAGTGACATTCAATTCTCCTAAACCTATAGTGACAGTTTTAATAACTGTGGTTATATTGTGGAGTGTGCTACTTATATTGATGTAAGTAGTATATTATGCGAGTCAGGAACTTAATGTCTGGCAGCAGAAGATGAGGGGAAGACCAAGAAAAGAAGAGCGAGAACACAATGAAATTTGTTAGAAAATGCATGAGCAATGGAATGGGAGACAATGAATTGGTGTTTACAACAGAAACAGTCCAGTTTGATATGATGCATTAATATTTTGCAAATTGACGATTTACTATAAGGTCTTCAGATTTTATTGAAATAGTCTGTAATTTCTGTGCTCAATGCATTCGATTGTCCCCACTCGTGTTTTTCTTCACTACAATATTACTGATGTTGATATTTTCTGCTTACAATTTTCTTCACATGTCACTTAACGAAACATTTGACTTTCGGTTCTGTCTTTGAGGCACTTATCACTAGTTGTGATACCACATTTAGCTTTCCAATGAATACATATCATAAATTGAAGTGATTGGTGATTTGACTTGTACATTTGTTCCTTAGTAAAATTTCGATATAAGTAATATATGTATCAGTATTGTGCAAAACAGTGTCGTATATCAATTATTAGCATCTGAATGAAGCATTACGATACACAACAATGATGACATTTACTCACACAATATATGATATTTAAAAAATATATGAAGATATAGCGAAGGCATGAAATGATTGCATGGCAACCAGGACATTTAAAAAAACTTTGCAATACAAAAGAGTACATATATGAATGAAAAATATTCAGATCAAGATATCCTTCCATAGTAAATTGATATGGTTATTAATTTCATAAGAAGTGTGTAGAAGTAGAGTTATAATATAATTCAGAAACCATTAATCAAGAAGTACTTTAGCATTACCATAATCTTAGTCATTACAATGCTAATAACAATCCTACTGTGTTCATTCAAAGTGTGTAGGGCGTGGAAAAAATGTAAGTGAAGCGTAGAACAAACAATAACTGACTTTTCCCATAAATGTGATGTACATAAATGTCGATTTACTACATTTTCTTTTATGAAGCAAAATTCATATTCACTTATTTGTTTATTTATTTATTTTAACACATAGATATTGGTATAAGGAGGCACCAAATATATATGCGCCACACAAATCTCATTCGATATGTGTGAAGGCCGTGATACTGCCCGGGTGCCTAAACCGAAGCAGGTGGTTTTCGTAGGAGGCCACTCCCCGAGCCTTCAACCTGAAGGTCTAATCTACAAGGCAGTAGATCAACGTAAGGAGATGCAGTCCCATGGAAGCCCGTGACCAACAATTGGTTCATACGCCATTTGTTCCCACAGGATACTGGAGCCTATATGCACCATTTATTTGTACCAGCATTTGACTGATGAACTAATTGCGGTTATTTAGTATACCAGTAAACATCATCTATTAAAATGTGACGTGAATGTGAAAACTAATACTACAAATCAAAAGTGAATCATTAAACATTCATTTAAGCAACTATTTAGAAAATCAAAAAATGTTTACAAGAAAACGTAGGATGCTTTCAATACCATAAAAAGTGTTGAAAATAATGGCTTGAAATTCAATATCCATACTCTTGTCATTCACTACAGTCGAACAAAATGTTGGTTTGATGAAAAATCAATACTCTATTACTTTTTCCTTCAAGGACATCTAGGCAATCAACATATCTGCTTTTAAACTATATGATCAAGATACACTTCAAAAAAAAAACGTAAGCGATGAAATCTATTCGAAAAGAACTAACATCTTACTGTGCACAAGATGGATTTTTTTTTATTGTCAATGTTCATTATGTCAGAATCGGTAGAGAAATGTGTAGATAATCGATAGGTCAATCAGTTGATGATCAAGTGTTTTATATTCATTACATTTTATCTGTGACAAAAACTTACGAATATTTTATTTTATTTCATTGAAGTTTAAAGAAATTCATCCTAAATCGTTAGAACTTATTTACTTACTTACTTACTTACGCCTGTCACTCTCAATGGAGCATATGCCACCGACCAGCATTCTCCAACCCACTCTGTCCTCCGCCTTATTTTCTAATTCCATCCAATTCTTGTTCATTCTCCTCACGTGTATCTCCATTTCTCGGCGTAATGTGTTCTTTAGTCTTCCTCTTCTCATTCGGCCTCGAAGATTCCATGTGAGGGCTTGTCTTGTGACGCAGTTCGGTGCTTTCCTCAATGTGTGTCCTATCCACTTCCAGCGCTTCTTCCTGATTTCTTACTCCGCTGGGATCTGATTTGTTCTTTCCCACAGTTGGTTGTTGTTGATAGTATCCGGTCAACGAATCCGAAGTATTTTGCGTAGACAACTGTTAATAAACACCATTATTTTCTGGATGATGGCTTTCGTAGTTCTCCAGGTTTCTGCCCCATAGAGTAGAACTGTCTTGACATTTGTATTGAGAATGTTGACTTTGGTGTTGGTTGACAGACAGTTATTTTGAGTTCCAGATGTTCTTCAGTTGTAAATATGCTGCTGTTGCTTTGACGATCCGCGCCTTCATATCTGCATCAGATCCTCTGTGTTCATCAATGATGCTACCCAAATATGTAAAGGTTTTTTTCATCTTCCAAATCTTCTCCGTCAATTGTGACTGGATCGGTGCACGCTGTGTTGTATCGGAGAATTCTGCTTTTCTCTTTGTGTATACTGAGACCTACTGCTGCTGAGGCTGCTGCTCAACTGGTCATTTTCTCCTGCATTTGTTGTTGCGTTTGGGATAGAAGGGCCAGATCATCTGCGAAGTCTAGATCGTCCATCTGCATCTTAGATGTCCCCTGTATCCCGTGCTTCCCTCCAGATGTTGACTTCAGAACTCTTTTAATCCATCAATGGTTTTATTTATGAAATAGTGAAATATATTTATTTGAAATGTTAACATTTAAACTTAAAAATTATTTTAAAAGACTATAGGGGTTGTAGAAATTATTAAGTTATTGATTGAGATCATGAACCGATTGATGTTAGACCACCGTTGGAAACCTGGAAGCACTGGACGGCCGTGTCGTCCTATTGTTGGACACTTCAGTGACAGTGCGCATCAACGAACTGAGAATTATCGATTTACAATTATTCAGATATCTTTTATGATCATAAATATTCTTTATCTATATAATGCGCAAAAGAAAAAAAAGATTGAAAATACCATTCTATGAATGAACGGAAATATTTATATGTCGAACCATTTTTTTTTGTTTCATATGTTCTATAGGACACAATATTGGTTTTAGTCCGTACAAATAGTCACCAGTGAACATTGAATAATATATAATGTTCTACTGAATCACATATGATTGCTTTAACATCCATGTACATACTTAACAATGAAAACTGTAATCTACATATTTCATGTGATAAGAAGAAAATAATGAAACTTGACAATTTGATTCATTTCATAATGTGGTTGCTTTAAAAAGAACACTAACACATGGTAATAGTTCAGCTTGCGTTCTATCAGGATATTAGGATACATGAAACTGTCATTTGATTGCATATTCTATGATCAAGTTTGCCTCACTCTTCCTTCATCGATATCACTTAAAATATTATGCATAGTATGAGGAGTTTTCTTTCACTTTAATTACGAATACTAATGGGACTAATGATAGATTAACATTTATGAAATAAATTGTTTATTGATCATCATAATGTACTTAGAGTATTTCAATGTGGATTATGCCCTCATCAGAAGTACTACTACAAACAAACTGTTTATTTTATTGTTCTCAGCAAACAATTTCATTATCAATTTCATTTTAATGATGTAGTTGAATCGTTTTGGCAGCGACACTTAAGGGTTGAATGTGTCTGGCTTTACACAGTTTAGTTACTGAAATCATTATCCAGTTTACTGCGACACGTTTCACTATACAATTTGATATGTTGAATGAAATGAATCTCGTTTAATGATCACCAATTGTTAAATCTTATGATTTATGTAATGTCACAGATTAAAATCATGAGTCAATTGAAGCTAGACCACCATGGAAAACCTGGAAGCACTGAACGGCCGTTTCGTACTAGTATGAGACTCCTCCGTAGTGCGCATCCACGATCCCGCACCCCACGAGATTCGGACCCTGGACTCATGATCTCAACTGTTGAAATCACTATAAATATCCACAAAACCCATTCTGATAATAATCATCTGTTCACTAGTGACTGACTTCAGGCGATACTCCTGGAGTTCTAGTGAGAAGTCGTTGCCAGTGGAGTTCAACTAGGTCTGTTGTGAGATAGGAACTCACTGAAGACAATGGTGTACGGTGGTGCAACTTCGTGGATTGGTTGAAGTTAGACATCATTAATACCATTGGATGCCGGCCAGCTCAGTGGTTTAGTTGGTGAAGCGGCTGGTGCGAGATTGATAGGTCCTGAGTTCGAATCTCACGGGGTGTTGGATCGTGGGTGCGGACTACTGAGGAGTCCCACAATAGGACAAAACGGCCGTCCAGTGTTTCCAGCTTTCTCAATGTAATCTAGATTCAACTGAATCATGATCTTAACCATTGAAATTACTATAAATATCCACAAAACCCATTCTGATAATTTATATATAATCGACAACCGTTCCACTCAGAAAAACATATAAGGCCCATTAACTAATTTAAGAAAACAACTAAGTAAACTTAACATATAATATAGAAATTATAGTATTGCTCCTCTCTCTTTTGTTTAGAGGAAACATTCAAAGGAAGTCATAATAACAACTATAATAGTTCAGCTTGTATTTTATAGTCATTAGCTTCGTAATAAACTCTAATGTTTTCATGAAAGTCATGACCACATATGGCTAATTATTTAGTTCACGTAAAATTTTAACAAAGAAAGTTATTTCAAGTAATTAGTCCCTTTCATAAATTTCGATAGAACAATGAGAAGATGGAGTTGATCTGATGAAAATGTGATGTATTTACCTTGAAAAGTATATGTGTGTGTGACCAGATTGTTTGAAATGTATCACGCAAATACATCACAATGTTTTTAGATCATCTCCATCTTCTCATTGTTCTATTGAAAGAAAGTTATACTGTTTGAATTGTGTATAGTAACACAGATGTATGGTAAGACCAATTTGATAATGAACATTATTGTTGTTGTTCGAATACCTTCAGGAATTAGTTCAAAGAAAATTACATGTTTATCTCATTTGCTTAATGACTGACATATTTCATATAACAAAAGGTCTTCTAATCACTATAGTTCCTTTCATAATGTTGATTGAATACATCAACCCATATATATATACTTAGCCATGTACTTGTATTCCATAGAAAGTAATATCAACATCTTTAACATTGAACAGGAAATTAAAATCCATTTTAAAACAAAAAGTGAAACGAAATGAATAACAATTGAATATTGACTAATATATATGCTGTACATTGATTCGTTCAATGATGTATCATCTAATAACATAATTTTCATTATATTGTCCAAAGGGAAACAAGATGAATTCATGACTACAAAAAAGGAGGTAATGTTTTTGTTGTTTTTTGTTGTTGTGGAAATCAATTTCAAAGGGTGAAATAACAAAACGATCAAAACGTTTGATTGTTTAATAAAATTATGATCATTCGTAACATTTTTTTTTGGGGGGGGGGGGAAATAAGAAATTGTTTATCATTAAAAACAAGAATGATGATAGAATCTGTTTATTTCATTCATCTGTAACAATATGTATTATTAAGCAATGATGGAATAGTGGCTAGCAGTGCAATTCAGTTTGACGCGCGTTTCGTCCTATTTCGGACTCGTCGTCAGCTGGATGTATTTACATCTCAGAGGTGTTGATGTTCACTGTGGAACTCGAACTCAGTACCATTCGCTGTAAACGCCATCGTGTTATCCACTCAGCTACTGAGTCATCAATGGAAAGATACAAGCCAAACATCATTACATTAATTCTTATTTTCCATTCATTAATTTTTACTACTGGTTATTGCTAATATCGCATAGGTAAACATTGTTTCCAGTGAATCGTATATAAGAAAACGAGAATCATTCATAGGCATATTTGTCAATAGAATGATCGATGATTAAATGGTAAACTATAATGTCTAGTCTAATATTAAAACTTGTTATTATCTTATCAACATGGTTACTGACAACGAATGTGATGTCGTAAATAAAATACAATTTAGTTATTCAGTTATGAATAAAATACAATTCATTTATCATGATTAAAGATATATAAATCTTATCCTTATTGTTTTTCATTAAATCACTTCACTATCATATTTGGAGAACTTCCATAAAACTGAAATATCCATGAAATAAGCGATTGTACACCTTTGTTCTCCGAGCTAGATGGTTTGGCATTGGAGCTTTTATTGTTCTTCTGAATGATATCATCAGCGCAAATTTCAGGTAGATGTACAGCTGATCAACTATGTTATAAAACACTGGACAGTTTTAGGACTGTTTAAATACTTTACGTAACTAAAAACTATTCCCTGATGTAACTGACATTATTCAACAAGAATCATTGAAATGTTCAATGATAAACAACAAAATACATTTTCTTTACAAATAGAAATATTTTACAAATGTTCATCCCCAACACATGACAACAATAACATTAAGTTATTGAGTAGTAACTGTCTTGCATAAATTGTAGACTAAAACTTATCTTGAAAATATGAGTGCGAATTCTGATCTTTTGATAGATTTTCTAAGTAAACTATTATTTAGTGCAAACACTTACAAAATAAAATAAGTATTCTCATCTACAACCTTTAAAACCATTACCATTTTCCTTATGCCACACCACTTACCATCACAAAGTTTATCCAATATCTATGACATATTAGATTGACAGAAAATTGGAAATGTAGCGTGCTAATGTTAAGTAATTCTAAATCTTATTAGTCTAAATTAATATGTACTATGCTGTTATCAGATAATAAATTCTCATAAACGCTTAACACAAAGGAATCAGTCAGTTGATCAGCTACAACGTAGGACCAGGCACATATATGCATCGGTCCAAGTTGCCATACCTCATTAACACAACAAGATGGACACCGGATTTATAAAAGTAGTTAATTCAGAGGTGGTAGTGATATACAAAAGAAAGATTGCAATAAGGATATAGTAGAGGAAGAAAGAATTAGTTCGTAGAAAGAAAGATATGAAGCGATTTTAATCTCTTAGTTTAAGGGAAGACAGAGAGTGTATACACCGACGCCATTGTGATTCATCGATTCTGAGCCATGTCACCAAGAGTCTCCAACCGTTGTTTACGACAGTCACGCGGACTCCAACCTAATAGTCTGCATCTCCCAGCATGACTCAGACTAGAAGTTAGTGACTTCAAGCACTGATGCCACGTTTTGGTTTGGCCACCCCTAACTTTCTTCCAACTATCCCATACACTGATTAGCATTGTGCATCGTGGTAATCAGTGTTCAGGTATGTGTAACACGTCTCCCAAACGTCTCAGTCGATGAAGATTCATAACCTCATCAATTGATTTACCATCATTCCCTAATACCCTGTGTCCAACCTCACTATTACTTACCCGGTGATCCCAGCAGACGCCAGCAATATTTCTAAGGCATCTGTGGTCAAATACTAGTAGCTTCCGAGTGTCTTCTACTCTTAATGGCTACGTTTTGCTGCCGTAAAGTAAAACAGAACGGACTGCCGAGAAAGAATGACAATTAAGTACAAGTTTAATAGTTTTTTATTTGATGTTTACAAAAGAAATGTTTATTATAATTGAGAATGAGGTCAATTAATGGTATTTCGTCTGAATACTTGTATCTAAGGCCTACAAACAAGGGCTATTTATAAAAACGTATTTACGAACACTAAAAAAATACCAAAAACAAAATTTACATCTTACATGAAGTTCCACTAGAAGTTTTTTCTTTACATCAATATTGATTAAATATTCGGTCATTTTGTTCAAATAAGAAGATACCTCATTCATACTAGTACAACCTGGTATATTGGCTTTATTGGTCCAATTTTGATTCATAAACTTATTTTCTATAAGATATTCCATAATGTTACTTGATGATTCTGTTGTTCCTTCAATCATTTTCATATTCTGATTATATTCTGATGTGAATTGTTCGATTAAACTTTCCACCATTATTGATGGATCTTGTTCAGCATGTTCTTCGAATTGTTTTAATTGATCAAATGATTTAAAAGATAAAAATTCTATAAAAAATTTATCTAACCAACGATTTAATTCGTTGTATCCATCTTCAAATATAATCGCTAGTTGTTAAAGAAAAAAGAAGGAGAAAGAATATTACATTGGTAATGATCAGAGCGATATAAGATTCAGCATGAGTCTAATCATATATAGATATCAATTGTCTTTTGGTTAGCAATGATACGTTTTAAGCAAAGATGGAATAGTGGCTAGCAGTGGAATTCAGTTTGACGCGCGTTTCGTCCTATTCGGAGGCTCGTCGTCAACTGGATGTACCTGCATATCAGAGAGTTGATGTTCATTCTGGGGCTCAGTACCATTCCCTTCAAACGCCATCGCGTTATCCATTCAGCTACTGAGTCCTGATAGCCACTTGCTTGTGCAATCGGGTGAATTCGAATTCATTTGGTATTGTTTTACTTGAATCTTCCCATTGATGTTTAGGACTGAAATTGATCAGTCTCTTATTGGCGCACCTTCTGGATTCCACTGCTAGCCACTATTCCATCATTGCTTATAAAGCTTGTAAATTGAGGCAATATCGAGGCAATACGCACAGTATGCACATATGCCAATAACAGACTGATTAATTGCAGTCTAAAACCCCAATGGGAAGATACAAGTCAAACAATACCAAATGAATGATACGTTTTGTTCTTTTTTTTAGATTTCACTGCTTAGCAACTGAAATTTGATTAACTTTTAGCCAAAGAAAAATACATTTTCGAATCTAACATTCAAAGCGCCCATTTTTTGTCACAGACTAATCAAATAAAGTTCAGAATGACAATCATTAGAAATTTTCATTCAAAAATGCTTGTAAATGTGTAACATTAAGTTTGAAGTCAATCTTGTTGTTATTGTAATGTTGCATTGAACCAGTTTTTACAAACCTCTATTGTTCTATAATGAATATTTTCTTCGATAAAACGTATTTTGGAAATAATACAACTCGACTCATAAAGCAACTTGATTTGTTTTTGATAACGATTATTACCATAAAATTACTGATTTTAACATAGAATAGACCATCGTGGAAGCACTGGACGGCCGCTTCGTCCTAGTGTGAGAATTCTCGGCAGTGCGCATCCATGATCCCGCTCGCGAGATTCGAACCCAGGACCTATCGGTCTTCTGTGCGGACGCTTAACCTCTATACCAATGAGCTGGCATCCAACGGCCCAACATGTTCTGGGTTCGAATCTTGCGAGACAGGATCGTGGATGTGTACTGCTGAGGAGTCCCACACTGGGACGAAGCGCCAATCCGGCGCTTCCAGGTTTTTTTTGGTGGCCTAGCTTCAAATGACTCTTGAACTCAACTATTAAATAAGAATTCGGATTAGGCTACATTTATGCGTAAAGTAAAATCTGAATGAAATTAGATTTCGTGAATAGTTTATTATCATTGAAGCACACTTTATAGATGTTTCATATGGTCATGAGTAATCTGGTGAAATATCCATGATAATGTCTCCATTGTACGATGGAATTCGTCCTGACCAATTCTAAAATCCTGATGCATATATACAGAAAATCATATCTGTAATTCTTGTTTGATCCACTATAAAGGTTACACCAGCTAAATATACTCCGACTATCTCATTGTATTTTACTTCGCCACATTCTCTTGCCTTTCTGTTTTTATCGTTTACTAGTCTCCCAATGATTGTTGCTCAAACAATGAACGAAGTGGCTATGTTTAAGTGAGAGACAAATTACGTGAACAACTAGTTCTATTTCGACATACAGCTTTTTTGTCACAGTTTGAAAGGATGCTCATATGAGGCTGTTGAACGAATAGAAGTTTGAGAATAATTATAATTGGATTAAATGTTAGTAGGGTAATATTTAATAAACGATTACGTAATACGTGAAATGAAATAAACTGAGTATCCAATACATAAATCGAAATGATTGTTAATTAGATTGTTGAAATTTGGAAGAACTAAATTAATCAAGTCAATTGAACTGTAACATATTTATTAGATTCATATGATCGTGCTGTTTTTAATTAGAATTTACTAAATAAAAAATTCAACTCCGCCTGTAGCTCTTTCAGAGTTACCGTCGATCACAAGCCCGAGTAAAGAAGGAGGGTTAGGCGTGGGGTTGTCAACCCTATTCCGTAGACCAAATCTCGCTAAAAAAACGCTAACCAGATCAAACAAATTAAATGTCAAGACAGTTCTACTGTGCGGAGCTCAAACTTAAAGAGCTACCACAACCATCATCAATAAGATACAAGTGCTCTTAAACAATTGTCTACGCAAGATTCCCAGTGTTGGTTCACCGAATACCACTAGAAATAGCCTACTGTGGGAGAAACGAAGGAGGAAATTAGAAAACGACGTTGGAGGTAGATAGGATATACATTGAAGGAATCACCAAACTGCATCACGAGGCAAGGGCTATCGGAAGCAAAAAACAGGAAGATCGAAGAACACATTGGTCGAGAATTGTAAGCAGACATGAAAAGGATGAATAGCAACTGGAAACAATTGGAAAGGATTTCGCAGTACAGATTTCGGTGGGTAGTGTTGGTGGGCGACCGACGCTCCTTTGAGAGGTGTAACAGGCGTAAGTAATTTAAAAATTATGCTCCGATAAAACCACAACATATGGATGCCTTACGTTGGCTGTTATATTACGTATTTATGGATTTAGAAGTTTGCGTTCCCAAGGTTAGTTGATTCATAAATACTTAATCACTTGGAAATCTTCCTTTGTTTTTAAACACTATCTGAGAATCTCTAGTTTGCACAATAAATAGGTTGGCTTAAACACATTTTGCTGTACATATTCAAGTGTTAGTAGTGAGTCTTATTACTTCATAACGTACAGTGATATGAGTCCGGATGTAAGTTCAAAGTTGCTCTTTAAAAGTACATGGGGATTTAATGGAAGAGAATTAGATTTATAAAACTTTCAGTGATTAAACTATGGGTAAATTAAAAGTTTCGCTCGACAATTTGGTTCAAGCATTTTCAAGAAACTATAATCAAACATCAAAATTATTGAATACCTAGACATTATAAATATAGAAGATGGAATACAATTAGCAGTCTAATAGCAATTAGGGATGAATAAATAAACCTTAACATCACTTCATATTTTATTTTATTTAATTTAGCTTGGTGAAGACAATAGCATTGAAATCATGAACCGATCAATGCTAGACCACCCTTAAAAACCTGTAAACAGTGAACGGTTGTTTCCAGCGGGTCATAGGTCCTCACTTCAAAGTAATGGGACCGAATGGCGCTTCAGTACTTCCAGGTTTTCAGTGGTGATCTGACATTGATCGAGTCAACAATCTCCACAACCCAATGCTGACAGTTAATGTATTTATTTATCCTTATTTTATGCATGCTGAAGCATGTTTGATTTATATCATCTAGCAAGTTATTTAGTTTCATCAAATTTCTATTCAGAGATGATTTATGGTTAGTGAATTTTTTAGCAGCATATATATATATATATACTTAGTCTAGAATAAGCTAAATTAAACTGGAATTAGTTTTTATGATTTTTTTAGAAGTTAACACTGACTATTGATAATTTATCTTAATTTAGAGTAGCAGGTGAACACGTAGAGCAAATTAGGACAGTCAGACGAGTAACTTTTCGTTTTATATATGGAAAACGGAGTTTGATTCGTAAAAACTAATTGAATGTCCTCTCAAATTTAATCATAAAATGATCCACCAGAAATGGATTCAACAGTGATCTCATCATAGTTCTATCTTTATACACTTTGTTATTGAAATGAACTTGAACATGGAAGTGCAATGTAACAAATGCTTTTTCGTATAAGTGATCTGCAAATCATAATTTGTGCCGTGTTAATCAATCTAGTGATAGTTGTAACAAATAGATTCTGTTAGAGCTAAACGGGTAAAAAAAGAACTAACAATAAATGAAAATCATGAGTCAGTTGAAGCTAGACCACCATTGAAAACCTGGAAGCACTGGACGGCCGTTTCGTCCTAGTATGGGACTCCTCAGCAGTGCGCATCCACGAGGAGTCTGATACTAGGACGAAACGACCGTCCAGTGCTTCCAGGTTTTCAATGGTGGTCTAGCTTCAACTGACTCATGATTTCAACCTGTGAAATTTACTAAAATCTCCACAAAACTCATTCTGATAATAAATGAAAACACAATTGTTTTCAGAAGTATCACTGTTTATCATTGTTTCCGCAAATCAAATTGTATGACGATGAACAGGAAACATCAACCCAGTCAATGTTAACAAGTAAGCGCAAATTTCCCTAAGTGATTGGCAAAATGCTCAAATAGAAGCACCTTTTCAATCTATTTAATTAATCATGTAACAGATAAGACTTTGTTGTATTTAAAATAAGCTTGAAACAAGTTTATCCGTATCTCTCCAAACTCTTGTTTATAAGTACCACTACCATGATTTGAATTTCTAGGACTGTCTATATTATTGTACCGTATTACCATTGTACAATTTAATTTTTTTGGTGTTGTTATTTTCATTTGGTCATAAATTCTCCATAGAAACAATTTAGTCAAGAGAAACATCAGAAATTCAATTAGTGTATTATAACATTTCTGATTAGTTTATTGTTACATTGATTTATCTCACCTCTCTTTCACTAATAGAGTACACTTAAATTGACTATTCATGCAAAACGTATTACATAGTTATAATTCTAATCATTTTATGTATTTCGTTTAAACTTACTCTATCTTTGTTGAAATAGTCATGCTCATTATCGCGTCAAAAAAATCTTACGGAACATTCAAGTAAAGAATGATGAAGGATCCAGAATAACATTGATCGTTAGTATAACTTTTTTTTAAATGATTGATTATGAAAATCTGTAAGTTATTTGTATTACTACTAATGCATTAGTACAAACTATAAACAAGTTAGTTCACTTGGTAATGTTTGGCATGTATCTTCCCATTGAGGTTTAAAACTGCAATTGATCAGTCTGTTATTGGCATATGTGCATACTGTGCGTATTGCCTCGATATTACCTTAATTCACAAGCTATTTGTAAGCAATGATGGAATAGTGGCTAGCAGTGGAATCCAGGACAAGTTAATTTTCACACATATTAGATTTTAATGTCTATATTCCATTAGTTCAATCGTATTGATGTAATAAAATAAGTTTATAAACAGTGAAAATAGTTTTATACTAGAAAATCATAACTAACTTTAAATTTACAGGAATGAATACTTTACTATTTAAATATTGCTAATGAATCAGTGAAGTCGCGGATCGATAAAGGAAGAGCAGCATATTTACAACTGATGAACATCTGCAACTCAAAACAACTGTCTGTCAACCAACACCAAAGTCAACATTCTCAATAGAAATATCAAGACAGTTCTACTGTATGGGGTGGAAACCTGGAGAACTACGAAAGCCATCATCCAGAAGATACAAGTGTTTATTAACAGTTGTCTACGCAAAATACTTCGGATTCGTTGACCGGATACTATCAACAACAACCAACTGTGGGAAAGAACAAATCAGATCCCAGCGGAGTAAGAAATCAGGAAGAAGCGCTGGAAGTGGATAGGACACACATTGAGGAAAGCACCGAACTGCGTCACAAGACAAGCCCTCACATGGAATCTTCGAGGCCGAATGAGAAGAGGAAGACTAAAGAACACATTACGCCGAGAAATGGAGATACACGTGAGGAGAATGAACAAGAATTGGATGGAACTAGAAAATAAGGCGGAGGACAGAGTGGGTTGGAGAATGCTGGTCGGTGGCCTATGCTCCATTGAGAGTAACAGGCGTAAGTAAGTAACCAGTGAAGTTCTTTATTATTATTTAAAGAAAGTTATGTATCTATGTGAATAGAAACAAACCAAACAGAAATGAGTAATTCTGACCGTAATTGTGAAATGAAAACATCTTTGAAACTTTTTAACTAAACTTCTGATTGTCACATTGTGACCAAGTGTTTTCGGTATATTTAGGTTAGGGGTTGAAAAGCAAAAATCCAAATGTCAAGTATTCAGTTTTCAATAAAAATTGATCAGCATTTTGTATTTAGATGCTTCTTGAAAATGTTTTGCGAGTTAGTTAGTTATTATGCTCTATGACATTCGAATGTGTAATTCCGACTAATTGAAGAATATATTCTATAACAAACAATATTTCTTTCTTAAAACATACCGTATACGATTTTACACACAACCTCAAAAGAAACTGACTTCATTATATTCGGAATTGAATGTTCATTATAATGAATGAAAAGGAAGATATTCAATTAAACGATACAACCAGGTTCAGAATTAACTAATATATTATGCAACCAGATACAAAATTAACATACCCCTATGTAACTGAACCATATAATCACCTCGTTCCCGTATTAATTTACGTAGACTCTCCCATAGTATCATTAAATTACCAAGTGATTCACTCAATTGGTCCGCAATACGTGGATATTGTACAATGGTATTGACTACATTCTAATTTTTAAAAAAAAGAAAGAACTTTGTTGAAATTGAGACTAGTTTTTCGAATGATCATTATTTGTCATTTTGATATACAATAATTGAGTAACTAGATTATTAAGAATAAGTAGGTCATTTATGATAAGTTCCCTGTTGATTCATTCACTACTGATATACGATTTAATCTTCTTCATTCGTTGTCAGTCTTTCCTAATCAAAGACACTTTGGATTGTTCATGTATAATTATTATATTTAGTTTTATAGTGTCATGTGCTCTGGTATACTTGAATATAAACTACAATTGTTACAGAATAAATTCAATACAAGCTGATTGCTACTTTCGGACACAAGCCTGGGCATAGAGAGAAGTAAGTAAATTGTGAACTAATAAGAACATGACTGTCGAATCGATCACATTAGTGCTGGTTGAGCTAGTACCCGTTCAATTCAGAGACACTAATCTGTAGAGTAAATAGCAGTCCGAAATAGATATAGGGTTCTAAGTGGCAACTCGGCACACATGATACTGGTTGATAGCTTCAAAGAAATAACGGAATAGTCTTATTGTTTGTCAATGAAACTAGTAGAACTACCTCGTTCATTAACTTTATTATCTCCCATACAATCTATTTTTACTACTTTAGAATGAACATTCAACTAGTGAGATCATCTTGCTCATTAAAGCATAAATCAGTTTCTATTATACAAAATAAGATGTTAAATAATTCAAAAGTTAAGGATGATAATTATCTGTTAGAATTATTCAAGACGTTAATCATTTCTTTAACAAATACAGTTTGTCTTCAGAATGATGTACAATTTTCGGAGATTTAAAATGATGAAAATCACTGACTGACATAATTCTATTAGGTAGTATGAACCATTCGATCCTTTTCCATCTTTTCATTGATATGTCTTCTAAGAAAAACATAACGTTGGTACATTAAAATAGGCACATGCAATAAGAAACGCTATAGATTCACCATAGTTTACCGAACACACCCACACACACACACATAAAACAACTTACAAGGGCACAAAAAAACGCTAGTTGACTTTGCTCTTGAAATACTTATCTAGTAAGCATTATTAAGCCAAGTATTCATAAATACGCAGATTCCCAATAGTTTTTAATCGGTAAAATCATCATCTATCTTGAATGATATTTTTACGTGGGTTTTTTTGTTTTGTAAGTCAATACTCTTCTAAACGCTTCAAGTAATCGTCATGACTTTTAGATGAATACTTAAGAAAACTAAAAAAAAATATTTTATTTTACTAACAGTGATATTTATTCTTCAGAGAGTTTTTCTTCTTTTCATACAATCACTGAAGGAATTAAACGGTAAATTAATCTTTGGTAACTGCATAGAGTTTGTTTTAAATGGCATAAATGTGTATCTAATTTATCATTGAAAAGTACAACGATAATAATCTTGATTGAGATCATGAACCGACTGATGTTAGAACACCGTTGGAAAACTGGAAGCACTTTAGAGCTGTTTCGTCCTATTGTGGGACTCCTCAGCAGTGCTCATTCACGAGCCCGCTCGCGGGATTCGGACCCAGGTATCTACCTCAATACAATGGAAGTTGGTCGCGCAATTACGTGGATTGGTTGATGTTAGACACTATCGCCATTGGATGCCGGCTCAGTGGTCCAGTAGGTTAAGCGTTCGCGCGCGAGACCGTAGGCACCGGGTTCGAATCCAGCGAGCGGGATTGTGGATGAGCACTGCTGAGGAGTCCCACAATAAGACGAAACGGCCGTCCAGTGCTTCCAGGTTTCCAACGGTGGCCTGACATCAATTGGTTCATGATCTCAATCAAAAACTTAACAATTTCCACAACCCCTATACTGTTAGTAATGTTGTCAAAACTATAACCTTATATAAGTAATAAATGTCGACAAATTATTTAAGTATACTTTTCTGATTTTATCTTTGGGTTGTAAAAAAACGTCGTTTCACTCATTTCGTACGTTTTGTTGATTAGAATTGATGATATAGGAAAACAAATAATAAGTCAGCAACAATGATTGTTATAATTAAAACAAGAATGTAAATTCTTTAGAATTAGCACTAAATTTATAGAACTCATCTTGTTTAACATAGAACTCGGGCTAAACTGTTTTGTAATACAATGGCAGAGAACACACACTTGAAACAGACATATTTTGCACAAATCACTGAATAAACTTTGAAATTTTTGTGAAACTTATCAAAAGTGATTGAATTTCATAACTCATAAGTTCCAATTCACTTGAAAACAATTCATCACTGTTAAAAACCTTACCTAGGAATGTTATACTGGAGACTTTATAAGTGAAATTATGTAACTGTTCAATATCAGTACTTTCGAACTACTGGAACTCAAAAGGGCCAGACTATAATTTATGGACGACCTTTGAGCGACACTGAAGTGACTCTAAGGGTGGATAACTACTGATTAGAACTAAATGAAGGTTATAGAGCCGTTAGAATTCTCATTTATAGTTGATGATTAGAATTAAAAATTAGATTTAGGGTTTTCATCACGAACTGACATCAACTATAATGCCAAAACTCTATTTAGCCAAATGGATGGATGAATTCCGCGTTCAAATTCGTGACTTTGGTTATCTTTGGTTTGTCCATAAATTATAGTCTCGCCCTTAAAACTTAAAGAAATAAGTTGATTTTGTAAAATGTGAAATCTGAATGTGTCATTCAATAGTTCAACTTCGACCTACAACATTATATATGGATATAAATGTAAATCATTGATGTAAAATGATTTTTTTACAACAATTAACAACATACACATCAATCCGAGATTTTGCAACAATCTAGCAGTCATTTAATAGTCTCCAATAAAACATACTTGGAAAACCTGTTCAATACGATCATTATTAGATTCAATTTCACTTTCAAGGACACGATGTTGTGTATATTGTTTACTGACAAATACTTTGTATGGTACCAATGAACTCATATTTGATAGTTTACCTGCCTGATCGTATTCTTCAACAAGTTCTTTCTTTTCTATAAGCCATTCTTGTAGCTAAATGAAAAATATTGATATATAGTAAATTCATAAACATACCAAAATAACAAGTGACTAAACATAACCACTCTTTATCCTTCTATTCCTGTATAATGTCTCAGATATCAGTTACCAATTAATTTTGACAAGCGAATAAATAAAATATTGTCACGAAATACTTTTATCATGCTCGTAAATAGCTGGTTATTGATTCCGACTAGATGGTATAGTGCAATGAAAGATCATTTCCTGAAAAACTTGAATGTTTTTTTTTTGGTTAGTAACTCATGTTCATTCAGAATCGTCAACCGTTGACTAACAGCTTGATATTCCTAAGATGATGTGTTCTTCATGAAGATGTGTTAACGAATTCAATTGGGCAATATTGATAAGTTCAATATTAGAACAAAAAAAAGCTGTTCAGTGATTTTCATGTTATTAAATGTATGTCTAAATAAAATCAGTAAACGATTTAATTGAATTCAGATAATACTGAGTATTTACTTCATTCTAACTCTTAATTGTTCCACCTAAAAGCGACTAAATTGTTTGCGTTGTCAAGACAAAAAAATATATATAAAGCAAAAATCTACTGAGAAATATACTCAATGAATGTCGTAATTAAAATTTGCAGAAACAATCGATTAATTAAAACTTATCATTATCATTATCTTTATCTAAATAAATTGAAAAGAAAAAGGGGGAAATTTTTTTTGGGGGGGGGCGGGGGCGGTAGGGTGGAAACAACTCATTATTAATAAAGAGATTAACTTTCAATTGTCATAGAAACATCAAGTTCATTGAATTCATAATGAATAATAATTGTTATCACTGATTATTCAGACTATTCTCAATGAATATCATCAATAACAGTCATTTGATCTTATGAATCGTTATAAATTAATTTCTATTTTAGATAAATTGAATTTTCATGCTTCTTTGTAATACAGATTATTACAAGATGAATGAATAGAGAATGAGTATATAGAATAATGATAACATGAATAAGATTGTTTAGATAACACGAACTAATAAACAAGCATCATTTGATTTTGACCTTAAAACTTTTTTTGGAATTTGTGTGATAATGCTTGCCAGTTTATAACTTTTTATCTTCATACAAGTTACACTAATCATAGATATTTGTATGTGGATATATGCACCTATCTATCTGTCTAAATCGAATATCATATCCATTGGTAGTATTGGTAGCATAAACTAAAATATATACACTTTCAGCAATATCATATCATAGTTTTTTTTTTACACAAGCACAAATGATCCATATAAATAAAAAAAGTGGACAAACTAATCACTTCCAAATGATTGGGCATTAGATTAACAAATGTACAAATTGTCCCATAAATTTCCCTCAATTAAGTTTATCCACCTTCATGCCAAATCATTTAATTCATTATGACATAAGAGTAAAGAAGTGAAATGAAACTCATATCAACTTTCATGAACACCCCCCAGCCCGCCTTCATTGTAAATAAGATTGAATAAACATCGTCATTTGTTTTGGATATACAATATATATTTTCACATTGAGATTATTTTGAAAAGTTTATATTTACACATTTAATTTATTCACCAAGAAGAACAATTTCTGATTTAGATGTATCATTGAAATTTGATCTGTAAATATTCTAGACAAAAGAAAACCCATTCGTTCCGACGAGTTCCAGAAGTACAAAACTGGAATGTTGACATTTGTTAGCTTTAGTCTCGTATATTAGTATGTTGGGATAAGACAATAATCTATGGATGATCTTTGAGTAACGTTATGGTCACCTTGAGAGTGTCCACCTGATAATTAGGACCAAATGAGGGTTGATGGTTAAGGTTAGAAATCGGATTTAGAGTTTTGATCACGAATTGACATCAGCTATAATGCCAAAACTCTATTTAGCCAAATGGGTGAGTGAAGCTCATGCTAAAATCCAAGACCTGTATATTGGTTTAATTTAGACAAATAGCCAGCATAAAATGCGGTATGTGTTACTGATGTTGACAAATATAAGTAGTGTGTATTACTGATCGAAAGTGAAAAGCCTGGTATCAGGTTAAGGAAGATTGAAGAAAGTAAATGAGAACAGAGAACGATTGCTGTGGAAACGAAGGAACAATCAAGTCTGAGACAATTGATTGATATTTTGCAAACGAAGTATTTACTGTATGGTTCTCATGTTTTAGCAATATATTCTGTTTGATTGTCAAGACTTGTGTTCTCGGTCACTACAATTATACTATGAAATTATTTTATTTATTAAAGATGAAGTCTCATATAATCATAACGAAATAATCTTTACTTATATTTGTACTAGTTAGATAAATTATTATCAGAATGGGTTTTGTGGAGATTTTCAGAAATTTCACAGGATGAAATCATGAGTCAATTGAATTTAGACCGCCATGGAAAACCTGGGAACACTGGACGGCCGTTTCGTCCTAGTACGGAACTCCTCAGCAGTGCACGATCCCGCACCCCACGGGACTCGAATCCAGGGCCTGTTGGTTCCGCGCGCGAGCACGTAACCACTACACCACTGAGCCGGCATCCAATACTGTTAATGTCTAACTTCAACCAATCCACGAAGTTGCGCCACCGTACACCATTGTCTTCAATGAGTTCCTATCTCACAACATACCTAGTTGAACTCCACTGGTAACGACTTCTCACTAGAACTCCAGGAGTATCTCTTGAAGTCAGTCACTAGATAAATTATTGTCAAATAAATTTTTATAGATAACAATAAAAACCAAGAATACATTTATACATTAGATACCTCTATGAAAGATTGCAAGTACAAGATATAGAATGAATTCGCTTCATTTTCCGGTATTTGTTATTCAGAAGAAGGATTTGAATGTTTTGCTGATTGCTTAACTATTCAGTAAATAAATTTATTCAAAACATCATCCACTAGAATCTCTGCTCAAATTAACCAGGTGAACATAACTAACATAATATTGTTAACTTGTCTCTTTGGAGTAGTTATAAAAACATGAAACATGTTAGATAATATAAATGTTACATAATATTCGATTAATAACAATGATTTATTTTCAACTACCATAATTCCCATGATACATACCGTTTGAATTTGTTGCATATCCTCTCGAAGTGCTATTAAATCTTTAGTTGAATCCACTAGTGTACGAGCTTCATCAAGTAGTGTGATATATCTAAAATAAGATGTAAAAATATATTTGATCTCGTAAAAACCAACGAATTGCGAATATTTAGATTCAAGGTATATAGACTTTTGTTCATACTGCTAGATGACATATTAAAGAAATTAGGTAGTCGAGATACTAGTCAGCAAGAAACGCTGGACCAAGGTTTCGTGCCATTTGACACTCGTCAGTAGGGCGCACTTGTAATCTTGAGGGATCTGATGCTCTTCAACGGAGTCGATCTCTTGTCACTCAGCTTCATAGTCGGAGATGTTATCAATGAGCTATCCGGGCCACGACTGACCTCCTGTAGGACTGAGTTTTATTTGAAATTGGTTGACTATTATGTGGTGACCATTGTCACGTGTGTTAGGTTCTCCTTAGTGCACGTCGAATTCTATCGACCAAGTTCCAATGCAGTCACAAATCTAAGTAACTCCACATCGAGTGCCCTATATTGAGGTCAAACGTGGCATGGATATCTCGGTGCTAACGTCTCTAACTGTGAAGCTGTGTGACAGAAGATTGAGTCTTTCAGGAAACACCAGTTATCTCCAGATAACAGGTACATCTTGCCAAACAGCACGACACCTAGGTCCAGTGAACTGGCTAATTATCGAAGTTTGATGATAAACATTTTCTAAATTGAATAAATTATAATTTCACCGTAAATGGATAATTCCAACTTCCTAGATTCATATAAATAACGTGCTTTGCTTAGTCGACAATTATGTTGTTTGTATTTGGTTATATTAGACAGTTAAATGTCATACAAGACTTATTCAGCTCATCCAAGCGCAAACAAATATACAAGTATTAATGCAGGCCATGCTGCATTTATTTTGTTGATGAATCGAATAAATTCATCTAACTTATGAGCCTGTTCAAGGTAACAATGAATATTAATTATTTGAATATTAGCAATGTTTAATCTATAAACAATCCTGAATACACATACTAACTATGTAGTTGGCATAAACCTGACCACTTTTCGGATTACATATTTGAATATATATAGCTGTAAAACTTGTAAAGAATGTATTGGAAACAATATTCTTGATACATATAATAATGTTGGGGATGTTTAAACAGCTGGGATCAAGTTCCGCCGAAATCTAATTGGAAAATCTATTTTTGTATCAGAAAGACTTGTATCAAATCAGTACGTTTAGATTGAGGCAACTACAGGAGGTTATAAGCAAAGACGGATGGTGGCTAGCAGTGGAATTCAAGACGCGCAATTCGTCCTATTTGGGACTCGTCAGCTGGATGTACCTGCATCTCAGAGTTGATGTTCACCGTGGGACTCGAAATTAGTACCATTCGCTTCAAATTCCATCGTGTTATCTAGTTAGCCACTTGCTTGTACAATCGGGTGAAGTTTAAATTTACTTGGTATTGTTTGCTTGAATCTTCTCAGCAGCTAAGTGGATAACGTGATGACGTATGAAGCGGACGGTACTGGCTTCGAATCCCTGAGATGCAGGCACATTCAGCTGACGAGTCCTAAATAGGGCGAAACGCACGTCCTGGATCCCACTGCTAGCCACTATCCATCTTTGCTTATAATGCTTTTGACTTAAGGCAATATTGAGGCAATCCGCACAAGATGCCTATATGCTAACAAGTGACTGATCGATCGTAGTCCTAAACAACAATGAGAAGATACAAGCAAACAACACCGAATGAATTTATAGGAGGTTATGTTTGACTGATTTACACTGTCAAATCTTTTAAACATTTCTTGGTGGTATTTCTTCATTTGTTCTTCTTTACAGAATACTATATTCTCCTATTTGTTATTATTAGTTTCCATTGGTAATCAGTATCATTAATAGCACTAATAATATTAGTTTTTTCCTCAAATATTTTTCTCTCACCAGCTTCATTTTCACGATTGTAAGTCCGCTGAATTCATTTATCCTACTGTAACAAAGTTGTTCTCTTTTAATTTTAAAATCAATAAATTACCATACACATAGAAAATAGTCTATATGACTTTGAGATGGTGGAGAAGATTTGTAGCTCAGGTGGATGATGCACTTCGATCATCGAGGTGCACAGAACAAGCTGTGAAACACATATGGAGAAATTCGGACACTTCACTTCTATCTGAAGTTTGTGCTGATGATGTCATTCAGAAGAACGATGAAAGCTCCATGACCAAACCATCCAGCTCCACCAAAAACTAAATGACTTCACTATTATTCCATTTAGAAATAAATCAGTTTATTCATTATCAAGCCTACATGTTACTTATATTTTACATGGACTATTGCAAAAGAATATTTATAGATGTAAGACTGTAAAATATAGAGAGTGGAATTTACTCAAAGACCTTTTTGCTTTTACAACACAATTCTATTTAATATTTGAAATAATAATTTACAATTTCAGATGGATTTTTTGTGGAGATTATAGTAATTTCAATGGTTAAGATCATGGGTCAGTTGAAGCTAGACCACCATGGAAAACCTCACACGCGAAACCAGTAGGTCCTGGGTTCAAATCTCGCAGGTATTGAGGTCGTGGATGCGCGCTGCTGAGGAGTCTCATGCTAGGACGAAACGGCCGTCCAGTGCCTTCAGGTTTTCCATGGTGGTCTAGCTTCAACTGACTCATGATCTTAACCATTGAAATTTACACTTTACAATTAAAATCACATCAGTATGCAAAATAAATGTACTGATCTAATCTACCTAATCTAATCTATATCTGTTCTATGCTTTCAACGTTTAGCATGTAAATACCATTGTGAAATCATTAAAACCAGTAATATCACAATGATGTAATTATAATTTAGAATGCTAAATAGAATGGGGATGAGCCTGATTCGGTCTAATGATTTACATCACACATATAAAATGTGTATACACCTCCACACATATATGAACTAACTTTCCTAATTAATGTTTTGATAAATAGAACTCTATCAACAAAATGGTGAAATGTTACACGTTCATTTACAGTTCAAAACGAAATGTGATATGCAAATGTGAAATCTCATAATTTAAACAAAAAGTTTATTAAGTTTTTGATTGAGATCATGAACCGATTGATGTTAGACCACCATCTTTGGAAACCTGGAAGCACTGGACGGACGTTTCGTCCTATTGTAGGACTCCACAGCAGTGTGCATCCACCATCTTGCTCGCTGGATTAGAACCCAGGGCCTTCGGTCTCGTGCGCGAACGTCTAACCTACTGGACCGCTGATCCGACATCCAATGGTGATAGTGTCTAACATCAACCAATCCACGAAATTGCGCGGCCGATTCCCATTGTACTAAGGTAGATATCTGTCTCTACCCGACATGGAATAGCTCCACTGGTCACGGCTTTTCACTAGAACTCCGACAATTCCCTCACTAGTCACTAGTGAGCACATGTTAATTAACTAGTATAGAGGTTCATGATCTCAATCAAAAACGTACTAATCTCCACAACCCCTATACTAGTAAAAAGTTTATTATTTTGTTTATTGACATAAGTACATAGAAGTAAACAAGTGATTAATCATAAAAAAATAAAATCTGTTTATATTCCGAATTAACAATGAGGTAAAATCCATGATGTTTGTATTACCGATAAAATTAGTAATCATATAATGATTTATGAAAGATGACACCCTAGAGACCAACGATAACTTTTCCTCATTATTGACAACAAAACTAAAAATGCTTATTTATTGAGTAAGTGTTTGTATACAAGTTGTCAATGAAAATAGTCAATCGGTAAATGAAGAATCAAAAAATAAAAAATAAAAAAAAAACAGATCATAAAACAATTGAAAGGTGAATCCATTATGAATCAGTAAACGAAAACTTTAGTTTCTCTTATTTTAGTCTAATTATGAACCATAGATTGTTTACCATAAAAGGAAAGTGTAAATAAACCATTTTTTTTTGTTTCCAGGAGAATGAAAAACAGAAGTTTTTTTTAATGACATTGTTTTAGGGTTATTCTAAGCATTTTATTTTTGTGTGTGTGTGTGTGTGTGTTTAGTCGGACAGTTAGTGACACATTTAGAAAACAATAAATGCCGATATAAATAAACAAAAGAAAAAACGATTCTCCCCTAGAAACAATAAAAAGAAGCTAGAAATAGGGTGAGAAGTATTTTTTTAAAAAAAAGTAGGATATCAAGATGAAATGACAAAAAATCTTGATAAAATTTCTAATCAAGTGCTCAATGCAAAACAAAAACCAAACAAATAAAATTATTGAAGATATTTTGGTGGAGTTTTGTTCTCTGAGCTGGATGGTTTGGTCGTGGAGCTTTCATAGTTCAGCTTAGAGAACAAAACTTCACCAAAATCATCCACCTGAGCTACAAATCTTCTCCACCATCTCATTGTTGAAGATTATTTTAACTTCATACGAAACACACAACCCCCCCCCCTAATAGAGAATGAATCCAGTTTTAAATGTTTGAATAAAATATATATCTACTTATTAATTCATTATTGACAAAAGTATTCTATTCAGATATCTAAATGTAACGAGTATTGTCCAATATTAAGGTATAGTGGTTGGATAAAGTTATTTGGATGAAGTTATTTGTAGACCATACAACAGATATCTGTTCCGTTTTCTGTTAGCGACAAAAATAAATGTAAATAATATGTAAATCATATGAGACACTTTAGTCATTACTTCACTAAGCAACAATCATTGAATATTCTAAAATATTCTAAACATTATTAAGTTTCGATAGAACAATGAGAAGACGGTGTTGATCTGAAAAATGTGATGTATTAGCGCTATACATTTCGAACAATCTGGTCACACACATATACTTGTTAAGGCATTTTTATATGAAAATTAATAAATGCTGTATTAATGTTAATTTTGTGCCCCGTCTCAATTATATGTTTTGCTATCGATGAGCTTGGTTTTCTACCTCCTACATTGATCGGATCATTTGACATACATTGATTTTGAAGCCATCTAGGTACATGTTCATTGATCCTTGATTGCATTGTTCGATTACTCCTCCCCATTTATGTGTGTCCACACAAACATGTAAATTGGTAAATATAATCGAATGTGACGTAATCATTAGTGCATTGTTTGGGTCTATTAGGAATCATGGCCTTAGACTTTTCAACCACTACCAACTGAGCAGCATAATACGTATTCTCAATGGCTGCTTTCAATCTCTGCCTTAAAACTATACTGTTAGATTCGCCTCTATATGGTAGATTGATATAAACCTTTTTCTTTGGCACTGAATAAATTAGAGGTCTTGGTATTAACTGACTTTTACACCTATTAATAAACTTGAGTGGATAACCATTTGCTATTAATGTGTCAGTCAGTAACTTTTTATCTTTTTCCACCATATCAGAGGTACATATTCTTCGAGTCCTCTTAAAGAGGCACTTAACTAGACCTCTCTTGTATTGCAATGGACAGAAACTATGGAAATTTAATTATTGTCCCGTCCAAGTTGGTTTCCTATACACGAACCGTCTAATAGTGCCATCATCCCTTCGACTTAAAAGTATGTCTAGAAAGGCTAATTGGCCATTACTTTCTAATTCATGTGTCATCACAATATCGTTTTGAACACCATTGAGTTTATCCAATAATCGGTAAACATCAAAATCTTTATCACATATAATTAGGATATCGTCCATATATCTTCTATATAGAGTTGTCTCACTAATAAGGTCGCTCGTCATATTTTCCACATATGACATGAATACCTCAGCTAAGAGAGGCCCCAAAGGGCTACCCATAGCTACACCATCAACTTGTCGAAAATATTCACCATCAAACGTAAATTGAACATTAGCTGTACATAATAAAAGTAATTCTTCCAAAAATGGTAACGGAATAGGACAAAGGGGAAAGTTTTTAGAAATATAGTCACAAAGGAAATCCGCCGTCTTTGTTAATGGTACATTCGTGAATTGAGAGTTTACATCAAATGAATGCAAAGATTTATCTTTAATATTAATGTCACCAAGAAAGTCAATTAGTTCAAATGTATTTTTTAAAGAGAACTTACATAGATTAGTACGAATTGAGTTTAACAGTTTTACTAACCATTTAGCTAGCTCGTGTGTGGGAGAACCACGCATAGTCGTAATGGAATATTAGGTTTATGAATTTTAGGTAATCCATATAAATTCGGGAGAACTGAACCCGACGGTTTTAGTATATTAAACTCCTCGTTGTTTATGACGTTCATTTTAAGAAGCTTTAATAGATTGGACTTCACTCTTGATTCCAATTTTCTAACATTTTTCAGATCAACTCCGTCTTCTCATTGTTCTATCGTAATTTATAAAAGGGACTAATTGCTTTAAATTATTAAGTTTATAATTTTTTGCTCTGATTCGTTGGTAAAGTGATGATAGCAAAGATGAAACCTCTTTCAACTTTTGTCAAGAATCATCTATGCATCAATCAGCTGTTTACCTTAGCAACATCTAATTTTCACATGAATAATAACTTTCGACTTTTAATTAGTCTGATACAAAGTCATAATAGTGTGTATATGTATTTTTGAAAAAACAACCGAAACATCGAAAAAATCATTGATTACGAATATCGTGAAAAACTTACTCCGATAATGATACAGTTCAGATAAACAGTTTATGACTTCATAAAATAACATAATCTATAGGTGGTGCATGATTTCAGAAACCAAGGGAACTTTTTCAATTCATGCAAAGATTTAATCAGGCATATGCCAGTCAGTTCCGTCGAAACTTAGCGTGTTTGATGATTTCTTCATCTATAATTAGACTAGGCGTAAATGAAGATGATTTTAGAGGAAAACGTTTTCAATGAGAATAAAAACTCCTACTTCGAACGCTCTTGGATCGTTTTACGAGGCGTTTAGAATACTTCATTTTTATATACTCTTCACCAAATAAAACTACATTATATTCGACGTTTAGGTCAACAACTTAATCTATCAAGAGATTGGCTACTGGGAAGTCAGGTGAATAAATCTTTAATAACGTGCACTTCAGGAGAATGATTATAGAAAAATTCGGTTCTTTGACAGAAGCCACACATACAAACAAGTGCTAACATGCTCTGAATTTTATTCAGGAAAATTTGGGAGGGAGAACAAGTGCCACTGACAGACTGGAAAGAAGAACACCTCATCAAGATACCAATGAAAGATCTGAGGCGTGAGAACTATAGAGGCATCACAATACTGTCGGTACCAGGAAAGGTTTTTAATAGTGTTGCTGAACTGGTTGAAAGATTCAATCTCAACAGACTGAACTCCGTAAGCATCGGTCGTGCACAGACCGAATTGTGACACTATGGATCATGGTTGAACGGTCAATTGGGTGGAAATCGTCAATATACATCAACTTCCTTGATTACGAGAAGGCGTTTGACAGTGTGGATAGGAGAAAGTTATGGAAACTTATTCGACACTGTGGTGTACTTGAGAAAATCGTCAACATCATACGAAATTCACATGATGGACTATAGTGCAAAGTCGTGAATGCAGAACAGATGGCAAACGCAATCGAATTGAGAACCAGAGTAAGATAGGGTAGCTTACTCTCTCCCTTCTTTCGTCTGGCGGTTGACTGGATTATGAAGGTGAAGCACGGAATACAATGGATAGATTAGAAACAAATGGAAGATTTAGACTTCACAGATGACATGACCCTTCGATCATATACACATGAACAAATGCATGTCAAGACAACTAGTGTTGCAGCAGCCGCTGCATCAGTAGGCCTCGACATACACAAGGCAAAAACCAAGATTCTCAAATTCAACACGGAGAACAACCAACCCAATCACATTCGATGGAGAAACTCTGGAAGAGGTGCAGAATTTCACGTATCTAGTTGATCAGCATCATCAATGGACAAGAGCGATCCAATGCAGACGTAAAGGCGAGGATTTGCAAATCAAGAGAAGCATTCCTACAATTGAAGAACATATGGAACTCAAAACAACTGTCGACTAATATCAAAGTGAGAGTTTTCAATACGAACATCGAGACAGTCCTACTGTGCGGAGTTGAAACTTCAAGAACTACCACAACCACCATCAAAAATGTACAAATGTTTCTAAACAATTGTCTGCTAAATATATCCAATGTTCGTTTGCCGAATACCATCAGAAACAGCCTACTATGAGAGAGAACGAATCAGCTTCCAAATGAAGAGGAAATGAGTAAAAGACATTGGAGGTAGAATATACAATGAGGAAATCATCAAACTCCTGATAAAGAAAAACATCTATTTACAACAGTTGGTAAGTAGTTTTCTGTTCAGAACCCGGCATATTTGTTTCGTACATATTTATTTGAGCCCAAAATTCATCTTCTTTTCTTACGTTTGCACTTTTCAAGCTACACAAATTCGTCGAACTGTCATAAAGGATAATATTTTAGATGTAATTAATCAGACTAACTTTTCCACGGTTACTATAAGAAAACGTCTGTCCATTGTACTGATTAAGACCATCATTGAATGAAACCTGTCAAAAAATATCTCCTAGCCTTCAGACATTATTTAATAAGTCAATCGATAGTTAGTGTTAAAACCTTCAGTAAATCAACACTAACCACGTTTCCGTGCTTTAAGTTACCTATCAAATGCAGTTGCACCCGTTGATTTCAGTTAACATCTACTGTTGAAGAACTTAGATAAACACCTTTGATTTCAGGATTTCTAGTTTATCTAAAATCAATCAGTAGTGGGGATAATTATTGAAAACTTTGTCTAAACCTCAAAACTACAGCTCATGAACGTGGTAAACTAACCTGTTTTTTATAAATAAAACTTTATTTTGTATTTTCTCCATTGAATATACTTTATCTATAATGAGTTGATTCCCGGTATCACATAAATGATTCAATGATTCATTAGCATTGATTAAACATTGAACAATTTCATTTTGAGATTTTAACGCAGCAACCATATCGGTTGTATTCTTTTGTTTCTAAATGGAATTCAATTAGAGAAGATAAATTAATGATCAGAAATGATTTCACTATTCATTGACTTTTGTTATGCAAAACATTGTCGTTATTCACATAGAGTTAATATTACCAAATTAGAAAGTTTTAATTTTGATTAAATACTTTTGTTAGTTGTTAAATACAGGTGTTAAACAAAGACAACCTTCTTCGTTTTTGAATCTAACCAAAACTTCATGAGTCGATTGAAGCTAGACCACCATGGAAAACCTAGAAGCACTGGACAGCCGTTTAGTCTTGGTGTGGGACTTCTCAGCACTGCGCATCCACCATCCCGCCTCGCGAGATTCGGACTCAGGTCCCATCAGTCTCACATGCGAGAGCTCCACCTTCAGACCACTGAGTCTAGCTTCAATTGACTCATGCATTCAACTATTAAGTTATTATAATATCCTCAAAACTCCTCTCTGATTAAAACGTAAATAGTTTAATTATTCAAAGATCCTCATATTAAATGACTAATATTTGAACGAAGTATATTCTTTTCAATAAATTCTCTTCAGGTTCTACAATTCTTATATCCAAATTAATAGTCCGAAAACTGGCCAGGTCAAGGACAAAGTGCGATTAGATTGACAAAATGGGTACCATTTTAGATGAGTAATTAAAACTTCAAAAAATAACTGACCAGAAAGTTCTTAATAATGAGATAGAGAATGAGCTAATCAGATCTTTGAAGAAACTCAGGGACCAACAGACGATTTGGTTGGGTTTATACGAAATAATTAAACCAGTAAGAACCTGCCAAGATTGTACACAAATTAGGGATCCCACTAAAACCAATTTAAGATATGCATAACTCTCCTTATCATACTATAGCTAAGTGGTTGTTAACTATATTGAAACGTCTCCATGCAAAACTTGTAAAACCAAGTGTTAAGTATGTATTCCAATTTGTTGACAAGATCAGAAATGCAACATCATTATTCACAAATGTTCCACTCACAGAGAACGTAGAATATACATGTGAAAAATTGAGTGAAAATGAAATTGAAACTACAGTTCCTATCAATGTCGTAAAAGAGTTATGACTGAGATGCACCATGAATGTGAATTCCATGTTCAATGGATAAATACATAAACACAAGGATGGTGTTGCGATGGAATCACCATTAGGCCTTATACTAGTTGGCATTTTTCTAGCCAAACTAGAAAATGGTCCACTCAAAAAGATTATCCAAAATTCACATTTTACTGTCAATATATGGATGATACGTTCATCCTCTGAAAAGACATTCAGTTTACATCTGAAGAAGAGAGTAATGGTAGATTAGCATTTTGGACGTGCTCTCAACTACGAAAGCTGATGGGTCATTAAAAAGGAATTTAAACAGGAAAAATGCCTGGACAGCGCAGTATACACATTTCCTTAGCTTTGTACCTCCACAGTACAAAAGAAACCTGATCACAACTATTGGTTACTGAATACGCACTATGTTCTACAGATATAGTTGAAAAAGAGCTAAAAACCTTGCGTAATACTCTTAGGGAGAACGGATACCTTAGAAAATTTATAATTAAATATATGTTCACGAAGGTGAGACTAGGCGAAATACAAACGGTGAATAAGAAATGCCTGTTCATGCGCCTACAATTCAGAGGCGACGATTTCAGAGGTGAAATATTAACTCAGAGATTACGGAAAACAATTCGAAGATCTTTTAACGCCCGAGAACAACAATTAGTATTTCTTACGCTCCCAATGGTGACGTAAAAGCTAAAAGATGAATTACTTGGAATGATCATTTCATTTTGTATTTATCAGTTTGACTGCCACTGTGGAGCAGGTTACATTGGTCGAAGTTCTAGGAATTGGCATTTTCGTGCTCGTGAACAGCTCCCAGCGTGGCTGAACAAAGGTTTGATGAAGAAAGTGAACAGCTCGATATTGGCCGATTTAGTAAAAATTGGTCATAGTGCCAGTGTAAACCAATCTTTTTCAATTATTTATAAGGTCAGTAATTTTTTGCCAAAACTGGTCAGACTTAATGTCTTTCGAACGGCTGAAGCAGTAGCCATCCGGATTAAGAGACCGGAACTGTGCGCACAAAAGAAATATCTTCAACCGCTTCTCCTCCCCTGGTCAACATCAAGGCCAACTAATCAATGGTAATCTTAGCTATTGAATGATCTAATTTGACCATTGTACTTACGACCTTTCGTAGTCAAATGTAATTGGTCTAGCTTCTATTGACTCATGATTTCAATTTGTGAAATTTCTAAAATCTCCACAAACCCCTTTTGATAATAATAATCTGCTCACTAGTGACTGACTTCAAGAGATACTCCTGGAGTTCTAGTGAGAAGTCGTTACCAGTGGAGTTCAACCAGATTTGTTGTGAGATATCAGCTCACTGAAGACAATGGTGTACAGTAGCGCAACTTCGTGGATTGGTTGAAGTTAGACATTAACACCAATGGATGCCAACTGGCTCAGTGGTCTACTTAGTTGAGCGCCTGGTGCGAGACTGATAGGTCCTGGGTTCGAATGTCTCGGGAGGCGGGATCGTGGATGCGTACTGCTGAGGAGTCACACAGTAGGACGAAACGGCCTTACAGTGCTTCCAGCTTTCCCATGGTGGTCTAGCTTCAATTGACTCATGATTTCAATTTGTGAAATTTGTAAAATCTCCACAAACCCCTTCTGATAAATGTATGTGTATCTGTTATCTTTATTCACAAATCTTTGTATTATTATTATTATTATTATTATTATTATTATTATTATTATTATTATTATTATTATTATTATTATTACTATTGGTTAAACATCATTATTCATCTGCCCAATACATGATTCATTTACTTCTCATTCATCCCACTTTATAATGTCTTTCTAATGATTTTTTGCACAATATAGTCTTCCATTAAATATTTGATCGAATTGGAATTGCACTATTATTTCTCTCTCACACCTTATTTGATCCATATTTATTCGGATCATGGATCATGAATTTCATATAACATATATGCAGATTCAAGTTTACATTCTATATATATATGAGTTATATCAACATGAACAATTTTATTCTGTGTTGTTTAACAATCCTAAAATCACATGGTATAACACTCTAAACTATGTACTTTACCCTAAACCTGATCATTTTTTGGATTATTAGTTTAGTTATATAATTGTAGAACCTGTAGAGAATTTATTGAAAATGCCCCCAAATGCTCTGCTATGGCCGAGAGTGGGGTGGGCCCGCCCCTCTCTCGAAATGCTCTCATACGGCCACGCATATACAACCTCTGCCAGGGAAGTCCTACTCACTGACTTCTCGTGGCTACAGTGTTGTCTACGAAATTGAGAGGACGAAAAGCGAATGTCCGGCGCTTTAACCGGATTCCAAACTAAAGGTGCACATGGACTCCAGTAACCCGATGGAACAATTGGCGTACGAACCAATTTTCGGTCACCGGCTACCATGGGACTGCAACTCCTGACGTTGCTCCACTGCCTTATGGATCAGACCTTTAGGTCGAAGGCTCAGGGTGTGGCCCTCTAAGAAAATCACCTGCTTCGGTTTGGGCACCCGGGCAGTATCTCAGCCTTCACACAAATCGAATGATTTATGTGGTGCATATGTATTTGGTGCCTCCTTGTACCAATGTTTATGCAACTGACTAACTAACTAAATAAATTATTGAAAAGAATATACTCTCATTTCAAATATTAGTCTTTAAAAAAACTTAAATAGTCCACTTAGTAATTAGGCATCGAGACAATCATTGATTCGTATTATCTGTATTTTCTATTGAATGAAATGTAATCTACTTTTGTTTTTAGTGATTGTTTAAATAAACAATAGTCAAGTGTTATTGATGAATTTAAACAATAAAAACAAAACAAAAACAAATGTAATTTTACTTCAATAAACACTCAACAGTTATAATAATAATAATAATGTTAACTGGTTGAAATCATGAGTCAATTGAAACTAGACCACCTTGAAAAATCTGGAAGCACTGGACGGCCGTTTCGTCCTTGAACGGGACTCCTCAGCAGTGTGCATCCATGATCCCGCCCCCCTGCGGGGTTCGAGCCCAGGATCTATCCGTCTTGCGCCAGGCGCTTAACCAACTAGACCACTGAGTCGGCATCTAATGGTGTTAATGTCTAACTTTAACTAATTCAATGATTGTTTGTTTTTGTTCGAAGTAAAAATAATGATTATCAGTTTGTTACATGGTTTAAATGCTTTACATTTTCATATGTAGTAAATATCGTTAGTGAAACTGTTACACTGTAGAACATCAATGTTTTTGCAAAGGTATAATTTTTATCTATTAATTTAGATCTAAATTTCATGGAAATTAGTTTAAATGACAAGGGTTTTATGTAATACAACTAAGTAACTAACTAAAATGCCTTCAGGAGATACTCCTGGAGTTCTAGTGAGAGGTCGTTACCCGTGGAGTTCAACCAGGTTTGTTGTGAAATAGGAACTTACTAACCAACTAGACCACTGAGCCGGTATCTAATGGTGTTAATGTCTAACATCTGAATACTTCACTTATATTTTTTTGTTTTAATACTTGATCATCTAACAATTGAATACATTTTTTGTTTGAAAAAACAACACATAACTATAAACAAAAATAAACAGAAATAGACACAAGTGATTTAATGGTTGATAACATTTTAAATATTCAAATCAGTTTCATCCTATTTTCTCTTGTGTTTTTTTCTTTCAAGAAACGAGATACAGTCGAATCGTTTGTTCTTTGTTTTTTTTCTAGTTTAACATTAAGTAATCAATATTCATGATAAATGTCACCATGTTTGAATGATTCAAAGAAATTTCCCTAATATCCATCAATATATATATATATAGATATCATGAATTTATTCTACATTCCGATGATAGAGTCATTTAGAAATCTTTCAATTTGAAGTTTCATATCATGGATAAATGTTCGTTAGGGAAATAGTGACAACCGTAGATACTATAAAGTAGCCTTATGCTTGTTTAAGACTTGTCAAGTAGTCTGCAATCATAACTTTACAAGTATAAGATGATCTTTACAACGAGGATTTAAGTTCCAGAACTTCGAGTTGACATTCAGTAGTTAAGGTTTCTAATCTCCAAGATATAGATATTGCGATTGATGATATTGTTTCACTAATTTGACAATGACTTCTTAATAGAACTCAATGAGCTACCTCACAAATTTATCCACTTGTATTCATACAATAATTAATGAAGTTACTTGAGTTTGTTAAGAACTCAGTAAATAGATTGAGTTGTTTTTAAGTAGATTTCTTCAAGCTGAAGATATGTTAACTGGAGTCTATTAAAACTCATTAACAAGATATTTGTGCAGTTTTGAAGAAACTGTTAAGCTTTGCAAGTCTCAAATGCATTTATCCACATATCAAAATTTGGGACAAAAACAGCAAATGACTGGAATCACAAGCGACTTTAAGTATAACTGCATTAGCTACAGTAATTCGCGTGAATATTGAAGTGATACTTAGTCAATTCTAGAATAATTGTTACATGCAACAAACTAGTTATTTAACGTTTGGTGAGGATTGTAAGTTCCGCTACCAAATCATCGTCAACTGATCAACTTACTGGAATTGAAAATAACAGTCACACATTTCCTACAAATATGTTTCAAAATGTCACAATCGCTCTGATACATAATTGGGTATTTAAATTTCATCGCATTATCTCAAGTTCCATTGATAGAGTTCCTACGATCAGAACGAATATCAAGCTGATTCTTTTCAGCTTTGAATATATCTAGAACGGAAAATAATCCACAATGTAAACTAGTTTCACATAAAATGGTTCTCATACGCGTTCAATAGATCTTCCAATCAACACAAAGTTAGGTGTTAAAAGAATAATAAAATGATGAGAAAATGTAATCTTGAACTGAATCACATGTCTTAATCAGAAAACTGTTGACATCTTCTTTCTGTTTTATTCCATTACAGAATTTTCTTAACTTTTCCTAGACATTTATCCATACTTTCTGAATTTTTGATAATTTTGACTTTTGATTAATTCTTGGCAATGATCGGATCCACCCATTGGGTTGATCGTTGAATTGACTTGGATTTCATTCTATAAGATACTTACAAGTATTCTTTCCTTTTTACGTCTTCTCCGTATTCAGTGCCTGACTGATCTTTTAAAATTGGACACACATTTTAATACATTTCCAGACACTTTAAAATAGTTCTGTTTTTATATTTATTTCTCAGACATAACTATATATCGTAATGATTGATAGATTAAAGTCTAAAATACTTCTGTTTTCTCACTTTGCGTGATAATTTCATACAATATTTGACGAATTTAAAACATCTGATTTAATCATTTTAACAGAATACTATTTAGTAGATATCAAATAATAACTGGTTTGAATCTGTTTCAAATCGAATCTTAGAATTGTATTATTCCACATGTTCCATATACATGATCTCTATATACCAGTATAAGATTCCGAAGATTGTTAAGTTTCAATCAATATCATGAATGGATGAATGTCAGACTACTACTAGAAACCTGGAAATACTAGACGGCCGTTTTGTCCTAGTACGGAACTTCTCATCAGCGCGCATCCACGATCCCGCACGCCGGACTCGAACCCAGAGTCATCGTTCTCACGGGCAAACATTTAACCTTTAGACTACTAAGTCGGTATCCAACGGTGTTAATGTGAATGCTCACTGCTGAGGAGTCCCATACTAGGACAGAACGGCCATCTAATACTTCCAGGTTTTTAATGATGTTCTAACATTCATCTATTCATGATACCAATTCAATCTTTATGTACGTTAAAAATCAACTCAGCAAACATCATTTATTTACTACTATCTAATGAAATAATTCATTCTATTATCATTAACATGTCAATGAATTAAGTATCAGTTGTTCCTTTTGAAACCAGTTAACTAGAATCAACATCATATATTCTGTCTCTTTCCAACTTTCTATCTTTCACTTTCATTATATCACTGTGTAATATAATGCAAAATGTATTCAATAATATTCGTTTATACCGAGACACCAAATTATTTTTAACTTTATGACCATTTTCTATAAAGTTTAAACAATGAAAACAATAAAACAAATGTCACTTCTAATTATTCTAATTATTATCATGGTACAATTGCTTTTACTTTTCAAATCTGTCACTATGACTGAAGTGATGTAATATGTATGTATGTATGTATGTATGTATGTACTGAGTTTTCAAGTGTTTTCTTTGATTTGTGTACAGTCTATCAAATGGTTATCAATTTCTATATCAATGACGTAAATCTTTCCTACTTTATATTTTCTAACTATGGTTATTGTTATCAACAATGAATCTTTTTTTCTTATTCATTTATATTATATTGTACTTTTATATGTATATACCGAATATGAATAACAGTGATACATATTGTATGTATAACTCCGCCTGGAGTCCCTCCGGAGGCTACTACCGGTCCCAAGCCCGGATAAAGGAGGAGGTTTAGGCATGGGGTTAGTGACCTCATCCCGTCGGCGGCCTATACTCCATTAGGAGTAACAGGCGTAAGTAATTAAGTAAGTAAGTATATTGTATGTATGAAGTGGAATTGTTTTGGTTTTCATTTATAAGTTAGAGAAAATGAAAAAATAACTTCTTTACATCTCCCTTCTTTACAATTATTATGGAATCTATTCTATTCTTATCATTTTCACTTTGAAAGTATCTATTATAAGTAAACTGTGCAAATATTTCTTCGGTTTCACAACAACAACACATTTTTGTAATTGTTAAGAAGTAGAAGTTGAAAACTTAGTTTAGCAATTTTTTCTTATCACTGTCACATTTTACTGATAAACAACTTTACTCTTGATTGACACGAGATCGAATCCGCCAAGGAGCATCAGTTCCTTCAAGACTACAGGTACACCTTGTTGACGAATGCCAAGTAACACGAAATTCGGGTTCAGGGTTTCCTGTCGACTACCTCCAACCACTATCTAATCTCAACTTTACTCATGTTTATTATTACAGTGACATTAAATATGATCATATTTTAAACCATATGAAGTAGAATCCATTTTTCAGGTAGAGAGGTACAAATGTATGCCAATGATAAATGGATCATCAAACGAAAAGAGAAGAAAGGAGCCATGAAACAATCTGTCAATCATAATTCTTCATTATTACATAATAATTCAAATCTCAATCATGTCATCATATCTACAAATCTAACAAACATTCATATTTACTGCTTCACTCCCTCACTTACTTCACTTTGAAGTTGATATTCTATAAACATTAAACATCTCAAACTGTTCATTTGATCTGATTCTTATCATGTTTGTGATATCTAAAGAAATTTTTTTAATATTCAATGTGTTCCCGATCTCTTTTTTTTTCTTCTATACCCTTTATTCATTTATTAATTCATACGATTGATTCATCATTGAAAATGTTGAACATGGCAGGTACCAGATTTCACAATTTATTGAAATGAATAGTAACCTTCTGTGACGATGGACTACGGGTGTTATAGGCGGTATATCAAGAAATCAACTTTCAAGATATAACACTTTCTTAACTGTTAAATGTTTAATTCTTCTATCATCTTGACCATTCCCCATAATGAGATCAACCTCAAAATAGCAACATGATTAATAGTAGGAAAAGAATCACATAAAAATATATGAAAATTCAGATTTACTTAGGGTTATCCTTTTAACTTGTGGAAATGACAAATGATTGAAATTACTACTTCAAAAGTTATGTAGAGTGAAAGAATCTCCAAAATACACTTTGAATTGCATATCGTTGTTCAGTTTGTTAGGAAATGTCATAACTTATGAGGTAGATTTAAAAGATATTTATCCTTAACTTTGGCTATGCCAACTGTGTCTGAATAAAAGTCAAAGAGGAAATTATTTATTCTATCATGACCTGTATGATTCGAACCCGTAAACGAATCAATACATACTAAATTTAAAGTTTACCCATGCAACACAACAGTCCCATCAACTATTTGCTTTTACTTGACAAGTAATTAATCTTAATACTTGGCTATTATTACATTCTTTATGGAACTTGAAAATCACTTCATTGTTTCAAAATCATGGAAAAAGTTTCCATCCATACATCTACAAGTATAATCAGTACCCGTTCATCTACTTACCATTCGCATCGTCTTGGTTTACACATCATTCATATGTTCACAATATCTCCGAGAATGTTTCGATGCTTTCTCCGCTTAATTTCTACATAATGAATAGTAATTCTTATTTTATCAGCTATCAGTATGAATTTATTTCCTTAATTTGAGCTAATAAGAATCATTGTCAATATTTTTGATAGTGTTTTGTTCTTTGAGCTGAATGGTTTGATCGTGGAGCTTTCATCGTTCTTCTGAAGGACATCATCACCAGCACAAATTTCAGATAGCAGTGAAGTGTTCGAATTTCTCCATATGCGTTTCACAGCTTGTTCTGTACACCTCGACGTTGATTGGTTCTTATTGACCTTAAATTTGTTAGTGTTTACTTCTTTGTTTTGGTTGTGTCCTCCATTGGACGGTGGGGGGGGTGAAACAAAACTTCATCAAAATCATCCAGCTGAGTTACAAATCTTCTCCACTATCTCACATTGTCCCAAGTAACCCGAAATTACACACAACACTGGATTTTCTAGTGGAGCTTTGACGATGATGTTATTGCTAATGAAATACTTAGTTACTATTGTTATTTCATTTAGAGTGTAAACAAAAACGAAGCAAAATACATTGTAATCAACAGTATTACACTTTGTGTGTTTTTTTGTTGTTTAAAATACTTTATATCAACTCATAAAGAAAATAGTCATTAATATTTGACTAAAATAAAGTAAACTGTCAGTGAATTAATTACTTACTATGAGTTGATAATTCATTAGTTTACTTTCTTGTGTTGACAACAAAGTTTCAAATAAATGTGCATCACGTAGAAACATCTTTACAAGAAAGAAAAAAATGTGACAAAAGAATAAAGCTTAAAGTTGGTTAATATGAACATTGAAAATCTTCCATTTTGAACATCCTTCTCAGAATTAACCTTCCCAAATGAAAAATGATCCATCATTTTAACAACTAGACAGTCACAAACGACTAAATTGGATGACTGTTGTACTAAATCACGGATTGGTCTATATTTGACACATTGATATCAAGACCTGAATGTCTTGAATTTGATGGTTAACAAAGTCATAAATATGAAATATTGAGTAGTCTTAAACGTGGACAAAAAACAGTTTTCCAATGGTTTCTTGGTTCGTAAAGACTCAATTACTAATAAACATCTATGTAATAAGCTCTTTTTCACATTCAACTAATTTTCATAATCTTCTCAGCTAAATGTAGCATTCTTTATTGAAAATTTAAAAAAAAAGGCATATTTCATTCTTTTGTACCTTGAAGATGCTCTTAAAAGTTAAAAAAAAATGTCGTAAAGTAAACGACCATAAATCAATCAACAAAAAAGGTGTTAAGACTTGCTACATCCATCATTCACCTTTTTGTTTAAGCTTTAAAACTCTAATACCGAAACATCTAATACATAAATGAGTCTTTATTTTACATTTACTACTCACCGTTATTCGTTCAAATCAATAAACGGAAAGAAATGAATAAAAACTAATGTTACAATTGATAGATTTTCATTAATATTTTTTTGGATTTACGTTAGCAAAACTGATTTGTCCAACAATGATAGACATCTTTTCTATATGTATCTGCTGTACGGTGTTCTAAATCAACTGGATACTTCTTTTTGATTGAGATCATGAACCGATTGATGTTAGACCACCACAATTAGAAACTATCACCATTGGATGCCGACTCACTGGTCCAGTAGGTTAAGCGTTGGCGCGCGAGACCGAAGGCTCTGAGTTCGAATCCCGCGAGCGGGATCGTGGATGCGTACTTCTGGGGAGTCCCACAATAGGACGAAACGGCCGTCCAGTGCTTCCAGGTTTTCAATTGTAGTGGTCTAACATCAATCGGTTCATGATCTTAATCAAAAACTTAGTTATCTCCACAACCCCTATATTAGTGAATACTTCTTTATTGATGATAATTTCTTGCAAAACAGTCAAAGCGATTACATCTATTTACAACTTCGTAGATAAACGTATTGTTGACTTTCCTCTTTTATGTACATAAGCTAACCCTATTCAGACTTCCGGGTCAACGCTTACAATTTCTTTAAATTAAACTAATTTTTTTGTGAAACTCTAACGCATACAAAGTTTGCGATACATCCTAGATCATCATAATAACTGATACTGTAGTGTATGCTGCTTACGTTGACAGACACAAGTAGTACACAACACCAACCTGAAGGACAATGCCTGCAAGCAGAAGGTTGAGCAGAATGAAGTGAAGAGAAGAGAAAAAGATAGTAATCAAGATAATAACAAGAATGAACAAACAATGATGGTTGTAAGAGAAAACTTAAAAAAGACGTGCAAATGATGTATTTGATGTATGATTCTCACATCATACTGAACCATTGTGTGGTTGTACATGAAACAATAAATCGGCCCTCCCTCATTCAAGTGTTTATTCACTGTAATACTTATAAAATCATACTTATGAATATGGAATAAAACACATTCTCATATTAATGAACACCAAACACTAACTGATGATTTACTTCACAATGTTAAAATGCTATATCTCCTGTAACTCCACTTTCAACAGTTGTTAATTAGCTTATCTTGTATACGATGATATTGTTTGGTTTTTAAAACTATACATTCAGCATGTATTGAAGAATATAGATGAGAATAATATCGACAAATTATTTATAATTCATTATAATGTAAACTCTCTATTCTACTATTCTACACACACCATTATTGAAGACAAAAATTATACATTTAACATTAATCAACATTAGAAGGTTTATTTAGATAAATCTGTTTTAATTCACTTGGTATTGTTTAGCTTGTATCTTCCCATTGTGGTTTAAGACTGCAATTGATCAGTCTGTATACTGTGCATATTGCCTCGATATTGCCTTAATTCACAAGCTATTTGTAAGCAATGATAGATAGTGGCTAGCAATGGAATCCAGTTTGGCGCGCGTTTCGTCCTATTTGAGACTCGTCGTCAGCCGGATGTACCTGCATCACAGAGAGTTGATGTGCACTCTGGGATGGACTCGAACCCAGTACCATTCGCTCCAAACGCCATTGAGTTATCTAATCAGCTACTAGTGAGTCCTGATAGCCACTTGCTTGTGCAATGGGATGAATTTGAATTCTGTTTTAAGTCTTCACAAACAATCATAACGTGAAATACAAGGTTAGTTATATTCAAAAATGTTTAGTTGCAATAGGAAATACTTCAGCATTCTACGGTGTATCTATTCACAACGTTTTCTAATTTGAAAACAATGTAATCTCATTCAACGAGATTTCATATGAAACAATCAAAAGATCATCTCCCAACAACTACTGACGGATAATTTCAAATGTAACAGATAAAACTTCATTAAAAATTGCTCATATGTTTAAATATAACAAATGGTTTATAATAAAGTTCGACTTTTTCTTCAACCCACCTGGAAGTTTAAATTCTGTTGTAAAAGTTTTTGTTCATATGTCCACATTTGCATTAATTCTGACCAACCATTTTCTAATCTATCTAAACGTTGATCAAGTTGTATGTAATGTACATCTATTTCACCAGCTGTAATACATCGTCCATAACTTATTAAATCACTATATTCATCTTTACGAGCTAAAATTTGTTCACCTAATTCTTTATGCATATCAATTTCAGCTTTGGCTTCTTCTACAGACAATGGTAATTGATGTGTTGCTACACGAATTTCAATATTACGTAACCATAATTGATTGTCATCTAAACTCTAAGTAAAAGAAAGAATTAACAATTTTGTTTGTGTAATTTTGCTTTAGTTGTCATGTAAATAAAAGAATATCCGGTATTCACACTAAATTAATCTTAATTTTAACTTGTAGGATAAACATTTTCAGTGGTTACGCAATAACAACAACAAAAAATGAATCAGTATTTGCTGCCTTTCATGTAAAAAACTAAAATTAATCTTCATCACATTATTGATGATTGAAAATAAGTATCAGATGGGGTTTTAGTAATTTAACTGATTGAAATCATGAGTCAGTTGAAGCTAGACTACCATGGAAAACTTGGAAGCACTGTACGGCCGTTTCGTCCTAGTATGGGACTCCTCAGTGGCAGTGCGCATCCACGACCCCGCACCATACGAGATTTGAACCCATAATCAAATTTTCAGGTCGACTATAAAGTTAACACAAATGCTGCTATTTATAAATTAAATGTTATATTTAACATTTATACTACTTAATCTAGTAATATATATCCAATTTGATCTTTAAATGACGCAGTAATATCAGAATGGGTTTGGATTGGTTGAAGTTAGACATTAACACCGTTGGATGCCGGCTCAGTGGTCTAGTGGTTAAGTGCTCGCGCGCGAAGCCAATAGGTCCTGGGTTCGAGCCCCGCGTGGTGAGGGATCGTGGATGCGCACTGCTGAGGAGTCCCATACTAGGACGAAACGGCCGTCCAGTGCTTCCAGGTTTTCAATGGTGGTCTAGCTTCAACTGACTCATGATTTCAATCTGTGACGCAGTAATAATTAACTATAATACAACATTGAATAGTTTTACATTAAGATATAAAGTAAACGAAAATTAAAACTGCGTACATTCCTTTTCATTGTAATTGAGAGTTAGTTACTTTGTGCATATATTACTATTATCACTTCTGTTAATATCTGATATTCACCTGCTATAAAATGAAGAAATGAATTGTGAACTTATAGTAACTATTCTATTTTATATATTCCCATTCAGACTTAAAATATAAAACTTGATCAAAAAGATATTTGCTTTCAGTTGAATGTTCATCATAACTCAACTTGAATACAAAGTTTTGCATCTAAACATAAAACACAATATAACACTTCATAAGTGATAAACAAATCAACGTAATAAAATGAAGTGAGAAAAGTGAATTTGTTGAGAAGTTCCATACAAGGATAAAACGGTCGTCCACCGCTTCCAGGTTATAATTTACTATTATATCCACGAAACCACTGATTATAAACATCATATGCTCATTAGTTACTATCTTCAAGAGATATTTCCCGGACTTCTACTAAGAAGCGGTTACCATTGGGGTTCAACCTAGTCTGTTGTGAGTTATTAACTCACTGAAGACAATGGTGGACATTAGTGCGATTTTGTGGATTGGTTGAAGTTAAACATCACCACCAATGGATGTGGTTAAGCGCATGCACGTTAGATTGGATAGATCCCGGGTTCAAATCTCGCGAGGCGGGATTGTGGATACGCACTGATGAGGATTCCCAAACTAGGACGAAACGGTCAGCAGTGCACATCCACGATCCCACACCCCTCGGGAAAATTATTTATTTACTAATTGACTTTATAAAAATCATCTACACTTGAATTTATTCTTATCTCCGTGTGAAGAGAGAAAAATGATACATAGCAAATAGTATAAGGCATCTTATTTATCGAATAGATTTTACCCCTAACTACTTTGAACATGCAATCTTTCGTATATAAATAGTAATGTTGTTTTTTTAATATTCTTGCATAGATTAACAAAAACCCACACAATAATCATAAGATTGATTCAATAATTATCACCTGAAAAAATTGTTGCAGTTCAGCTGAAGCTAATAATTTGTCTTGACGACATTTTAATTCTACTTGTAAAAGTTCCCATTCCTGATTCAATTCTAATCTTAAATGATTGACTTCTTTTGAAGCATACAATTCTCCGGAGATAAGGTATAAATCTCTTCTTTGTGGAGCTTCCTCTACTAAGGCTTTCAATAATCTTTCACCTTCTACATTAAGACTTTGGATTTCATCTTGTAATGCAATAAAATCTTTTTCCCAACCTAATAATCTTCTTTGTAATTGCATAACACTATTTAAATCTGTGCCTAAATCATCAGTTGAAATGAGTAATTCTCTTTTACGTATTATCCATTCTTTTGTTGTTTGACATAAAGTATGGTATTTTGATAAATATGCAGCTAATTCAAATCGTTCACGACGTGCATTGAGTAAAAGCTTCAAACGTTGCCATTTCTTGTTAATATAATCTAATAATTTTGAATATTTTGGTTTGTCAACATTGTTGTCGTCAGTTTGTTCATCACTAAAATGTTTCGATGTACGTCGGTAAAATATTTTATTTTCATGGTTAGTTTCAACAAATTCTTGACTACTTTCTTTATCCACACTAATTTCATATGGTTTATCTCTAGCTTCACTACTACTATCCTCTTCCTCATGTGCCTCTTCATTGTCATCATCATCATCATCATCATCATCATCATCATCATCATCAACATCATCTTCATCGTCATCTACATAATCCTCAACTGATAAATTAAGTTTTATAGTAGACTGAATAAATTGAAGAATACTGAAATCCCTTTCTTTGTCAAGCTTCTTTAAATTTTCCGATAATCCTTCATTAAGCATTCCAATTTCACTTAATCTTAAATTTGCATGACTTATTAGTTCATGTTCAAATGTTTTAAAACGATAAGCTTGTATAGAGAGTTGTGATATAGCATGAATAATTTCTTCCGTAACAGTAATAGGACATGGTATTGGTAAAGATTTTAAAAACTCCATCGAAGGATATATAACAGGATTGAATGTTAACAAAATTCTCTCCCTTTTTTTGAAAATAAAAAACAGGAAAGAAGATATAGAAATGAAACAAGGATGTTTCAAGCAAAATAAAATAGTTCCTGCTGACTATTTCATTTCCTGAAGTTAAATGATCAGACTTCATACTACTTAATATAGAATCTTTACCTCATTGAGAAAGGCATTACTTTGTATCAGTCAACTCAAGTGTTAATATGTAGCTAATTATATGGATCAGAAAAGTCATGCACACTTTGAACTAATCTCTGGGATTACCCTGTCTCATCATCTAAAACTGAACGCAATTAGGTGAACAGCATCATTTAAAAATACCAAAACTTCACCACAACAACCATTCATCACAATTGACTGATCACTGAGTGGTGATCAATGTCATGCTTGTCTAGTCCTTATTGGTGCAGATCGAATGCTATCGATCATGTTGCAATGTGGCCACCAGTCTAGATGACTCGACACTGCGTGCACTATATATTGAGATTAGATGGTGGTTGGAGGTAGTCGACATTGATCACTACCCAGTGATCAATCAATTGTGATTACATCTCAGTCCTACAGGAGGTTAGTCACGGCTCGGAAAGCTCAGTGGTAATGTCTCTAACTGTGAAGCTGGGTGACACGAGATCGAATCCGCCAGGAAGCACCAGTTCCCTCAAGATTACAGGTACACCTTACTGACGAGTACCAAGTAGCACGAGGCTGTGGTGCAGGGTTTCCTGTTGACTACCTCCAACCACCATCTAAACAAAAGAACCATTTGTATTAGAAAATGTTTCTGTGAGTTCAAAAGTGAGATACCTAATCTCTCATTTTATAATGATTTCAACAATCATTTGGATTATACAAAATTTTATCAGATTAATGATCGTTTCCTTATCGTTTTTACATTCATCAAGTGAATAATTATTTTAACATCTCTTATTTATAAATTAGTTTTACTTAACTGTTTTTCATTCCTCGGTTGGACTATCCAGTTACTTAGATTCTACTTTGTAAAGATTAGTTACATAACATCACTTAAAAATATGGATATTCAATTAACACATTAAATATATAATCACTTGTATACAACTAGACACTATTTTATCAACCGAATGTCATATTCCATCGTTAAGTGGACTTGACAGTTAAATTCATTTCTGGCCAAATTATTAGAAAGATGAGATCAGATCCATAAGTAGCGATGAACAAATTTCGTGCCTACTAAATTTTAAGTTCTTTATCAATCAAATCAACTGGTTGTTTTTATTCTTAGGTACTATTGAATGTTCGATGATTTCTTTATCAATCTCAATTGAAAATGGGGGGGAGGGGGGAATCAAACTTCTCAACTTAAAACTAAGCAAAATTAATATGGTTGATCAGTGTAAAAAAAAGAGTAAATGTCAATTTACTTTTCTTCAATCCAATTTCCCATTGATACAATATTGTCAACAAGACGTAAAACATCACGTCGAAGTTCCAATTTATCCCTTATTTTTAAACTGTTTTCTAAGCAATCTATGAAATGCATATGAATAAAACTTAACCTATTTAATAAATGATGAGCAATCATTGAAATATGTGGAAGTAATAAGATGGGTAATTCATGTTCTTCAGGGGAATTCATCGGAGTTCTATAATTTTGTTCAGAATATTTATTATCCTCATTGCATTCAGTACTACTCATGATAGATTTTGTTGATGTAAACAACAATCCCTGTAGATTATTCTCAGACTCACTAGTAGCCAAAGTCATTTCACAATCAGTTTGTTGTAAATTCAATGTTTCATGCAATGTGGTTGTTCTTGGGAGTTGATTTTTGTCTATCTTCTCTTCTTTATCATTTTCAAGACTGGATATAGAAATAACAGAATCTATATCCTCTTGAAATGATGAACCAACTGTTCGTAGACCGGTTAGTGATACTTCATCACTATGATCACTACTATAATTGTCTTGATTATTGATGTTTTGTTGTTTAGCCGACTGAAATGTTACTTCCACATGGGATTTTCTAGATCTGTAAAGATGATTTAATTTGGTTTTCAAGTGATGAAATACTGAATAATCATTTTCATTCAGAATAGATCTGGCTGGTAGAAAAGCATATACTTCATTTTGTAGTCGATTTAAATGAGTAGTAAATAATTTCAACTGTTCAATTATCTGAAAACAAAACAATATAATTGGAATTTAATTTTAAATAGTGAAAACTGTACTCAAATCAGAACATTAAGCACCATTTATTATGACCGGTTTGGGTGAATAAGTATTAAGGTTAGTATACGTTAACTCGGTAATCAAATGATTGTTAAAATGAATAAAGAAACAAACTATTGAAGCAATCATCTTTACATAATTATATTTCTTGTCTAAGCTAAAGCATCTTTTTAAATGTTTTCTTTTGCCTATCTCATTTTATCCTTTTTTTACTCGCTCCGTTTACTTCAGTTGAATACACATTATATATGCTAATATTAACTGGTTTAGTTACTTGTTTCATTCTAAGTAGCTCATACAACTGACCGGATATGACTACTACTACTACTACTACTACTACTACTACTACTACTACTACTACTACTACTACTACTACTAATACTAACATTGTTTATACCAGCATTTGATATCCCTAGAGAAATAACATTGAGAAGAATGTGCAAAATTATTTGAATGACTAATGTGCTCAATCATTCTGATTAACAAGCAAATGAAATAGAGTAAAGAAAAATAACAAACTAAATTAACAATATTCACAGTATTGTATAGTTCGTAAATGTAGCATTTTCAACAACAACAAAATGTAATAAAGAATTATATATCTTTTACAATATAATCAATAATAATACTTAATTCAGCTAGTTGATCAAACAGAATTCCGATTACATTCATATTCTGTTCATCATATTCCCCCTAGAACTAGAAACTAATATTACAAAACTCAAAATACTAACTATTCACTTGGACATTGGAATTGAATGTTTTTAGTTTTACATGAACGGATACTCTTACTCAAAAATAAAAACGTTATATAAACCTATTCATCAATTATCTGAACCAATATTAAATTTCCAGTATCTATGTATCATTGAAATAAGTGAATTATGAATAATTCATTTCAGTATATTAGATATCTGTGTAGGGCCCCCAAATGCCCGGGCACTGCTGAGAGTGGGGAAAGTCCGCTCTCCCTCTCCGAATGCTCACACATGGCCACGTATACATAGCCTCTGCCAGGGAAGTTCTACTCACTGCCTTCTCGTGGACACAGTGTTGTTCACGAAAATGAGTGGACGAAAAGCGAATGTCCAGCGCTTTAACCGGATTCCAAACCAATGGTGCACATGGGCTCCACGATCCTGAGGGAACTAATGGCGTATGAACCAATTTTCGGTCACTGGCTGCCATAGGACTGCATCTGCTTACGATGCTCCACTGCCTTGTGGATCAGACCTTTAAGTCGAAGGCTCGGGGGTGTCCCCCTAAGCAAACCACTTGCTTCGGTTTGGGCACCCGGGCATTATCACAGCCCTCCCACATATCAAATGAAATTTGTGTGGCGCATATGTATTTGGTGCCTCCTTGTACCAATATCTATGTGTTAAAATAAATAAATAAATAATAATTATGAATAATTCATATTAGTACATAACAGATCTATGTAGAGAAAAAAATCCTTTTTCCATAAAACGTTTTTCATTTATTTATTATTTCTTGATTAAGATAAACAAATTTATTCCGCTTTTTATGAACTTTTAAATGATCGCAGAAGTTCCATTGTTTTTCAAAGCTATAAGTACTGGGTCCAAGTTATGATCAGACATTGATATTATTGAAGTCTTCTTGAAGTGATTAAAACATTCACCCTTAAATTCAATTCTTTCCACTATGTATATATATATATATATATATCATAGTCCAATTTTCGTACTGGATTGAACGATATAATCTTGTTATAAGTGCACGTTTTCATTGTCAAATATTAAGCCAATTAATGGTATCTGGTAATTCACAGTTATATAATATACCCTTGTGGGCCAGGGTAATTTTACATTGGTTTTCAGGAGAACCAGACACCATCCAGACTTTCACGTGACAACCCAAACAGTATAGCTCAACCCCTTTTATCAGGGGAACCAGACACCGTATAGGCATTAACGCTACAATCTGAATAGTACAGCTCAATCCTGTGGTGCAACCACACAGATACCAAGTACCCTGGTGAACCAGATATCTGGTAATAGGTAAGATTTATTATGCAATTTTGTTTTAGATTCATTAAAAAAAATAAAATAAAATGATATTTCTAATTTTGTTGCTTATTAAAGACAAAACAAATAAAATGTTACTATCAAATTTAATGAATATTCATTTCAACATGGTCACTATAGGCTTGTTACTTACATGATCCATTTGCCTTAATGTTGAATTAATCACAATTTCTTTATTAATTGTTATAGCTTTTTGTTCTCTCAATGTATTAGTTATTGTTGTTGATTTCATTCCCGTTTTATACGTATCAATGACTTCATTCTGTGTTGATTTATCTCGAACAGGTTCAAGACAACAGTCGACAAGCATTGATGTCAATTGAACACCATTATATGTTTCACATATTCTTAAATTAGTTTCTTCAATTTTAGTATTGAGTATAACTAAGCTATATAATCCATTTAAATATTGATGATGTCTTGCTAGTTTAACATTTATGTCATTAATTGCAATCAGTAGTTTACTCCATTGTCTTTGTAACAATTTAACAAATTCAACGACTTTTGTACAACGTTCTTCATGTTGAATATTCTGATCGTTAGTACATGTTGAATTATCCAGTGGAAAATTGGATAGATGCATATTTCCTAAAGATAATATAATATCTTCATATATTCGTATGAATGGGCATTTTTTCAAGTCTCCGATGATTTCATTTTCATGATATTCTTCAGTTTCATTCGAGTTGTATTCATCAAGATGTATGTTATTAAGAATACTCATTAGAGAAATATCATTCATGGTTAGTTGGTTGAAATTTATAGAGTTCAACTTAGTTGAAATTTGTTGTAATGCTACATATAATGTTTGATTTGATGAAGTTAAATGATGGTTATAATAATTAATTCCATATCTTAACTGAAGTTCTTTATTAAGTAGATGTAATCTACTTTGCAAATGATGAGTCTGTACACCAACCTGACCGAAATTTTCAACGAGTTCCTCTTTAAGAAATTCAAGGGGTTTAATTGAATCATTTTGATCCTAAGTACATATGAAGAGGAAAGAAAAACTGTACACTTAGTACTTTCAAAGGAGGAAGTTTTACTAGTTACAAAACTTAGATAAACATCAACTTCACTTGGTATTGTTTACTTGAATCTTCCCATTGATGAATAGGACCGCAATTGGTCAGTCTTTTATTGACATATGTGATTCTTGTGCAGATTGCCTTGACATTACCTTAATTCACAAGCATTATAAGTAAAGATGCATAGAGGCTAGAAGTGGAAACCATGACGCGTGTTTTTTCCTATTTGGGACTCGTCAGCTGGGTGTATCTGCATCTCAGAGTTGATGTTCACTCTGGGATTCGAACCCCGTACCGTTCGTTTCAAACGCTATCGTGTTATCTACTTAGCCGCTCGTTTGTACAATTAAATACACTTGGTATTGTTTATTTGATTTTCAAATCCGGTTTATTTCTGCAAAACACTGGAAGCAAACTTTAAGCATTCATTGAATGTCATTTACAATTGTTTATATGCTTCAAATACTGCATAAGTTACACAAGTCCCACAAGATAGTTTGTATGATGTGAGAATTTCCATCTAGTCAAGTTTTATGTGAATCATATAACTCTCATTTCATAACGGTTTACTCTCCATCATTGACTTTGACGACATGATGTTTAGATTAAACTTGCAATTTCAATGTATATCCATAGAAGGTAATTAATAGTTATTGAAAAGAACATTGTTTATTCATATATTCGTTTTTTAAATCCACATTAACCAACATCCGTACGTTTATGAAAATGGCTTTTTAGTCATATGAAGTCATTCTGTTGAATAAAGTATTATTATCCTTATATGATCACAGTTAAAACTTACTTATAACATTAAACCTCACTGAATTCTAACAAAGAAACTGAATTTCGCTTTCAGTAACTTTTCATCGCAGTTAGTGCGTTGCTCAAAAGCATAATATCTGGAAGTAGCATATTGTTGCTCATATTATGTTCTTCGTTAATGACTCAAGGGGGGTCTTTAAACCTATCACTGTTTGTGACGATTAATAACCTATTAGTGGATGGAACGACTATGAAATAAAGTCCATGTGTTATTAGAATAACAGATTTGTGGATATTATCCGATTATGAAATGGTTAACGTTACGGTTTGATGTTTCTTATATAATCATCGAGACAGTTTTCAATTACGGTTCTGGAAAATCATCCCGTAATATAACGAATCAGCACTAAATAGGAATGTCCGCCGATGGAAAATCAGCTCATTAATTTAAAGTGTTAAACTGAAGGTCTATTTGGCTATTGTCTGATTGTTGGTGAATATCTCAGTCCATACTGTTTATTAATCCCAAAATAGGATAGAGTGTGTCCGATCCTTCCTAGTGCTCAATGGTTATTTAGTCAGTCAGTTTGTGAGGTTAACTATCTTTAACTAAGTCCACCCTCTCAGGTCACTAAAACCACCTCCAATCCAATTTCCTTCTCAGATACCTCAAGAAGAACCCTTCCATGGTGTGGGCAACCGTGACGTGATAACCTCTCTCATACCTCTAACAGCACTCAAGACCACTGTATTCGTAATGCACCTCCCTCTTCAGTTCCTATTATTCCTCCTATATCGACTTTCAACTCTAAATTTCCTCTTTTGGCTCCCACCTCAAGTATTACCATAGCCAACGATTCTACTGTGCAAAACACTGTCCCAGGTCTACTGAAACCTCACTCCAAACTACACGTTGGAGCCTTCAACGTACGCACCCTATGTCAAATCGGCCAACAAGTTTCCATGGCTAAAGCCCTAGAATCTTGTGACACTGATGTATGCTGTGTCTCAGAAACACGTATACTGGATCCTAGTGTGGTCATTCACTTGATCTCATCTTCCCGAAACGGAGGGCCGACAAGATAAACCCTCCGCGTATCTGACGACCCGATTGCTAGTTTTCGTGGACTGGCAGGTGTAGGTGTAGCACTGTATACGAGAGTAGAACAAGCACTATTATAATGGATCCCCGTTAACAGTCTATTTGCTGTTCGGCTGAACTTCTTCAGAAAGCTAAACTTTCAGACATAGTACTCATAGCAGGTGACTTTAATGCCCAAGTAGTTAGCTTAAACCTAACGAAAAGACGTTTAAGTGGGCAATTCGGTATTTCGACTCAGCGAACAGATAATGGTGATCGTCTGCTGCAACTATGCTCAGATGGTCGTTTATATTTAGCAAACACTAATTTTAAGCATAAGGAGAGACATCGTCTAAAATGGCGACCCCCTACACCAAACCAACGTTGAATTGAAATAGACCATATTGCCATCAGTCATAGTTGGAGAGGGTCGATACAAGATTGTTGCTCATTCTGGAGTACCTGCTTGGACTCCGACCACGCCCTAATACGGACACGCATCTGCTTGCGCCTCACTGGACGCAAAAAAGCCACATTAAAAAGACCCGTTAGAACTTAGTTGAGTAACGAGAAAACCAAAAGTAGGTTCCAGGAACAACTGAGGTCACAATCAGGTAGTTCTGAAAACGAGGCTGACCCAGATGTTGCTTGGAAAGATATACAAACAGCTGTGGAAACAGCAGTGACGTCGATTAGTGATTTAAACCAAAAAGTCACGAAAAGCCAGTGGATTTCCCCAAGGTCAGTTGCACTAGAGGATTCTCGTAGACTCATCCCATCAGGCTCTGAACACGATGAAGAGCGAAAGAAAATCAGATCTAGGTCAAGAAAAAGTCTAAGAAACGACCGTGAGCAGTGGTGGGCAATGGAAGCAAAAGAGATGAAAAAGGTGCTGGCTGTAGTTAACACAAGATCTCTTCAGACTAGTAAAAGGAACTGCTGTGAGTCGATCTCGAAAAAAGACGACACTCTCATCTGCTCCCAGTTCAGACGTTTAGAACGATGGGCCGAACACTTAAAGGAGCAGTTCAGCTGGCCTTCATCTACTCTACAACTACCCACCATTCCCAGACATCCTGAATGGAACATTGAAGTAGGTCCCCCAACTATTGCTGAAGTTCAACTAGCTACAGTTAATCTGGAACGAGGAAGGGCAGCTGGTCCAGATGGACTGGCTCCAGAGGCCTTTAAGTATGATGGTCCAATTTGAGCAATCATGTTGACTGATAGTTTAGCTAAAATCTGGGAGTTAGACATAATTCCATCTGACTGGTCGCAATCACTGATTGTCCCAATATATAAGAAGGGATCAAAATCATCCAGTGATAACCGTAGAGGGATTAGTTTGACCAATATAGCATCCAACATAATAGCCTCAATAATTATCGAGTGGTTAACAAAGACTCATGAACTGCAAACACTAGAAAATCAGGCTGGCTTTAGATCTGGTCATGACTACATCGACCACATATTCACTATTCGTCAGGTTCTAGAACTCAGGCAAGCTTATCGGCGTCCGACAATCATGGTTCTTTTTTTTACGTAAAAGCAGTAGTTGACTCTGTTGGCCGAGAGGTTCTGTGGCAGTGTCTGTTATTGAAAGGCGTACCTCAGAAGTACATGAACCTTGTGAAGGCTCATTACTCGAACACTACTACACGAGTCAGAGATTATGACGAACAGTCATCTGTTTTTGCAACCTCAAATGGTGTCCGTCAAGGCTGTCCACTTTCGCCATTTTTGTTTAACTTCATCATAGACCTACTGATGGGAATAATATTCTCGTTGACTGAATTCATGGGTATTGATCTCCTTCCAGGAGGTCCATTTATCGAATACGCAGATGACATAGTCCTGTTTGGTGAAGACGCTGATAAAATGCAGAGTCTTTTGGTAGCACTAAGCAGAATGTTTGGAATGCGCTTCTCCCTCTCTAAATGCAAATTGTTGCTTCAGGACTGGTCTGCGTCAACACCTGAACTAAGGATAGGGAGTGAAGTAGTCGAACGCTTTGAAAACTTCACTTATCTTGGAAGTCTGATCAGCCCTAATGGGTTGGTGTCTGATGAGATCTCAGCACGGATTCGAAAACCCCGTTTGGCTTTTGCCCATAGCGAGGGCGAGATATCCGTTTATGAATAAAAGGACGAGTATACTGCGCGGCAGTTCATTCTGTTTTACTTTACGACTGCGAAACGTGTCCATTAAGAAATGAATATATTCAGAAGCTACTAGTATGTAACCATAGATGCCTTGGAAATATTGCTGGCGTCTGCTGGGACCATCGAGTAAGTAATAGTGAGGTTAGACACAGGGTATTAAGGAATGATGGGAAATCAGTTGATAAGGTTGTGAATCTTCATAGACTGAGGTAATTGCACCATGTGTTACTTATGCCTGAACACCGATTACCACGACGTGCAATGCTGACTAGTGTTGAAGATGGTTGGAAGAAAGTTAGGGGCGGCCAAACCAAAATGTGGCATCAGTGCTTGAACACACTAACATTTGGTCTGAGCCATGTTGGCAGATGCAGACTATTTGGTTGGGGTCCACGTAACTATCGTAACCAATGGTTGGAGACTCTTGGTGACATGGCTCAGAATCAATCGGAATGGCGTAGTTGTATACACTCTCTGTCTTCTCTTAAACTATGAGATTAAAATTATTTCATATCTTTCTTCGTTATATGCAATCTTTGTTTTATATATTACAACCATTGAGTTAACTACCATGAATCAGGTGTTCGTCTTGCTATGCTAACGAGGTATGGCAACTTGTACCGATGTATATATGTGCTTGGTCCTACATTGTAGCTGACTGAATGACCGAAGTTAACGAATTATTGTATCACCTGACCCATCAAAAACTGTACATTTAACTAAATAAGTTCTATATATATAGCTGAAAAATTCCCATTATATTAAAACACAATGTTGTGAACAAAGAATATTCTTTTCAATGAATTTATCAGCTTCTACAAATATAAATCCAAATTAATAATCCATAAAATTTGCCAAATTTGAGGCAGAGTACTTCATTTAAAATTGTTTATATGTGAATTAAGGATTGTTGTTGTCGCGATATAAAACCAAATCAAATCGTTAATGTTGGGGTTGCTAATATGAAGTTAGATGGTGTTTGGAGGTAGTCGACAGGAAACCCTGCACCAGGGTCTCGTGCTACTTGGCACTCTTCATCAAGGTGTACCTGTAATCTTGAGGGAACTGGTGCTCCCTGGCGGATTCGATCTCGCGTCACCCAGCTTCACAATCAGAGGCATTATCACTGAAGTATCCGAACAGCTCGGACTATAGGTACACCTTTCTGACAAGTGCCAAGTAGCACAAAACCCGGGTCCAGCGTTTCCTGTCGACTACCTCCAAGCACTATCCAATCTCAACATATAGTGCACGCAGTGTCGAGTCACCTAGACTGGTGGCCACATTGAAACATGGTCGATAGCATTCGATCTGCACTAATAAGGACTAGACACGCATGACATTGATCACCACCCAGTGATCAATCAATTGTGACTAATATGAAGTTGTTAACTTGAATTAGTTTATAAGCGAAATGAAATTGTGAGATAAATGATGATCAGAAGAAATATGGTCAACATGGGGTGAGAGAGAGAGAATAGTGTAATTGCAAATCAGAAATTACGTAATCTATAGATTAATATGAATTAGGTCGGATATAGCAGATTTAGGGGTGGATACTGAATGAATTCCTCAAAAAGGTTATCAAGTGTAATAATAATAATAACAATAATAATAATAAAAAGATAAGTTTGGGACCTAAATATGAACATTAATCAAATGACGTCACCATATTATAAAATTGATTATTAACTAGTTGAACAAATTAAAAGGAGCGGCTAATTTGATTTTATATGTTTGATTCACATATTACAATTTCCAAGTGATGTACTCTACCTTAAATCTGGCAATTTTTATGGATTATTGATTTGGATATGATAGTTGTAGAATAAATTAGACGATTTGGACTTCGCAAATGACCTAGCCCTCCTCTCTCACACACATGAACAAATGCAGATAAAGACAGCCAGTGTAGCAGCAGTCTCTGCATTAGTAGGCCTCGTCATACTCAAGGAGAAAACCAAGGTCCTCAAATTCAAAACGAAGAACAGCAATCCAATCACTCTTGATGGCAAAACTCTGGAAGATGTAGAATTCTTCACATACCTAGGAAGCATCATCGATGCACAAGGGTGTTCAGATGCAGACGTAAAGGCAAGGATTGGCAAAGCAAGGGTCGCATTCCTACAATTGAAGAACATATGGAATTCAAAACAAATTTCAACCAATATCAAAGTGAGAATCTTCAACACCAACGTCAAGGCAGTTCGGCTGTATGGAGCTCAAACTTGGAGAACTACAACAACCACCATCAAGGAGGTACAAGTATTTATAAATAGCTGTCTACTCAAGATACTCAACATCTATTGGCCGGATACCATTAGCAACAGCCTTTTGTGGGAGAGAACAAATCAGCTTCCAGCTGAAGAAGAAATTAGGAAAAGACGATAGAAATGGATAGGACATACATTACGCAAATCATCAAACTGCATCACGAGGCAAGCCCTAACTTGGAATCCTGAAGGGAAGCGGAAAAGAAGAAGGTAAAAGAACACATTACGTCGCCAAATAGAAGTAAATATGGAAAGGACGAATAACAACTGGAAAGAGCTGGAAAGGATTGTTTGAGACATGGTTGGAGTGACAATGCTGGTGAGCGGCCTATGCTTCTTCACGAGGAGTAACAGGCGTAAATAAGTACGTAATTGTAGAAGCTGATAAGAAATTCCTTGAAAGGAATATTCTTCGTTCATATCATTGTGTTATATACATATATATCAATGAATAAAAGTTTATTATCATCATCATTTCAACAACAATCAACTAACTTTTATCCATAATAATTCTTCATTCATTTCATTTAATAAACCATATACATTTTTTATTATTGTATTCCATTGACTTATATCTAATAAAATCTTTTCAAGATTTGTATGATACAATTGAATAGATTCTAAACTATGTCTAATATTGATTTGTAAATATGATCTTGATTGATGATTATTATCATCATCAAGATCTTTCTCTTCAGAATGATCTATTCTATTCAATAAAGTTTTTACAGATTCAATCCATATCACCAATTGATTAATATCCATTTGTAATTGATCTAAATAGGTATCCACCAAATTCGTTTTATTTTCTTTGATCAATTGATTGATTTGTTTGAATTGATTATTGATGATTTCGAATTGATTATTGAATTGTAATAAATAATCTAACCATTCTTGAAAGAATTTTAAATTATTTTCACGATGATATAATTTCATTTGTAATCGATTATTGATTATTAATAAATGATCCCATTGGTTTTGATATTTATCCCATTGTAATTGAGGCATAGATGATATTGTTAACAATTGTAATAATTCATTTAATTTATGTAATTTTAAATGGATATACGTTTCGGTATCATTCATAAAAGCGGAATGTTTCTGTTGTGATGATGTAATTTGATGACGAGTAATGATTAAATGATGAAGTGGAAATTCCTGCTGAAATTCCTGTGAGTGTTCATGAGTAGTAGTAGTAGTAGTTAAGTGAATCAAATATACTTTAAATAAATTCATTTGTTCTAATAATTTCATATCTTCAGTTTGTGTTGCTAAATTAATAATTTGTATATTCTCTTGTAACCAATTTAAGCATAATTCAATTTTACGTTCATATTTTATGCCTAATAGACTTACATTTTCCTGGAATTACAAAAACAAAACAGAAAAACATTGAAAGTTGTTAAACGATCATGGATCACAATCTATCAGTCACTTTTAGGCATATGTGTATCCTGTGCAGATTGTCACACAATATTCCCATCGAGTCACAAGCATTTTTAGCTACATTCAATCAAGAGATACCTAATACAACAGTATGTCATAAATGTGTAGAATAGGTAAAATATAGCTAGTAGTGGAATCCAAGACGAGTGTACTGTTCCAGTTGGGACACGATCATTTCTGTTATGGACTACATTCTGCTGAGAATATTCAAGAAAGTAGTGTATATGTTTCTGAGAGAAACATTTTGTCGCGAAACTGTATTATTTTAACCTAGAAATTTTGCTTTAAGCTAGTTTTGCTTTGTTCGGGATCTTCGTCATCGTAATAATGTCAGTTCAAGTACGATCTAAAACCTAAGACAAATAACTAATTCGCTCTATCATGAAATTATTTATCTTGAGGAATTGGTAGAAGTAAACATGAATTTCAGTAAGACTTTCATTAAACAATCTCGTTTCCAGATTTGGATTTTGAAGTAGTCAGTAAATTTTGATTAGTTTGTAAGTGAAGATATGTGATTATTAATACTTGACCTTTTTATGTGACAAACGCTTAGCAAGTATATACAATACCAGTAGATATCAAGCTTGAAATTACAAGATATAAAAGTTCTTTGGTTCTAACAGTATGATAGGGCTACTTAACGCTTTTATTGTCCAATAATGAGATTCTCTTTGGTTCCAATTATCATAAATGTCGTCATGGAAACACCATTATCCACTGAAAACTTCATCTAAACGATGCAGTAATGTCCATGAATTTGCTTTGAATTCATGGTCATCGTTGTTCAAAATCTAGTTGAAAACACCATGTAGTTAGATGATATAAGCTCCGGTAATACTATCCAAAATATTTTCAGACTAACCAAAGGTGTTAATACTGTGATTGACTAATGTATTTAAGAAACAAGTTACTTTATGAAATGAAAAAGTGAAATACCAAGTGGTTCTACCTGGTCATATAATTCGATCCAAATTAGATTTCAGAAACTATTTGATTTACTTTCTCTAGAAGCTTTGAAAATAAATTTTATAGAACAATATAGGACTATCTAAATGCCAACAGCGACAGTCAACACGATAACTGAACTTCATGATTAGTGTTAAATATGTTAATGAGAACCTAATATATCATTTGAGAAGCTATGTAACCAAATGATAAGATGTTCATCAGCATATATTATACTGTAACGTATACTAATCACCTCTCATTTTAATAAGCTGCTGTATAACTCTGGTACTATAGCAGTGTATTTAATGTCTACAAGCCGAATAGCTCAATCACTAAGACTTCACTTCCCCCCTCAAAAAAACTGATAAATTGAAAAATCTCTGTACATGTGTGGAAGCGCTTACACAGTATTTGTACAGTTACTAATAGACCACATTTTAGTGATTGTTTTATGAACAATGTTTATAACCTGGTAGTTTAACGGATTGGGTATATTACAGTATAGTCGCTGGCTTAATCATTGCTATTTTGAAACTTAATATTCGATATGTAATGAATGGTTTACAGCACATTCATTCGATGACCCACAAAATCTCCTTGATTAATACAAATTATATGAGAGAAACTTGGTGATACAAAGTAAAAATTACCTTTGAATATGTCCATGATTCATTTGTATACATTGAAATTAAAAATGAATTTACGTTGAACTTACTCGACGAATTAATTCATCTACAATAGCCAAATGACAATTATGTTCAACTGTGATTAAACATTTCCAAGATTCTTCCAAGTCATTGAGGCTTAAACCATTTGGCGGTTTGAATAATCGATGTGATTCAGCCAGCTGACTAGTGTGAATTTCAGTTAACAGGGTCTATTGAAGTTTTTTTTTAGAAAAAGATTATAAAACATTCTTAATGGTAATTTTAAGTCAGAACATATATTAGTGAATAGTACTGTTTCAATTAGATTTTCATTGGATTTTACTGTAAAATACAGTAATATCTATATGCAGACAAGATAAACATTGAATTGAACAAGATAGTTTGTGAGCTGATAATAAGAATGAAGTGGATTATGTAACTGACTGTTATAAGCAATAACAGTCGCATTGATGGGGAGATGAAAGGTGCACTAACAATGATACGAATAATAACAGTTCTAATAACTTCGGAAGTAGATCAAAACTTGTGTAAATAAACTTATTAAAATAATCAAAGATTGCGTAATAAGAAGTACGAGGATAATTGGTCAGACTAAACATAATGAGTGAGGAGAAATGAACATCATGGCAAAAAATCTAAAACAAGGTTCATTCATCTATTATGTCTTATCGTATCATGAAGGAGACAGGGCTACCACAGATTGTTTTTGAATGCAAATACGAAAGTTGTAGACATCAATTCACTATGTAATTTACTATGAATAGGTAATAAGATCAAGTTTCATGAAAATTGGAACGTTTCGATACATTACTCTGGATGCTTTTGCTCCATTCGATGCACGACTACCATCAACAGAATATGATGAAACGAAGATGTAAATTGAATTATTCTTCTCTCTTGCAAAAGTAAGAAGGGTGGCACTCGCTAACACATGTATGCATACAAATATCACTGCATGTGAGAACCAAGCCCGATGGAAATTTTATTGAATACACTATAATTCACGTAAACGCGTTGTTCTAATTCAAACCATGGTAATGTATATGTCTGTATGTAAATGTTTCCTTCAGAACTTCTTGTTAAACTGTCACATTCAGATTGAGACACGAAGAGGATAAAAGCATCTACTTGAATTCGAATGACTCTTATATCATTGCTGATCTAATTATAAAACTCACGTATTTTGTTACCAATCTAAGTGTAAGCTTTTCTTTTAAAGGTTAAAAATTCAATTCAAACATGATGAAAGTAATTTGATTTATTACTATGAATGATTTGGTGGAAAATTGTTTACAAGAGGGTTTGTATGGAGATAGACAACTATTTAAAACAAAGAATCCCTATGGAACTTTCTCCTTCCAAAATGAGCCTTTATAAAAGATCAAACGTAAGACTCACAGACCAAGCGAACCTGAATGTTTTCTCACACTTAATCAAATGAAGAGAGAATTCATATTCGTTTGTTACTATTATCATATTTGCTTTGTCGACAAATTCCATTGTTATTCTTAGACAGATCATGCTTTTAATAAGATATGATGACGAATCATTCAAGTTAGTAAATTAACTCCCTTTATCTAATATTCATAAAGTAGCGGAACTTCATAGGGTTTTAAATGTTAAGAAAAGGTCCTTACTGAAAATCGTTAACTGGGTCTTCGTTTAAGTATCCAATCACAATAGACAAATGGGTATTAACTGGGTATATAAACTACCAAGTACATTTAAGTTCAAAACAAACAGTGTACTCACTTCTAATTGGACTAGTTCAGACATTTTTTCTGCTTTTTCTTTTCGGCGCCAAATCATTAAATTCTGTAATTCTTGCTTTACATCTAATTCATTTCTAATTTGATTTGATTCTTGTAGCCTAATTAGCAACTGGTTAATCTGTTTAATATTTACATTTGACCATTTCAGCCATCGTTTTGCTTGTTTAATGTAATCAAATATTTTGTGACTTATAATTAAGCTGTGTTGAATCACTTTACTAACACGTTCCGATGATAATTTTGTATTATGTGAACTGGTTAAATAACGATACCATGTCGCAACAACAGTCATTACACAACGTTCTTCTAGCCAACATGTTTGAGTAAAATCTTTTGATTCGATGAGTATTGGTATGCCTAAATGTAGATAGGCTCGTTGAAAAATAATTTCTAGTCGTACTTGTAAACTATCAATATGACATATTCGTTCATAATCAATCAAATCTGGATAATGTCGATGTAGTAAAGCTGCAAATGCTAAACTGTCTCGCCAACTTTTTGTAAAATCAACAACTTCAACCTTAAAAAATTGAGGAATCGATTACTTTATAACGATATTACAAGTACATATACAAAAGACTCTAAACAATACTAAAAATAAGATAAATACACCCATAAACACCCTCTTCGAACAGTACAAGCCTAGAACCTTGAACATTTTTGATTTTAATAACAGCAGCCAAGACTCGTGAATCGAACTACTCTACCAAGCGGTAGCTGACGAAGGTTTTAGGACATCTCGTAAAAGATGCGCAGCATTAAATTGACTAAATTCTTAATCATTTTTGATACTGGACAGGATATGTTAACTCAGAAGTGGAATACTGTAAATAAGTAGCTACATCTTGTTTACAAAATTATAGTTAACGGCTGATTAAAGTTCAAAGAACTGTCACTACAGTAAGCCCTAAAGTATTTAAGTTTTTATATGAGCATCGACTAATTAAATTAAATCTATTCCTCTGACCGTACAGAGAAGTGAAAGTTACTCAACCGTAATCTTCGAATCAATCATTAACGATATTATATTTTAGATGTCAGTTTTATTTTCTGTCATATTGGGAAGATTAACTTGCTCTGGCACATAAAAAAATATTCATGTGCACTAAACCACCAACAACATCCAGCTGACTTTTCCTAAACTCTTCAAAGAGTGGTACTCTTTGTTACAATAAGTAATAACTTCTTTAACCATATTTTGAAAGTGGTAGGATTAATTTGAAAATCCTCATCATCAGAACTAACACAGGTTTGTCAGCGTATCAATTAAAACTTGAAAACATTTGAGATTTATGTGCCTTATTTTAAGTAGCTCGCAAGTAGTTTCATAGAAATATTGTCCCACAATATGATTTGATGAAGCAGTATTATTAGTCAAGTTTATGATATTCGTGTGTGTGAAATTGAGTTCCTTTTGTAAGCTTTAAATCCAAGAGTAACTTTTATTCAATTATGGACAATAAAAATAACGATATGGATATGATTCATTTCTTGTTCTCATACTAAACAACAACACAATAAGGAAACATTAACAAAAATATAAAAAAGTCGAATCAACGTGAACAAACATCGCAAAATAGGTGTGCGAAATGTAGTTCAGAAGGAATATATTAGACTGACGTATTCAATTCTGACTATACGAACAGCAACATGGGAAGAAAAAACAGTTGCTGTTTCACTGAGTGGTAAAGGAAGATATCTTTAGTTTACTATATGGGATATCTGAAATCTACATGGATCATTTTTTTCAACAAGGTGATGAATTCTAATAACTGTCAGCCTTCAAAGCCAATAACTTCCTACATTATTACAAATTATCTATGGCTTTTATGTCAGAACATTATTCTTCTCACTAAAACGAACGACAAGTAATTTTGTAATGACGTGTGATACTGATTGATGTGATTATTCAAACATTATTCGAGATACCTAGTGAATTTTTCTAGTCAGCTTGTTCTGATAATGAGTAACTGGTAGTGCAGTTCAATGGCAGAACGCTGAAATTATCTTAGATTACAAAATAATTATTCTTCAATATGATTCAATATTTTGATAATTTTTGGTCTATCATAACATCATCCACTAAAACAAAATAAGGACTTGACACACATGACATTGATCACCACCTAGTGATAAATTAATTGTGATTACATCTCAGTCCTACAGGAGGTCAATCACGGCCCGGATAGCTCAGTGGTGACGTCTCTGACTATGAAGCTGGGTGACACGAGATCGAATCTGTCAGAGAGCACCAGTTCCGTCAAGATTACAGGTACACCTTGCTGACGAGTACCAAGTTGCACGAAACCCGTGTTCAGGGTTTCCTGTCGACTACCTCCAAACACCATTTAATCTCAATATATAGTGCACGCAGTGTGGAGTCACCTAGACTGGTGACCACATTGCATCATGATCGATAGCATTCGATCTGCACTAAATAAGGACTGGACACACATGACATTGATCACCATCCAGTGATCAATCAATTATGAAAACTCATTTGTGCATGATTTGAATGAAAAAGAAATACCTAATTAAACTGAGTACCAGTTATTTGTAACACACATCATTTTGTAATTAGAATTTAGTCATAAAATTACTTTGATTATACTTATGAATTAACTGATGATTACAATAATACTCAATGTTTATTACTTGAGGATATCCAGCTGTTTTAAGCTGGCACCAAAGTAGTAAAGCATCTCTTGCATGTCTAACTTCACCAGTTTCATCTGATTCTTTGACAACGATATCCTGAACCTAAAACAAATTATAATAAATCACAGAATGTAAGTTATTCATAATAATTATAGATTACATGAGATAGATAAAAAAAATGAAGAAGTAGATTATTGAATATGGTGTACTACATAAACTTTCGCTTATAGTTTTTTTCATGAATCTTATCACACTTACTTTTAACTATACGTTGAATAAATTCACTTGGTATCGTTTACTTGAATCTTCCCATTGGTGAATAGTACTGCAATTGATCAGTCTGTTATTGGCATTTGTGCATACTGTGCGTATTGCCTTGATTCACAAGCATTATTAGCAAAGATGGATAGCGGCTAGTAGTGGAATCAAGAACGGGTGTTTCGTCTTATTTGGGACTTGTCAGATCAATGTCCCAAATAGGACAAAATACGCGTCCTGGATTCCACTGTCAGCCACTATCCATCTTTGTTTATAAGATGAATGATTTTATGTGTAAATATGTAAATGTGCCAAATAAATACCAGCTGCAGATAGCTATATCTCTTTCTTTTCATTTTTGAACCACGGTACTATTTCAAATAACTCAACATAAAAATTACAATAATAGTAGTCGTTTGACATCAGTCAGAGATATGACATTCGACAATAATTGTTCTTTTCTTGGTTATTATTCAACTTAACTTACAAAGACAACTATGCCATCATGAGGAATTCGCTGTTCAGATGTTACTGTCAGGACTATAAATTATCTGTATATTGTTCAGATATTTGAATCCTCGAAATAAGATTTGAGATATTGCAACTTAGAAATAATTTAAATGATAATGTTCTTTCGCTCCAAACTTAGTGTAAAATCCTAATTGATTACACCATAATGCTGTTTAAATTCAATATCTTTTCAGGTAATCTAAAAGCTTTGATGAAGAACACGCACCGCAATGTGAACAGTTGTCGTTCAATCATTGTGCATTTGCAGATATTCTCTTACTAGATGTGTAGACTCCTTCTTTGTTCCCCAAAAAACAAAAATGCTTATTTATTTAACTTGTAGCGTGGTGTCGAGTTCCAGTTGACTATGAACACTACTACAAAGAAACATGTGCCAAATAAATCAGAAGGCAAATGCGGATTAGAACAAAGTTTATTTCGTTGGCGATCTCATGGTATCGAACGAATATCGAGGTCGTGCCAAGAAAAGGTAGCACAGTTAAACAAAAGCACATTAAAACAAGCACAAGTAAAATTGATTATTATAATAATAATTGTTTTCATTAAACCAATCGCGTTCTCGTGATAAAAGTAAGTCACTACAAACTGATTTCAGAAAATAGTCAATGTAATGTTTCTTTACCCTGTAATTCTGTTTTACATCTGCTGACGTTGATTAACAGGAGTCAGTTTTCATTTTTCTGTTCTTCAAATTGCACGTTTTCAAGTTAATGCAGTAGGAGCCAAAACATTTACATAAAACGGCATTGTAATTTTAGCAGTCCAATATCCCGTAACTCACCTGATCATTGGTCTGCCAAAATCTTTCAAGAACATCAATGTCCAAGATGATGATGGATATATTTTGAATTTTATAGTAGATAAATATAGACAATATTTAATCGTACCAAGTGACTAAGTGATAACTACTCATGTGATTTAAAAACTAACAAAAACTCAGGATAGAACATTCACAATACAACAAATTTAGCTAGCAAAATCACTTTTTCTTGTTGGCAGTTATATGCTTTTACATGGATTTCAGAAGCGAAAATCTACGCAATTAAATGTCATAAACATTTGATAGATATCAGTTAATTGACCACTCACTTGGCAATGGAATAAGACCTGACCCCTCAGCTTTGTTCCTTCTGCCCAACATATCAGGCAGATATGTAAGTAAATTATACTCATAAAAAAGACATCTTATCAGATTTGCTGGTAATTCTCCTCACTGACAACACGAAAATGATCTAAGATGGTGGAATGCAATTCAACATTTCATTACGATATAAACATACAGTCTTTCAAAATTGACTTGCCTGGTAATGTAATATAATTGTCCATATTAGACCTAATGTAATTCTTGGGTTACCATCGACAATATCTTGTGCACCGACATTTTCAAGATGTGCTCCTTCTTCATAAAGAAAATCAAGTGCTTTATTGATGTTCTCCAATTGATGAATTCGCATTCTGCTATGATTAATTCTTGTCTGTAATAAAATGTCAATTATTGTAAAATCATCAATCCGTAGTTTATAAATCAGTAGTAAATGTTTGCAACAGTTTTGTTTATCAGGTACGGGATACACGATTTTCAACTGCATTAGCCGTTGAAGATTAGATTATCGTTATTGCTACAGTTAAAACCTCAGTATATCACAATAGATGACACAATAAGTCAAAAAGGTATTCCTCATCATATATTAGCTGACTAGAAAAAATAGTGCCACATTTTCGACTTTAGTAACTGGTTAGCGTTCAGGGAAGCATTTAACAAACCCATGATAAAAATCAAATGAAACCATAATTATTTAATTGTGGTTGGTTAGATATTTGAGAAAAAGCGTTAAGGCATTGCACTTTATGAGGACAGGAACATACATCTCACACACCACTCTAGATTCAACTTCACCGAAAATATATAGTGCCCATAACGATGTTGCTAAGCTCCTCTTCAAGGAACTATAACTGAACAATTCTAACTTTAGTCAATCTTTATCTGTAGACTATAAGCCTAATCAAATCGCTGATAACGCAGTACTTTAAAACGTCTTTATTAAGTAAAAGTCAACCACTGCTTCGTCCCGTTCCCTGGGCTCTTCAGAACCGTACAGTTGTATATGGGATTACTTAGGACAGCATCTAAAATTAGTATCAGGAAGGGTTTTATGGAGATTGTAGTAATAAGATAATCAGTTTTGCATTAATAATTATTATATTAAATACTAGTAGTACAATGTTATTTACTACATACTGTACTAAATACAATCCATTGTAAATAGTTATTTAAAGATATTCAGCATTTATCTAAAATATAGCCAGATAAAGCAATTATGATTTCTGTTTCTTTACCTTGTAATTATTTACATGGATGCACTATTTAGAAATTTGGATATATATCGATATATTTTTAGTAATTAGAGAAAGTGAACGAATGAAATAGGAAAATAACGGAGCGGATTTGCATCCACATAGCAAACAATTCTCTTTGAACCTAGCACACAACAATAGCATCATGCACTGTCTCATCGCCCTTGGCAGACCAGGCAACCCGAAAGTTACGAGAACACCATCAGGGCATACGACAGGCTAGGTACTCCACCACCATTTACCCTTCACCATCTCAAAAAGCGAACGATTCTTTGTTCAAAAGTAACTCACTTTCACGAAAATCTCTATTATGAATTGTCTATAAAACTAAACATACCAAAATACCAACCCCTTTAAATTGTGTTTTTATCAGGTTTGTAAACATGTATAAACATACTAGGTGAATACATTTTGTTGCGTGCTTAAGTAATTTGCTGATAAGTTTATATTGGAAAGCTGTTTTTGAGTGGTATTTTCAAGAGAAAAGTTCACCGGTAATCTTTATCTCCTGTATGGTTAGATAGAATACCAGACTCTCATTTTGATAATATATGTAGTCTATACAATAAACAGATGAACTAACGTTATTGAAGCAAAGTGAAATATGAGATTAATCAAATTTTTCTTTTTCAACTACTTTTTTATTTGCGACAGCACAGGTATATCCTACTCTTTTCCGTCATATTTTCCTGAAATTAGACAATTCAACTGGATAGTCAGCACAGGTCTCATTAATATTGCATGATCAGAAGAGTTCCTTAAATTCAGCTAATTAGAGATAAACTAGACAGTCAGTCGATTATCTGACAGCATGTGCTTGATATTTTCATTAACTTATTAGTTTTTACTGGTCATCATGATCTTACATCTTCTTCCAATTCTTCATGTAATAAACAAAACTAAAGATCCATTCAAGGAAAACTATTTGTTTAACATTTCATGAATTTCTGTTTCAACATGAGATTTTGTAGCTCACTTCATGTGTTTATTGTTAAGATCAATGAACATTATTTCAAATATCAAAACTATGAAACATAATACAATTGATCTGAACATTCCTTAGTACATATGTCCCTTTATCATTTTGAAAAGAGCAAGAACAAACATTTTAGCAGAATAGCATGAATTCATTTTTATTTCGTTGGTTCTCATCAGCTGCTTACAACCTGTGATACCTTAGTAATTCAACATTTAATATCCTTTTATGGATTTAAACGTTTTGGATTTTATCTGCCAGATTTGTAATACGTCTAAAATGACTTGATAAAATTAGACACAATTTTTCTAAATCTTCAAATTATTGTTCATAAATCTTTTTATCATTTATATATATATATATCAGGATTCTCCGATACAACACAGAATGCACCAATCCAATCACAATTGACGGAGAAGATTTGGAAGATGCAAAAACCCTTACATATTTGGGCAGCGTCATTGATCAACACAGAGGATCTGATGCAGATGGGAAGGCACGGATCGGTAAAGCAAGAGCAGCATATTTACAACTGATGAACATCTGCAACTCAAAACAACTGTCTGTCAACCAACATCAAGGTCAGGATTTTCAATACAAATGTCAAGACAGTTCTACTGTATGGGGCAGAAACCTGGAGAACTACAAAAGCCATCATCCAGAAAATACAGGTGTTTATTAACAGTTGTCTACGCAAAATACTTCAGATCCGTTGGCTAGACACTATCAGCAACAACCTACTATGGGAGAGAACAAACCAGATCCCAGCGGAGTAAGAAATCAGGAAGAAACGCTGGAAGTGGACAGGACACACGTTGAGGAAAGCACTCAACTGCGTCACAAGACAAGCCCTCACATGGAATTCTGAAGGCCAAAGAAAACGAAGAAGACCAAAGAACACTACGCCGAGAAATGGAAATAGACGTGGAAAAAAAGAACAAGATTCGGATTGGACTAGAAAAGAAGGTGGAGGACAGAGTGTGTTGGAGAATGCTGGTCGGTGGCCTATGCTCCAGTGGGAGTAACGGGCGTAAGTAAGTAATATATATATATATATATATATATATAACGTTTTCACTTGTTAACAACCCATCAATTAGCTTTATTTCAAATAATCATTAACTCCCTCTGGAGTCCCTTCAGGAGCTACTGTCAGTCCCAAGACCGGATAAAGGAGGAGGATTGGGCATGGAGTTAGCGACCCCATCCCGTAGAAATTAAACTCACTAAAAACAAAACGCTAACCAGAAAAAAATTATTCAAACCAAATAATCATTGATTCTCAGTTAGAAGAAATAATCTACAGAAATATTTTAGAATTTTGAACTTCATTTCAAAATATTGATCATTCACATAGTCGAACTTCCTTAGTTTAGCTTAGAAACAATGTATCGTATAGTTACAACTTTTGAACATGATGAAGAAGATTTGTAGCTTAACTGAATGATTTTAAAAAAGTTTTATTCTTTGAGTTGGATGGTTTGGTTGTGGAAATTTTATCATTCTATTGAAGACATCATCAGTACAAACTTCAGGTAGATTAAAATCAATAATGATTTAGGTCTTTTGCATCGGTAAAATACATAGCAACAAATTCTTATATCAATTATAATTATACTTAAAGTCATTTGATAAATTGTATCAATCAATTTATGGAAAACAATAAATACCAATAAAACTAATCAGTTTAATGTATAATTTCACAAATGGTTTTGACAGATTTGATGACTTTTATTTTCTAATATCAAGTTTTCTATTCCGTTTTATTTTTGATTTGACAAGTTCATAAGCCATTCACTTCACTGTTTTTTTTTTCATACTGTGGTGGTCGGTATTCGATATAATCCTTAAACTTCGTATACAGTTCATCTAGATAATCGTCTTATATAACGCCCAAATGGTATATTAATCAGAAGGCGAATACGAAGCGTTGATTACGTTTATTACGGGACCACACACACACACACACACAAATATCCAAATTTACAGATACGATAAAACAAGAATAGAAGAGTTGTGACGAAAGGCAAGCAATCGAGTACAATCAAGCGAGCGAGAGCGAGTGCGAGAGCAATGAATATGAATAATATGAACACTATATATACATAGTGAAATGAATGGGTCATCGAATCATATAAGTGGTTAGTAGTAAGGTTAGCATAGTGAATAAGTGCGAGGGCCGTAAGCAATATTCAAGCATACATCATCATACATTCGCAATAGTAATAAAGATACAATGATATAGATAAGTTGTTGTTAAGATGATTCAGTTCGTGAATAAGTTAATAAAATAACTTGATTGAATTAATTGTGAACAAACTCAATTTCACATGATCTATTATAATACTTCAGGTATATTGATGAATCCTCATACATAGAATCTACAATCTCACCTCTTTATATACTTAGGAAACTTGTATTCATTTAACACTTGGATATATGTCAACAGATATTGCATACACTCGCTGTCGTCCCTTAAACGAAGAGATTAAAATCGCTTTCTACGAACTAATTCTTTCATCCTGTACTATATCCTTATTGCAATCCTTCTTTTATATATCACTACCACCTTTGAATTAACTACTTTAATGAATCCGGTGTTCATCTTGTTGTATTAATGAGGTATGGCAACTTGGATCGATGCATATATATGTGCTTGATCCTACGTTGTAGCTGACTGACTGACTGACTGATATTGTATAAGCTTGATGAAGTATACTTTCTATTCAATGATCAAAACGTTTATTTATACAATTAATTAATTTACTTTCAAATAAGTAGTTTAGTAGTAGTTTAGTATTTCTTATAACACTATTTCAGGATATCATTTGTACTAATTCGTTTCCTTCTTTTACTCTACTCAGTAGACTAATAAATCTCTAGTTATTATCATTTTAAGTTATATCTCATTTTCACTGCCAATCTAATTAGATTAATTAACAATGAAATAAGCTCAACAAATTGTTTTAATAAGTATAATTTAATAATAAAGTAAAACGAGGTTAACCTATTATATAAGTGAATGTATCTATTCTTATAAAACATCAATTCAGCCTACTTATACTATAATCTCTAACTACCTTAGAGTTCAGCTGATTGAAAGGTTGATAAGAAGCAATATGAAATGGATACATGTTTATTATTACTTTCATTTTCAATCATATCAAGATGAAATCTAACTACATAAAAATATCTTAGATATTTTAATACTTATGTTATACTGCTCCCTAGTGACTGACTTCAGGAGATACTCCTGGAGTTCTAGTGCGAAGTCATTACAAGTGGAGTTCAACTAGGTCTGTTGTGAGATAGGAACTCACTGAAGACAATGGTGTACGGTGGGGCAACTTCGTGGATTGGTTGAAGTTAGACATTACCACTGTTGGATGCTGGCTCAGTGGTCTAACAGTTTAGTGCTAGCGCGCGAAACCAGCAGGTCCTGGGTTCGAATCCCACGGGGTGCGAGTCGTGATGCGCACTGTTGAGGAGTCCCATAGAAGGACGAAACGGCCTTCCAGTGGTTCCAGGTTTTCCATGGTGGTCTAACTTCAAATGACTCATGATTTCAACCTGTGAAATTAAAATTATGTCTATATACATATACTGACCTTCAAAATCAGTAAATGGTGTGCGACGATTATATTTTCATTTCATGTCCAAAACCCTATGCACAGTTAACTATTTGCTTCACTTTTAAGATCTACTGTAATAACTTATACAAGTAAAAATTCAGTGTGTAGATTTTTTTGTGTGTTCCTTAAGATTTACCAAAGAATCAAAGATTATTATTAGTAAATTCATTATCAAATTTCTTAATAACAAAACATTTACCTTTTAGATGACTAATAATTCAATATTGGAGAAGTTTGAATACTTACCTTCAAGTAGTTCTTCGGCTTGGTTGACATATTGTTCTTTGTTCATGACTACTGTGGTGCGTCCTTTGTCCTCTGGCATTATGACAATATCCTTTGTATTCCTGAGTTCCTTCAAAGCCTTTTGTTCTAGTGGATTCAGCTGGTTGTTTTGCTTCACCTGTTGTGTTAGCGGTACTATAGTTTGTCTTATTTCCTGTTGTGCTTCTTCACTGATTCCTCAAGTTTTGACTGATGACTCTAGTGCTGCGAAGAATTCCAGCCCTGAGTCGTCGCTTGTATTGTAGTTTAATCCTTTTTGGAGTAGGTGTTCTTCCTTATTTGTTAGAGGTTGTTTTGACAGATTGACCACGCAGTTGTTTGTGCTTTCTTCCATGGGTGGTTTTGAGATCTTGATTCGTTTTTTCTTTAAGGTGTTTCTTCTTTGTTCTCTATGTCGTTTGCATGATATCTTGATGGCCGCTGTCAAGATTTCCAAATGTTCTGACGTGACTATCCTTTGTAGCTTCATCTTTCAGTCCTCTATGACGTGTTGATATTTTCGGATCCTGTAGTGTGCATCCGTTATCATTAGGTGTACCATTTTTCTTCCACTTTTCTCAGTTATTTTTCATCCTAATGGGCAGTTGATTGAAGGTCTATATTTTACACTTGTTGGCATAACAAATCATATCCTACTATCAAAATAACTAAATTTCGATTGAATTTCACATACACTACCAGCTAATCAGGAATGGTTCATTTTATCTTCACACATGCATAAACGAAAGAATCACTTCTATTCCCTGCCATTGTCACTTACTATAGATACTTTTGTAATAAATTAGTCAGAGTTTTGTAGGTTTCATTCACATATTTAGATCTCATAATGAATAGTTTCTTGGGTTTTTCTTCATTTCTATATGTGCTGATCTGTTTTCATGTGTTACCAATTCTTACCTCTTAAAACTACTAATCACTTATATATATATATATATATTCGACTATTTTGTTTCAAAAGGGACAATATAATGGTGGTTCATATGACCATATAGCTCAAACTTTTTTTTCACATAGCTATACATAAGCATTTGAGGATCTAACTGTAATCCTACAATATAGTAACTGTCAAAAGTTTTTTAAAAAAAATAAAAGTCAACTTAATTATCTCCTTATGTATAGGATGAACTTGCTCCTCTAAAATAGTTTACAATGATTACAGTTTATCTATCAATTGTGTCTTGGATCTTTTAACAAGAAGTATTTTTGAAAATATGACTCCTTGAATAGATTGATTTCCTACGAACAGATTGAAATGATTAAATAAATCCACAAAATGATAAGTAAGAACAACACATATAAGTGAACTATATTGTTTTCAATTAGATCGTCATCAAGCTTTACTCTAATATATATGAATATTGATACGTAAATGTTGAAAGTAATCAAGGCAATATGGGTCAATAATCGCAATGAAATAAAATAAGTCTCTACACCTAATAGGTAAAAATACAAATTGATAGTTAGATGGTAGTTGGAGGTAGTCAACAGGAAACCCTGGACTAGACAAGCATGACATTGATCACCACCCAGTGATCAATCAATTGTGATTACATCTCAGTCCTACAGGAGGTCAGTCGTGGATCGGGTAGCTCAGTGGTAACGTCTCTGACTGTGAAGCTGGGTGACACGAGATCGAATCTGTCAGGGAGCACCAGTTCTTTCAAGATTACAGGTACACCTTGCTGACGAGTACCAAGTTGCACGAAACCCGTGTTCAGGGTTTCCTGTTGACTACCTTCAATTACCATCTAAATATCAATACATAGTACCCGCAGTGTGGAGTCACCTAGACTGGTGGCCACATTGCAACATGATCGATAGCATTCGATCTGCACTAATAAGGACTAGACACGCATGACATTGATCACCACCCAATGATCAATCAATTGTGACAAATTGATAGTAGAAAGACAGGTGAACTGATAGTAGTAAGAATAATGAAACACAATAACAAAAGTCTTATCACTAGTTAAACGTTGGAAATAGAAGGTCAAACAAACGTGGGTAAATAGATTTGGAATAGTCAACACCAAAACATTAAAATCATTACGTAATAAGAAGTGTGTAACTAATTAGATAGTGAAGAATACAAAGAGAAAGAAGCGGAAAATTACAAACAAATACTAGATGTGAAAACAAGCCTAATGATAACAGAAATAGAATAAAATAAACAGATAATAAAAAGAATAATTGAAAGAAAGATAAAAAAGAAAAAATGTCGTTGATTAAGTTAGAACTGGCTATGGGAGGGATAAGGGGGGTTACGAATTTCTTCTGTACACATAAATTGGGGTTATATTTACGAATTCCTATGGATTCAGCTATATGTAGGAGGCGGGAACAAACTCCGTTGGGAAATGATGGAGGTATACGTTAGATCGCTCGAAATGATTTCGATTTATCTACAGAATGACCGCTATCAATGAGATGTGCCAAGATAGAACTGAGAATTGTTTTTATCTGACCCTTTATAAACCACGCTAGTAGATGTTCACTCATTCGTTGGTTAAGTTGTCTGGTAGTACACCCGATATAGCTATCTCCACAGGAGCAGTTGAATTTGTAAATGCACATTGAAGAGGCCAACTCAGGCAACTTATCCTTCGTTTGAATAGACATTGCTGGTCGACAAGAGAAAGCCAACGCAAGATTGGCTGCATAGAATGTCCTGATGATTAATTTCGTTAACCTATATTTCAGAGTATCACTGGCCACATCTCCGTTGAATTATAGTTTCCATATATAAAGGTTTCTTACGAACATTCGAAATCTCCGACTTCTTTATTATGCTATACATGTACTTCTTAATGAAAGCACTGGGGTAGCCAATCTCGGTCAGTGAGTTGTTGATGAATTCAAGCTCCCGAGTTAGAGTGTCTACTGTGCAGATCTTTTTAGCACATTTGAATTCACTTAGTTTAAAACGATTCTTATAGTACTTTAATTATGTAATCCAAGTTCAATTGATCACTTAGTTTATTCTTAATTCCTTAATGATACATCAAATTATGTTTAATTTTTATTATAGAAAAACTATAAGTCAATATATCCAGTATCATAATATTTCAGAAATGTAATAATGATCTTTAAATCAATATATTTTTTGTACAGCACTTTTTCTCCTATTCAATTAGAATGCACACAAAAAAAATCAATAACTGTTATCTATCCATCGATTATTTCAATGATCAATGATCTGGATTCTCATACCATCATATCAAAATGATCCTTCAAATGATATTTTTATTTCTATCATGAAAGAAGAATTTGTACATCATTCTTTTTATTAAAAATAAAAATGGAATGATGTGTCATGGCCAAAAAAAAGTATGTATCAATATCAATGTATTGGAACTTACAAATTGTCTTCCTGAAAGTAATTCTAATAAACGTAGTAAAATTCTTCCATCACGTAAATCATGATATAATTCTTTCACTAAATAAGTATGTCCAATAGCATAGGATCTATATGTAGATGATGATACTTCCCATGATGGTGAATGTGGTAATCTATTCATTGAACTATTATGATATGCCCAACTATTATGTAGATCATTTGGATAAGATAGATAATTGAGAAATTCCGATGAATAGACTCCATCTAATTGAGCATTAATCCAGTTGGTAAACAAACATTTTTGTATATGATCACGTTCATCTATGTAGTTAAAATTGATTAAATTTGTACAATTCAATGGATTGAACAAATCAAGTTAAATACCAAAGAATAATTGTTTAAATGCATAACGATAATACTTTATTGTTGCTGAAAAAAAATCACATTACCTCTACACACATAATTTTTTTCTGGTTAGCGTTTTTTAAACGATTTAGTTTTCTACGAGATGGGGATGCTAACCCTTTGATCAACCCTCCTCCTTTATCCGGGCTTCGGATAGGCAGTAGTCGCAGGAGGGACTCCAGGCGAAGTTTCCTCGACACACATAGTTTAAAGTATTGCATGCACTACATGTATGCTTAGTATGAAATCTAGCCAAAACGATTGATTTAATATTTATCCCTACTGACTTTGATATGTAATTGAATAAATAGCATGTAAACAAATCGGTTGACTTTCTATTCATTTTTGTAACAAGATTCATAACTGGATTTCACATTCTTCTCAGCACTAAAAAGTTGATATACATCTAAGATCATATAATATTGGAATTGTTTGAAAAGCTAGAAAATAACTGAATTGATTTCCCATATTACAAGTTCAAGAACACGTTTCATCATGGTCAAGAAATGGAGCCGCCAAACTTAACAAGTAAAGACATCCTTCCTCATCTCAAAGATAAAACATCACTGTGTAAAAACGGTGTTATAGCCATGCAAAACCTGTACTGCTATAGGAAATCATGAGATTCTCACATTGCAGTTTAAAAACCAAAGGCAATTCTAGGAGCCAATTTTACTCACTCTTCGGAGATCAATATGACCCAGTGATCGAAACGTATTTACTTATATGATTTTACTGACATCTGCTGATGATTAGTCAAAGAAAAAAAACAAACTAAATTTACTAGAATTTAAAAAAAAGTTAACCTTAAACTGAAATTGTTCAGCTGATATATTTTGACGATGGATAACTATCTGGACTGAGTAACAAAGTGGATAGCAAGTTAGTATCAAGCACAACACACTGTATTCAGGTCTCTGAGTGAAAAGCAACACTGACATACAAGCATATCTAGCTGATGAGTCTCAAACAAGACAAAACAGGCATTATACATTCCGATAGTAAGTACAATCCATTTCTGCTTTAAAAAAATACTTAGCACTGATAGCAATACTAAACCAATCCGTTCTTGTTAGATAGATAGATAGATACTAAAAGCACTGACTGATTGTAGTCTGTATAACTAAATAATCACTATTATTATTATATTTATTTATTATTTATTCATTTATTTTAACACATACATATTGGTACAAGGAGGCGCCAAATACATATGCGCCACACAAATCTCATTCGATATGTGTGAGGGTTGTGATATTGCACGGGTGCCCAAACCGAAGCAGGTGATTTTCTTAGGGGGCCACTCCCCGAGCCTTCGACTTAAAGGTCTGATCCACAAGGCAGTGTAACATCGTGAGGAGATGCAGTCCCATGAAAGCCGCTGACCAACAATTGGTTCATACACCATTTGTTCCCTCAGGATACTGGAGCCCATGTGCACCATTGGTTTGGAATCCGGTTAAAGCGCTGGACATTCGCCTTTCGTCCTCTCATTTTCGTAAACAACAGTAATGCCATGAGAAGGTAGTGAGTAGGACTTGCCTGGCAGAGGGGCTATATAGGCGTGGCCATGTGAGAGCATTTGAAGAGAGAGAGCGGACTCTCCCCGCACTCGGCCGTATCAGAGCATTCGGGGGCATTATTATATCATCATAGTAAATGAAAATACAATAATCTATACCATAAGAATTTCATATTCAATTGCTTTTCTAATCTAAACAGTTAAAAATTTCCGAAAAAAAAGATAAAAATTTTAACGTTTTTAATCGAATTATTAGATTGTGTAAGAACAACAACAACAACAACAACAATGTTCTTTATGTTTACTAATGAACAATGAACTCAAAAAGAAGAAAAAAAAGGTATATAAACCTGTTATGTTCAGACAGTAAGTAAGTAACACGTGAATTTCACTCATATAAATAATAAACATCATAAATGCATTTTGAAAAAGAGAAAAAAAGAAGAGAAAAAGAAAAAAAGAAAAAAAATACAAAAACCTACGACATACACATAAACGACAAGGATTCAAGCTGCTTAATTTTTAACAGAAATGAAAAGAAAAAAAGAAAGAAAAAAGAAAAAAGGAAAAAAAGAGAAAAGATTGGCAAATTGAATTAAATTGAAACGATGAAACAATGAAAATTAATTATTTCATAAATACAAAAAGAAAATTTATTATTTTTATTGAGAATAAGAGAAAAATTCAACAAAAAATTCCCTATTTGGCTTAAATACTTTTTTGTTTCACAAGTTGAAATCATGAGTTAATTGAAGCTAGACCATTATGGAAAACCTGGAAGCACTGGAAGGCCGTTTCGTCCTACTGTGGGACTCTTCAGTGGCAGTGCGCATCCACGATCCCGCACCCCGCGGCATTCGAACCCAGGTCCTATCAGTCTCGCACCAGGCGCTCAACTAAGTAGACCACTGAGCTGGCCGGAATCCAATAGTGTTAATATCTAACTTCAAGCAATTCACGAAGTTGCGCCACCGTAGACCATTGTCTTCAATGAGTTCCTATCTCACAACAGACCTAGTTGAACTCCACTGGTAACGGCTTTTCATTAGAACTTCAGGAGTATTTTCCTGAAGTCAGTCACTAGTGAGCAGTTGATTATTATCAGAATGGGTTTTGTGGAGATTTTTAGAAATTTCACAAGTTGTTTGCCAAACAGATTCATTGTTACGTTGTTACTAATTGTATTAACCTTTTCTCACAGAGCGAGAGAGAGAGATTTTCTTCAAATCAGTTAATTCAGATTCATCTAATTCATTTACAATTGATTAATCAAAGGGTGGTCATCCATGTAAGGTCTTTTTTTAGTTCAGATCAAATCCTATTGACCAACTTGCAATGTGACTGCCAGTCTAGGTGAAGGAATCAAATCCGTCAGGGAGCATCAACTCCCTCAAGATTACAGATACACCTTGCTGACGAGTGCCAAGTAACACAAAATCTAAGTTCAGAGTTTCTCATTGACTACCTTCAACCACCTTCTAATCTAATTCATTCAACATATTGAGAAGTAAAAAATGATAATCGATAAATAAATAAACAAAATGAAAACTAATTTTTCCATAACTTATTTCGTATTTGTAATCAACTCATCATTGATTGTCAGAAATAAATTATTATGTTCAGTGTTCAACTGTCTTATCGTTTATGTTAGTTAACTTGAAAACAATCTCAGATCGAAACTATATATATACACTTTCAATAGAATAATTCAATTAGGATATTTTCAGACAATCAATCTAATGTACAATTAATTTTCCTTAGATATTACATCTGTTAAGAAGCCAATATAGTACAGTGAATATTAGACAATTGTTTCATACTAGATCTACTTACAATATTATTAGGTAATATATCTAAACGTATCTGTTATCCATTGTTTTGCAAGAAATCTCCTACTAGGTAAAACAACAATTTAATGTTAAGATGTTTAAAAAAAATTATGTTTCATTCTCTAAAACTATAGAGTTTAATTTCTCAAAGTATCTGCATAATTTTTTTTGAATTATGAATTGGTGTCAGTCAGTCAGCTACAACGTAGGACCAGGCACATATGTGCATCGGTCCAGGTTGCCATACTGCATCAGCACAACAAGATGAACACCGGATTCATAGCAGTGGTTAGGTCAAAGGTGGTAATATATAAGAGAAAGATTGCATATAGAGATATAGTACAAGAAGAAAGAACTGGTTCGTAGAAAGATATGAAGTGATTTTAATCTCTTAGTTTAAGGGAAGACAAAGAGTGTATACACCGATGCCATTGTGATCGATTCTGAGCCATGTCACCAAGAGTCTCCAACCATTGATTACGATAGTCACGCGGACCCCAACCAAGTATTCTGCATCTATTAACATGGTTAAGACTAGAAGTTAGTGACTTCAAGCACTGATGCCACGTCTTGGTTTGACCGCCTCTAACTTTCTTCCAACCATCTACAACACCAGTTAGCATTGCACATCGTGGTAATCGGTGTTCAGGCATACGTAACACGTGGCCCAACCATCTCAGTCGATGAAGATTCATAACCTCATCAACTGATTTACCATCATTTCCTGATACCCTGGGTCTAACCTCACTATTACTTACCCGGTGATCCCAACAGATGCCAGCAATATTTCTAAGGCATCTATGGTCAAATACTAGTAACTTACGAGTGTCTCCTACTCTTAATGGCTATGTTTCGCTGCCGTAAAGTAAAACAGAACGAACTGCCGCGCAGTATACTCGTTCTTTTATTGATAGACGGATATCTCGCCTTCGCCAAAGGTGACGCATGTTGGCAAAAGCCGAGCGAGCTTTTCGAATCCGTGCTGAGATTTCGTCAGACACCAACCCATTAGGGCTGGTCAGACTTCTAAGATAAGTGAAGTTGTCAACGCGTTCGACTACTTCACTCCCTATCCTTAGTTCAGGTGTTGACGCAGACCAGTCCTGAAGCAACAACTTGCATTTCGAGGGAGAGAAGCGCATTCGAAACATTCTGGCATTGTTGCTTAGTGCTACCAGAAGACTCTGCATTTTGTCAGCGTCTTCAGCAGACAGGACTATGTCATCTGCGTTGAAAGCACGTTGAAAGCACCGGTTCTCGTCCGATGAATTGGTGTACCTCGTATTTATTGAATGAGACTGTCTAATTGTGAAGTACGTTATGTATTTTCAAATAAACTTAATCGGATCAAAGAAATATGACCTATTTCATAATTGAGCATTTGAATAACTGAAATAATCAATTGTGAATGATTAGTGAAATAGTCAGATATGTTCATTACAAAACTTTAATTAATCTTTATAACTGTATACGAAGTAGTTTCCTCTCAATTACACAGAGATGAAATTGAATACCAACCTAAACATTGGGATGAAGGTGCTTTGTCAATGTAGAGAACATATAGT